TGCAAGAAAATCACCCAGCTTAGAGAGCATCAAGGACCCATAGTCTTCCTCCTCCTCCTCCTCCTCACTTCTCTTTCTCCTCCTCTCCACAAACACCCACTCCCTTCTAACACTGATGATGTTCCCTAGTTGGGTCATGAAACGTCTGCAAGAAAACTACCCAGCTCAGAGAGCATCAAGGACCCCATAGTCCATCTTCCTTCCTTCCTTCCTTCCTTCCTTCCTTCCTTCCTTCCTTCCTTCCTTCCTTCCTTCCTTCCTTCCTTCCTTCCTTCCTTCCTTCCTTCCCTTCTCCTTCCCACTCCCTTCTAACACTGATGATGTTCCATAGTTGGGTCATGAAATGTCTGCAAGAAAACCACCCAGCTCAGAGAGCACCAAGGCCCCCACAGTCCTTCCTTCCTTCCTTCCTTCCTTCCTTCCTTCCTTCCTTCCTTCCTTCCTTCCTTCCTTCCTTCCTTCCTTCCTTCCTTCCCTTCTCCTTCCCACTCCCTTCTAACACTGATGATGTTCCCTAGTTGGGTCATGAAATGTCTGCAAGAAAACCACCCAGCTCAGAGAGCACCCGGGACCCCACACAGTTCAACCCTCAGCTACAAATACTCCCTTTCTCCTCCTGTGGGCAACACAACAGCAATAATTCTGACGAACAAGGAAACATCGGTGAACACACCCCAAAACCATGCCAAAGCGTGCACACAAGAGCAAGCACAGCCCATTGGAGCTTGCCAATGTCCAGCTCTGGCCCTACTCCCAGCCGCCACTCATGTGGCTGTAGGAAGAGGGCCAGCCACTTCTTCTTAAAAGGTGAGACTTGTTTTTGCAGGTAAGGTGTGAAAGCAAGAAAAACACCCGGGGGGGGGGTGTCTGACGCAGGAGGACCTACACAAAGGCGATCTCATTTGCAGACGCCTGCAACGTGACGCTCCTTTGGGGCTTGGTCACCTTGAGGGAGGGGGGAGGGATCCGTTGGGGGGCTTAGACTGGGTTGTTGAAGAAGGAACGTTATCGAGATTAAGGTCACCTTATCTGGAAAGGTCCCAAACTGCACGTCTGGCTGGAAAAACCCAAAACCCGGCCTCCCTCGGAGAGGTCACTCGCAGCTTGGAGTAAGGGCCAGCTAAGGACGTTCTTCCAAGAGACACAACAGAACGGTGGCAAAACACATCTGTGTAGCAATAAAAGAGAAGGGTCCTTGATGCTCTCTGAGCTGGGGGGGTTTCTTGCAGACATTACATGACCCAACTAGGGAACATCATCAATGCTAGAAGGGAGTGGGAAGGAGGAGGAAGGAAGGAAGGAAGGAAGGAAGGAAGGAAGGAAGGAAGGAAGGAAGGAAGGAAGGAAGGAAGGAAGGAAGGAAGGAAGGAAGGAAGGAAGGTGGGGTCCCTGGTGCTCTCTGAGCTGGGTGGTTTTCTTGCAGACATTACATGACCCAACTAGGGAACATCATCAGTGCTAGAAGGGAGTGGGAAGGAGAAGGGAAGGAAGGAAGGAAGGAAGGAAGGAAGGAAGGAAGGAAGGAAGGAAGGAAGGAAGGAAGGAAGGAAGGAAGGAAGGAAGGAAGGAAGGTGGGGTCCCCGATGCTCTAAGCTGGGTGGTTTTCTTGCAGATGTTTCATGACCCAACTGGGTAACCTCATCAGTGCAAGAAAGGAGGTGGATTTAAGAGGGAGGGAGGGGAAGGAAGGAAGGAAGGAAGGAAGGAAGGAAGGAAGGAAGGAAGGAAGGAAGGAAGGAAGGAAGGAAGGGAGTGTGGGGTCCCTGGTGCTCTCTGAGCTGGGTGGCTTTCTTGCAGACATTACATGACCCAACTAGGGAACAGCATCAGTGCTGGAAGGGAGTGGGGTTTGTGAAGTAGAGGAGGAAGAGAAGAAGGAAGGGAAGGAAGAATAGAATAGAATAGAATAGAATAGAATAGAAATAGAAATAGAAATAATAGAATAGAATATAGAATAGAATAGAAATAAAAATAGAAATAATAGAATAGAATATAATATAGAATAGAACAGAACAGAAATCTGGAAGGGACCTTGGAGATCTTGTAGTCCAGCCCCTCGCAGGAGAATCAAACCATTTCAGAGACATGAGGAGGAGGAGGAGGAGGAGAGGAGGAGGAGGAGGAGAAGAAGAAGAAGAAGAGGAGGAGGAGGGGAGGAGGAGGAGAAGAAGAAGAAGAAGAAGAAGAAGAAGAAGAAGAAGAAGAAGAAGAAGAAGAAGAAGAAGAAGAAGAAGAAGAAGAAGAAGAAGAAGAAGAAGAAGAAGAAGAAGAAGAAGAAAGAAGAAAGAAGAAGAAGAATGAGATGGTAAGGTCTCCTGCCTTGCACAAGGGGTGGAATAGAAGACCTCTGGAGTCCTTTCCAGCCTATGTCAGACCTGGGCATTTTACACCCTTCCCTCCCTGGCCAGATTCGGCCTTTTGGCTGTCCCTATCTGGCCCCTGGTCAGGCCAATTGGAAATTAGAAATCAAACATAAAAATATATATATATGCCATGCATGCAATACAACTACTTGGCTATTTTTTCCCCCAATTTACATGTGTGTGTCCATGCGTGCCGATGCACCACCTTCACAGCCCCACAGGCAGGTCCTCGTCTTGCAACAGTTCATTTAGTGACCGTTTGAAGTTATAACGGCGCTGAAAAAAAGCGACTCAGGACTACGTTTCACACTTAACGACCATCGCAGCTTCCCCGCGGTGACGCGATCCAAATTCAGACGCTTAGCAACTGGTTCAGATTTACGACAGTCGCAGTGTTCCCCGGCCTGGGGGGTGTCCCGCGATCCCCATTTACGACCTTCCTCCAAGCCGATTCACTTAACAACCACGTTGCTAGCTTAACAACTGCACTGATTCGCTTAACAACTGTGGCGAGAAAGGTGGTAAAATGGGGGAAACTCACTTAACTGCTGTCTCGTTTAGCGACGGAAACTTTGGGCTCAACAGCAGTCGTAAGTCGAGAGCTGCTTGTGCTTCATCCCAGCTTTATTACTGGATTTCACACTGTGCATTTAATGAAGATATTTATTTAATATTGGACAAAGCTCTTAACTTAGGACAATTTAATAATGATGTTCTAAAAGAGAGAAAAAGCCAAATTTGGTCAAAACGAATCCAGCAGGCTAATAAATTGTAACTGAAGCCTCCATCAGCCAAGGTGTGAAAAAGCACATTAAGAACATTGTTAGAAACCAACCTCACTTGGCTTCTAACTTCCTCCCTTCCTCTCTCTCTCAAGATGGATGTTTTTTTCCTGTTTAACTTCCTCCATCTTCTGTTCTTTCTCTCTACTAATTAATTTATTGGCTCAATTTTAATGCACAGAGACGTCACTGGGCAGAATATCAAGTTTGCGGTTTCCCCACTCGCTCGCCTTCAACGTACTGATATTGAACTTGACTCCACCCAGGAAATTATCTTTAAATTTTAGATTATTTTATTTTATATATATATATTTTCTGAGGTTTTCGCGGGTGTTTGTGTGTAGGTCTTTGGTTATTCGGGTTTTCTCCCGCGTAAAATTGGAAGTGTCTTGGCGACGTTTTGACAAAGTCCCATTCGTCATCTTCAGGCTGGTGTTTTCGGCTTCGTGCTTCGAGGAGCACGAAGCACGAAGCTGAAAACACCAGCCTGAAGATGATGAATGGGACTTCGTAGAAACATCGCCAAGACACTTCCAATTTTACGCGGGAGAAAACCCGAATAACCAAAGACCTACATACATGCATACATACATACATATATATATATATATAGGTTCAACATTTCTGACGAGGGTCAAATTTATTGTTTTTTTATATTTAACACCTTAACATGGACTGTCTGTCTCATGTACAGTACACGAGTCCGGATGGCTGGTGGTTCAAACATAATCAATGATGAGCATAAATAATATTAAGTAAAACCCAAACACCCAAGTTCCCTCAGCATCCCATCATCAGTATATGGGGTCCTTGGGGCTCTCTGAGTGTGGTGGTTTTCTTGCAGATGTTCCATGACCAATCTAGGCAACATTATCAGCTGCCATTCCCCATCCTCATCTGTCCTACCCCCCCCCCCAGCTGGATGCAGGACTCCCACTCCCATCTCTCCCAGCCTCCCTCCCACCCCAGCCTGCTCGCCAGGGACCTTCCTCGCAACAGGCGGGCTGCCCCACCCACCCTTGGGGCCGGACTCCCTCTCCCCTCAGCCCCAGCCAACAGCCGAGGGGCGCTGGAGTCCCCGGGAGGAAGGGGGGCCGTGGGAAAGCAAGGCAGGAGTTCCCATGGTCCGCACCTGGGCAGCAATGGAGGCAAAGGGGCCGGGAGAGGAAGAGGAGGAGGAGGAGGGGGAGGAAGAGGAGAGGGAGGAGGAAGAGGAGACGGAGGAAGAGGAAGAGGAGAGGGAGGAGGAGACGGAGGAAGAGGAGGGGGAGGAAGAGAAGGGGGTGGAAGAGGAGGAGGGGAGGAAGAGGAAAGGGAGGAAAAGGAGGAGGGGGAGGAAGAGGAAGAGGGAGGAGGAAGAGGAGTAGGAAGAAAAGGGAGGAAGAGGAGGGGGAGGAAGAGGAGGAGGAAGAGGAGGAGGGGAGGGAGGAGGGGGAGGAAGAGGAGGGAGGAGGAGGAACAGAGGGAGGGAGAGGAAGAGGAGGGGAGGAAGAGGAGAGGGAGGAGGAAGAAGAGGAAAGGGAGGAAGAGGAGAGGGAGGAGGAAAAGGAGGAGGGGGAGGAAGAGGAGGGGGAGGAAGAGGAGGGAGGAGGAGGAACAAAGGGAGGAAGAGGGAGAGGAAGAGGAAAGGGAGGAAGAGGAGGGGAGGCAGAGGAGGAAAAGGAGGAGGGGGAGGAAGAGGAGGAGGGGAGAGAGGAGGAGGAGGGAAGAGGAGGAAGAAGAGGAAAGGAAGGAAGAGGAAAGGGAGGAAGAGGAAGAGGAGAGGGAGGAGGAAGAGAGGAGGAGGAAGAAGAGGAAAGGGAGGAAGAGGAGGAGAGGGAGGAAGAGGAAGGGCGCCCCCCCCATTGCCACTCACCGTAGCCGTCCTGCGTGGAGCGGCGGCGGCGGCTGGCCAGCTCCCACTGGCGGGACATGGCCGGAGGGAGCCGCGGGGCTGCTGCTGCTGCTGCTGCGAAGAAAAAGCCGGGGCGGGTCTGGGCTCCCCGGGCGAGGCAGGCACGTGTGAGCGGGGGCTTTAAAGGCAGGGCTGGGCGGGGGGGCGGAGGGGCAGGCGCCGCCGCCGCCGCGCGGAGCCGGAGCGAAGCGGCCGGAGCCGGGCAGGGGGCTTCGCGCTGCTCCCGGGGCCGTTGAAACGGGAAGAGCCTCCCCTGCCCGACCTGGCCTTGCTTTGCTTGCCCCCCCCCCTCCTCGCCAAGAGCCCCTCTGTGAAGGAGATGGGGGGGCTGGGGGGGGGGTTCAACCGAATACAATCAAACCGATAGAGGAAAATCTTTGTAGCTCAGGGGGTCTCTGGGACTGCGGGGTCCCTTTGAGCTGGGGGGGGGGTTCCTTGCAGACGTTTCATGACCCAACTAGGGAACATCATCCGTGCTAGAAGGGAGGAGGAGGAGGATTGTGGGGTCCTTGGTGCTGTCTGAGCTTGGTGGTTTTCTTGCAGACGTTTTATGACCCAACTAGGGAACATCATCAGTGCTAGAAGGGAGGAGGAGGAGGAGGAGGAGGATTGTGGGGTCTTTGGTGCTCTCTGAGCTTAGTTTTCTTGCAGACGTTTTATGACCCAACTAGGGAACATCATCCATGCTAGAAGGGAGGAGGAGGAGGGGGGGGAAGATGATTGTGGGGTCCTTGGTGCTCTCTGAGCTGGGTGGTTTTCTTGCAGACGTTTCATGACCCAACTAGGGAACATCATCAGTGCTAGGAGGGGGGCTGCAGAGAGGAGGAGGAGGACTGTGGGGTCCTGGGTGCTCTGTGAGTTGGGTGGTTTTCTTGCAGAAGTTTCATGACCCAACTGGGGAACGTTATCAGTACTCCAAGGGTTTGTGGGTGGGGGGGGGAAGAGGAAGAGGAGGAATGAAAGGGAGGGGGGAGGAGGAGGAGTGTGGAATCCTGGCTGCTCAGCTCAAGGTGTTAATAACCCAGTCAGTGTGTTAACAAACTTTCACATTGTGCTGTAGGTAGAACTTTGCAAGGAGGAGGAAGAGGAGGAGCACTTGGTGCTCCCCAAAGTTGGCTATTTTCTTGCAGACGTTTCATGACCCAACTAGGGAACATCATCAGTGCTAGAAGGGAGGGGGGGTTGAAGAGAGGAGGAGGAGGGAAAGGAGGAGGAGAAAGGGAAGAAGAAATGAAAGGGGGAAGAAAAGGAAGAGAAGAAGTGTGGGGCCCTGGATGCTCTCTGAGCTGGGTGGCTTTCTTGCAGACGTCTCATGGCCCAACTAGGGAACGTCATCAGAGATAGCAGGGAGAGGGGTTTGTGGACAGGAGGAGGAGGAGGAGGGCTGGTTTGGCTGCTTTCTTGCAGATGTTGGGCTGAGGAATTCTGGGAGTTGAAGTCCAGAGGTCTTAAAGTGGCCAAGGTTGGACACCCCTGCGTTACACATGGCCAGGATCCATCTTTCCTCCCTTACGTTTCCACAAAAGCCAAGATGAACTTCAGTGGAGTTTATTGCAAAAGTTGGGGGCATAAACTAGCCAACATTTGGAGGCGGTGTCTACTGCTCTGATACATTCCCCCAACAAACCTAGTTTACTTTCTTTCTCTTTTGAAAGGGGAGAACCAGAAGACTGGAGACAGTCATGACAGAATCCTCCAAAGAAGGACATTCACAGGACCGACCACCGCATGTCGGTTGCTTAGTAACCGGCCAGCATTGACTGCTGTTTGAAGCACCTGGCCACCTTTTACGACATTTTTGCAGGAAACCCCGCATTGACTTCTGATTTTCGATTTGCATTAACCTAATAATAATAATAATGTGGGAAGGGACCTTGGAGATCATCTAGTCCAGTGGTTCTCAACCTTTTTAATGCCGCGACCCCCAACTGGTCGTAAGTCGAGGACTACTGAACCGGTCGTAAGTCAAGGACTACTCAACTGGTGCAGCCCCGTTTGCAGAATGGGACTTTTGGCGGGCTCAGCAGGGCAGAGACAGCCTGGACAATTCCTATTGGCTTTGGAAAGCCAATAGAATTAGACTCTATTCAAGAGAGTCTATTCTATTGGTTTTCAAAAGCCAATAGAATAAAAGGGAGGAGCACAGCTAAGGAAAAGGGGGAAAAAAATGGCGGACTGCGTTGTTTGGCGACCCCCATGAAATGGTTGTTCGACCCCAAATGGGGTCCCGACCCACAGGTGGAGAACCACTGATCTAGTCCAACCCCCTGCTCAGGTAGGAAATTTCTCAATCTGCTTAATTAACGACCCGAGCAAATTAACGAGAAAAAAAAGGCCAATGGAGTCGCCTATCTACCTTATTAGTCGTTTGCTTAACGACTGCCGGCGTTCGTTTTACGACGGCCGCTCAAGAGATTGCAACTTCAGGTTGGTTCGTGCGGGTGACCTGCTTTACAATCCTCGCGGCCCGACGACCGCAATGGACAGGCTCCATTCCCGTCGTTAAGTCGAGGACTTTCGAGGCAGAAACTGCGCTGGACGGACGAACACCTTATGTAAGAAAACTCGCAAAATTCGAACGTCGCAGGGGAGCTTATGAAAGGCCGAGTGAGCGTGTTAGAAAAAGCGTGTGTAGATAATGGATTGGACAAGAAGTGCAGTTGGTTCCACCCAGACGCCAAATATTTTCAATTTTTATTGCTGCAGCGTATCTCCTAATGCGAATCACAAGAGCCTGGTCATCCCATCTTCCCATTTAGAAAAGAATTTTAAGCCTTTTTTAAAAAAAAACAAATTGGGGTGGGGCAGGAAACCACTCCAGTCCTAGACATGACAGGTTAGTTCTCAACAGAGTCCGAATTTTCCATCGCTAAACGGGAAAGTTAACTGAATTTTGCCCCGTTTTACGACCGTTCCCGCAGTTCTTAAGGGAATCACTGCTGTTAACTTACAAATGGGGAATATAAGTGTGGAAAATAGTTGTTAAATCACTTTTTTTCAGTGCCGTTGTTAACTTTGAACAGCCACTAAAGAATTGGTCGTTATGTCGAGGACCGCCTGTACTGGTGCTTGCGGACAGCCTCGGAGGATCCCAACATTTAGGGCTTGGCCACCTGGAGCTCCAGGACCCCTGTTCAAAAAGGCAGCGTACGGGTAGTCCTCTACTTACGACTGTAATGGAGCCTGCCAATCACGGTTGTTAAGTTGTGATGATCTGTCAAGGTATTAATTTAATAGCTAAACAGCTTATGTAATGTGATGTAACGTAAGGTGGATGATGCAATGATAGGAATGATCAGCAGGGTCTGTATCCCTTTAAGAGCAAGCAGGGTCTGTGTCCCTTTAGGAGCCTGAATATAAAAGGGACGGTTTTTGTTGGAGTCTCTCTCTCTCTCTCTCCTCCGTTTCCTGCTGTAACTGCTATGTGTTGGAGTTTGCTGTATTACCACGTGTATGTATATTGTTCCTGGTGTATGATATTGCAGATAGTGTAATATAAACCACCATTTAATAGAGACCACTGTTTATTGTATTTACTCCTGGGTTATCTCAGCGCGACAAGACTGTGATTGCTCTGATACAATCACGGGGGTCACCCGCCAGACCAATGGAGGTCATTAAGTGAACACAGCAGTAAACCTTTTGCCACAGTTGTTCAGCAAACCACTGCAATTGTTAAGGGAACCTTAACAACCTGGCCTCCCTCACTGACTTTGCTTGTCGGATGTTGGTCGCAAAAGGGGATCACACGGCCCCAGGACGGTGCAACCGTCGTGAAGTATGGTATATGCCTCTTGCCAGGCGCCTGAATTTGATCAGGAGACTACAGCGATGCCGCAATGGTCATCACGTGTGAAAATCAATCACAAGCCACTTTTTTCAGTGCTTCTGTAACTCTGAACGGTCGCTAAACGGATCGCCATAAGTCGAGGACTCGCTGTATGGGGTAAAGACGGCAGATCAGTTCACTTCCTGCTTTTGGGACCCGTGGAAAAGAGGTCAGGATTTAAGTGCACAAAGATCAGAAAGAATCAGTGGGAAAGTAAAGGGGTCAAATAAACGTTGAGATGAGAATAAACAAAATAATTCTATTTAATTTCATCCCCCTCCAAAAAAAATCTCTGATAAAGGAAGACCCACAATTACAAAACAATATTTTCCCCCCCCCAGCTGCAAACACGCCAGCTTGCCTGTTCTTGTGTTAACGCAATGCTTAGACCCAAACGGTTAAGGCAACTTGTTAGCAAAAGCCTTATTTACAATCGGGACACAACTAGTGAGAAACACAATCAGGCAGCCTTTCGCAGCCCTGGACATCTTAAAGATGCGGAGCAAAATTTATTATTATTTTTTTTTTTAAAAAAAATAGCACCGTAGTTGCTAACCTTTCCGTGGAATATCAGCAAAAACAAAAATCACTTTTTTAAAAGTTGCTTTGAACAGAATGTGGCTGCTGTAGTAAAGAAGCAAAGTTTTAAAACAGGGGTCTTCACACTTGGCCCTTTGATGACTCGTGGACTTCAACTCCCAGAATTCCTCAGCTAGGCACGTGTGCCTGGCTGAGGAATTCTGGGAGTTGAAGTCCACGAGTCATCCAAGGGCCAAGTGTGAAGACCCCCGTTTTAAAACATTCACTCTGGGGTGACAAAGTAATTGTTTCTTTGCTCTTTAAGTGAGGTCTACTTGAGGATATGCTGGGAGAAAATTAATTAATTGCAGGATTTTCTTATCAAGATGTCCATAACGAACTACGTGGTTCCCCCCCCCCCCCCGCAGGCTCAGGGGTGTAAATATTTGTATAGCAGGCATTCTTGTATGCTTCTGCTATTGGCCAGTGTTTCTTAACATTGTAGGTTTAAGATAGGCAGATTTCAACTCCCAGAATTCCATAGCTGGCTGGGGAATTCTGGGAGTTGAAGTCCGCCTATCTTAAACTTGAGTAACACATAGCTATTGAAAAAAACGTCCATTATTCTCTAACAACGTTGCTTCTTCCATTGTCCATTACACAGAGGGGGGAAAAATATTTTTTCCTTCTCTGTAATTGAAAAAATATATATTTTCCCCAGAAAGAACACTGATGGAATGACAGCGTGAAGAGGGGGGAAAAAAAAAAATCCTGTTCAACTTTTTTAACTTCTAAACATAATTTTTTGGAGTTTTCTCAAAGCAAACCAGAAATCTAAAATGTGGCTCTGGGAATAACTAGCATTTTCACCGAAAAACCACGCGCCCAGAGTAGGAAAACATATTAACACCTTTCTGTGTTAACTTTACCTTCGCGAAGAACCAAACTGCGCAGGATCCCGATTCTAGGTTATCCTTTTTAAATTTTAGATTAGTGTTATTCTTTCAATATCTCGGTTTTGTCTAGAAGCAATCATCCGTAGTACATTTTAGGAACTATGGATTTTCTGCAATCTGGGCTCCAGATTTGATTAATGGAAACCTTTGATCAAACTTTCATGCTGACTTCATCCAAATTTTTCAAAAAAAAAAAAAAAGCCATTCAGTTCATCCAATAAGAATTAAGCTTTCCTTCTGTTTAAACCTCGTGCGTAGAAACGGCATTAAAAAAACATATATATATATTTTTTACTGTTCCACTGTTGGTAAAAAAAATAAAATAAAAATAAAGCAGTTCTCTCTTTGTAGGGCAGTGAAATTCAAGGCGGTACCATCTCATAGGTAAATTATTTTCCTAGGAAAAGATTTATCCTCTTGGAGTTAAAGAGTTTGTGGCTGGAAAAATCAGCTAGTCTCCCAAAATCCAGAGAACGTTCACGCCGGATAATCCAAGGTTGACTCGCCTGTGAAAAGACAACGACACCCTTAGATGACATCCAAGATCCCTTCCAACTTTATTATTATTATGGATCATCGCACAGTCAGCCAGATGTTCAGACTGGGTTTGGCATTTTGTTTACCTATTGAGTCCTTACCAAGGACCTGAGATAGGCAGATGTGGATGTTTGATGGTATTACAGATATCGTCGCAGGATGGAAGCTGTTCCTAGTAAGGCCGCCTTTTGCAATTGACTAATAGCAAATTTGTCAATGCCAATGGTGTTCAAGTGGTGCTCCAGTTGTTTTGGGATTGCACCCAAGGCGCCTATGACTATTGGTCCTACCCTTGCTTGCTTTTGCCACAGTCTTTCTATTTCTATTTGTAGGTCTTTGTATTTTGTGATCTTCTCCAGTTCTTTCTCGTCCATTCTGCTGTCTCCAGGCACTGCCACGTCCACTATCCAGACTTTTTTGTCTTTCTTATCGACAATGGTTAAGTCTGGGGTGTTATGTTGCAAGTGCTTGTCTGTTTGAATTCTGAAGTCCCAGAGCAGTTTAATTTTTTTATTATTATTATTATTATTATCATCATCATCATCATCATCATCATCATATCACAAAAGCTTCATTGGAGATCAAGGACTTCACAAATCCTCCCAAGCTAGAAATAAACCGTGCAAAATCAGATGTGTGATGAATTTTGGGGCCGAAGAGACAAAATCCATTTTTTTCCCCACTAGCTGCTCTATTTTTTTAAAATCTTGTTATGCACCAAAAATCATATTTTTGTAAGGGTTTTTTGGAAGAACTACCAGGAAAGAATAGGTTTGAAAAGGCCATCTATTTAGCTGTGGATGGTTTAATTTTCACTTTACTTTAACACAATACGGCAGAAGGAGAGAGAGAGAGAGAAAAAAAGATGGGAGCCCTGGATTGCTGTTGATAGCTTATCTGGGAATTGAAGTCCACGTGCCTTTAAGTTGCCCACTGGTGTTTAACCTCACTTATTGCACCTCCTTGCTTCCTGCCCCCTATTCAAAATAAATATAAAACTGGTTACATGGATGATGAACAACTTTTGACCTTCTAAAACCTCTCCTGCAAATACAGGGTAGTCCACAAATGGCGTCGATCCAGGTTGCACATCATCCTAAGTCAGGGGTAAGCGACCTTGGCTCTTTTATGACGGGTGGACTTCAACTCCCAGAATTCCTGAGCCAGCCTGGAAACCTCTCCCTTTCCCCTCAGCATGGCTGGCTCAGGAATTCTGGGAGTTGAAGTCCGCCAGTCATAAAAGAGCCAAGGTTGCCTACCCCTGTCCTAAGTCCTCCTGTTCTAAGCGGTGAGCCTCCTAGACCAGGGATAGGCAACCTTGGCTCTTTTATGGCTCGTGGACTTCAACTCCCAGAATTCCTGAGCCAGCATGAGGGAACTATGGCCCCTTCATGCTCGTGGACTTCAACTCCCAGAATTCCTGAGCCAGCATGAGGGAACTATGGCCCCTTCATGACTCGTGGGCTTCAACTCCCAGAATTCCTGAGCCAGCCAGGCTGAGGGGAAAGGGAGAGGTTTCCAAGCTGAGCCATGCTGGCTCAGGAATTCTGGGAGTTGAAGTCCGCCAGTCATAAAAGAGCCAAGGTGGCCTACCCCTGATCTCTAGACCATCATACGTACCCGAGCATTCCGGATTCCTTAGTCTTGATGATGTACAGGAACATCAGCAAAGTGTGGAACAGGTTGTTTCGTCCCTAAACAGGAGAGGTGAAAAGAAAGTAAACAGGTAAGAAGAGTCTGACCAGTTTGCACTTGCAACAAGGTGTGACTTTCCTCCTTCCCTGAGGCCCAGTTTTGTTTTTACCCCAAACAATTTGGGAGTTGCTAAAGAAGGACAATTAAAAAAAAAAAGTCAAGAGTTGAAGTCCTTGCATCTTAAAATGGCCCACGTTGAAAAACATTGCTATGGGGGGGGGGGCAGAGGAGGAAGAGGACGATGGCTGTGGGGTCCTTGGTGCTCTCTGAGCTTGGTGGTTTTCTGGCAGACGTTTCATGAGCCATGTAGGGAACATCATCAGTGCTAGAAGGGGGAAGGAAGGAAGGAAGGAAGGAAGGAAGGAAGGAAGGAAGGAAGGAAGGAAGGAAGGAAGGAAGGAAGGAAGGAAGGAAGGAAGGACTGTGGGGTCCTTGGTGCTCTCTGAGCTGGGTGGTTTTCTTGCAGACATTTCATGACCCAACTGGGGAACGTCATCAGTGGTAGAAGGGAGTGAAAGGAGAAGGAAGGAAGGAAGGAAGGAAGGAAGGAAGGAAGGAAGGAAGGAAGGAAGGAAGGAAGGAAGGAGGAAGGAAGGACGGACTGTGGGGTCCTTGGTGCTCTCTGAGCTGGGGGGGGTTTCTTGCAGACGTTTCATGACCCAACTAGGGAACATCATCAGTGCTAGAAGGGAGAGGGAGGGAGGGAGGGAGGGAGGGAGGGAGGGAGGGAGGGAAGGAAGGAAGGAAGGAAGGAAGGAAGGAAGGAAGGAAGGAAGGAAGGAAGGAAGGAAGGACGGACTTTGGGGTCCTTGGTGCTCTCTGAGCTGGGTGGTTTTCTGGCCGACGTTTTATGACCCAACTAGGGAACTTCATCAGCATTAGAAGGGAAGGGGTTTATGGAGTGAAGGAGGAGGAGGGGAGGAGGAGGAGAAAGAGGGGGAGGAGGAGGAGGACTGTGGAGTCTTTGATGCTCTATGAGCTTGGTTTCTTGCAGATGTTTCATGACCCAACGAGGTAATATCAGTACTAGACGTTTCACCACTCCCTTACGGCCCTGATGATATAACCTAGTTGGGTCATGAAACGTCAGCAAGAAAACCACCCAGCTCAGAGAGCAAAAAGGACCCCATAGTCTTCCTCTTTCTCCTCCCTGCAAATCCCCCTCCCTTCTAGAACTGATGACGTTTCCTAGCTGGGTCACGAAACATCTGCAACAAAACTACCCAGCTGAGAGAGGACCAAGGACCCCAGAGACACCGTTAAAAATATTTAAAATATTTAAAATATTTAATCAGCAACCACTCTGTTCTGGAAAAGTCAGAGAGAAGCTGTAGTATTCCTACCTTAGGGAGATTGTAGACCTGTTGTTGATAAATCAGCTCGTAATGGGGAGGGTTGATGCTGCTCTGATAGACGCAGAACAAATTCTCGTTCGACATATCTGTGAGTGACAAGGATCAGATCTGGCCTTAGGGACAGCCCAATGAAACAAAATTAAATGACGTTCCGTTGCAATATGGAATGAGATGCCACCCAGATCACCACTGGTGGGGTCCAGATGGGTATACCTAAAAACTGTCCCCCCAAATGTTCCCAAGAACCTCAATGGTGAATGTACACAACTCTAAGCCAGCAGAAACATCTCTGTGTGTATGTGGAGAAATCGGTGGTCCGGAACAGAAGTAGCAGAGTTGGAAGGGAACTTGGAGGTCATCTAGTCCAACCCCCTGCTCAGGCAGGAAACCCTACACCATTTCTGACAAAGGGCTGTCCAGTCTCTTCTTATTTTTTTAAATTTTATTTGAATTTTCAATACATATAATACTTTCCATACGTTATATATAAAACTGAAAAAAAAAAGAGAAAAATACCAGGTATCGCTCGTCTATCTCCCCCCGACTGCATCCGCCCTCTCAACCTTCCTTCCTTCCTTCCTTCCTTCCCTATTCCCTGTCTCCTCTCCTCTCTCCTCTCTCCCCTTCCTCCCATCCAACTTCCTTCCATCCTTCCTCCTCCCCTCTTTATCCCTCTTCGGATACATTTCAGGGGAAACACCCGAGCAGCACCTCCCTCTAAATTACTCCATCTATTTCATACTTTTAATATTTCTATATATACTTTTTTTGTTTGTTTTATTGTGTTTGTTTTGTTTATAATAACCCTGTATTTTGCTCTGGGAAGTGGGGGGGGGGCTAAGGGGGGAGGGGTGGGATCCAGCCTCTTCTTTAAAACCTCCAGTGTTGGAGCATTCACAACTTCTGGAGGCAGGTTGTTCCACTGGTTAATTGTTCTAACTGTCAGGAAATTCCTCCTTAGTTCCAGGTTGCTTCTCTCCTTGATGAGTTTCCATCCGTTGCTTCTTGTCCTGCCCTTCTGGTGCTTTGGAGAAGAGCTTCACTCCCTCTTTTTTGGGGCAGCCCCTGAGATATTAGAACACAACTATCATGTCCCCCCTCGTCCTTCTCTTCATTAAACTAGACATCCCCAACTCCAGCAACCGTTCTTCGTATGTTTTAGCCTCCAGCCCCCTGATCATCTTTGCTGCTCTTCTCTGGACTCTTTCACTTAACATTGGTGGCAAAAGTCACTTAAGAACTGTCTTGCTTAAGGACCGAAATTTGGAGCCACTTCGTGGTGGTGAAGTCGAGGTTGCACTCTTTAAAAAAAAAAAAACACCCTCCGTTACCTGGTTTATCAGGTGTCTGAATGAAATGCTGGGAGGTAAACGTCTTGCCGTCCGGAGACTTCGGATGGGGAGGCAACCTGGAGTCAAGATACGTGCAGAAGACGTGCATAATGATCTGGAGGGGGAAAGGAAGGCGAGGTTGAGCGCCATGTCAGACACTTCAGAAACAAAGAATGTGAGTTCTAGTCCTGCCTTAGGCATGAAAGCCCTCTGGGTGGCTTTAGGTCAAACACTGGGAGACAGAGTTCTAGTTCTACCAAGTCTAAAAGCTGCCTGGGTGACTTTGGGCCAATCACTGAGAGGGTAAGTACTAGTCCTGCCTTAGGCATGAAAGTGAGCTGGGTGACTTTGGGCCAATCACCAGGAGATGGTGAGTTCTAGTCCTGCCTTAGGCGTAAGAGCTGACTGGGTGACTTTGGGCCAATCACCAGGCGAGGGTGAGTTCTAGTCCCACCACTGGCATGAAAACCATCTGGGTGACTTTGGGTCAAACACTGGGAGACGATGAGTTCTAGTGCCACCTTAGGCATGAAAGCCAGCTGGGTGACTTTGGGCCAACCACTGGGAGACTGAGAGTTCTAGTTCTACCTTAAGCACGAAAGCTGCCTGGGTGACTTTGGGCCAATCACTAGGAGACGGCGAGTTCTAGTCCCACCTTAGGCATGAAAGCCATCTGGGTGACTTTAGGTCAAACACTGGGAGACTGAGAGTTCTAGTTCTACCTAAAGCATGAAAGCTGACTGGGTGACTTTGGGCCAATCACTGAGAGGGTAAGTTCTAGTCCTGCCTTAGGCATGAAAGTGAGCTGGGTGACTTTGGGCCAATCACAAGGAGATGGTGAGTTCTAGTCCTGCCTTAGGCATAAGAGCTGACTGGGTGACTTTGGGCCAATCACCAGGCGAGGGTGAGTTCTAGTCCCACCACTGGCATGAAAACCATCTGGGTGACTTTCGGTCCAACATTGGGAGAGGGTGAGTTCTAGTGCCACCTTAGGCATGAAAGCCAGCTGGGTGACTTTGGGCCAATCACTAGGAGACGGCGAGTTCTAGTCCCACCTTAGGCATGAAAGCCATCTGGGTGACTTTAGGTCAAACACTGGGAGACTGAGAGTTCTAGTTCTACCAAGTCTAAAAGCTGGTTGGGTGACTTTGGGCCAATCACCAGGAGAGGTGAGTTCTAGTCCCGCTTAGGCATGAAAGCCACCTGGGTCACTTTGGGTCAAACACCAGGAGACTGAGAGTTCTAGTTCTACCTAAAGCATGAAAGCTGACTGGGTGACTTTGGGCCAATCACTGAGAGGGTAAGTTCTAGTCCTGCCTTAGGCATGAAAGTGAGCTGGGTGACTTTGGGCCAATCACAAGGAGATGGTGAGTTCTAGTCCTGCCTTAGGCATAAGAGCTGACTGGGTGACTTTGGGCCAATCACCAGGCGAGGGTGAGTTCTAGTCCCACCACTGGCATGAAAACCATCTGGGTGACTTTCGGTCAAACATTGGGAGAGGGTGAGTTCTAGTGCCACCTTAGGCATGAAAGCCAGCTGGGTGACTTTGGGCCAATCACTAGGAGACGGCGAGTTCTCGTCCCACCTTAGGCATGAAAGCCATCTGGGTGACTTTAGGTCAAACACTGGGAGACTGAGAGTTCTAGTTCTACCAAGTCTAAAAGCTGGTTGGGTGACTTTGGGCCAATCACCAGGAGAGGTGAGTTCTAGTCCCGCCTTAGGCATGAAAGTGAGCTGGGTGACTTTGGGTCAAACACCAGGAGACTGAGAGTTCTAGTTCTATCTAAAGCATGAAAGCTGCCTGGGTGACTTTGGGCCAATCACTGAGAGGGTAAGTTCTAGTCCTGCCTTAGGCATGAAAGTGAGCTGGGTGACTTTGGGCCAATCACCAGGAGATGGTGAGTTCTAGTCCTGCCTTAGGCATAAGAGCTGACTGGGTGACTTTGGGCCAATCACCAGGCGAGGGTGAGTTCTAGTCCCACCACTGGCATGAAAACCATCTGGGTGACTTTCGGTCAAATATTGGGAGAGGGTGAGTTCTAGTGCCATCTTAGGCATGAAAGCCAACTGGGTGACTTTGGGCCAATCACTGGGAGACTGAGAGTTCTAGTTCTACCTTAAGCACGAAAGCTGCCTGGGTGACTTTGGGCCAATCACTAGGAGACGGCGAGTTCTAGTCCCACCTTAAGCGTGAAAGCCGCCTCTGTGACTTTGCGCCAATCACCGGGAGACTGTGAGTTCTAGTCATGTCTTAGCCATGAAAGCCAGCTGGGTGACCTTGGGCCAATCACCAGGCCATGATGAGTCCTAGTCTCACCCAGGCGTGAAAGCGAGTTGCGTGACTTTGGGCCAATCCTTTTCTCTTTCAGCTCAGCCCACCTCAAAGGATTGTTGTTGTGAGGAACACAGAAGGAAGAAGATGTGTTGTATACGTTCACTGCCTTGAATTATTTGTGAAAATAACAGGGTACAAATAGATTAAAAATAAACAATAACTCTGCCAGCAGCCTTGCTCGGAAATGAAAAATTTAAGGGACGGGGAATCCGAGACACGTGGTTCTTAGCGCCACTACTACAGGGGTAGGCCACCTTGGCTCTTTTATGACTTGTGGACTTTAACTCCCAGAATTCCTGAGCCAGCTGTGCTGGCTCAGGAATTCTGGGAGTTGAAGTCCACGAGTCATAAAAGAGCCAAGGTGGCCTACCCCTGCACTACTGATTTAAGAAGGCTTTGTACTCCAAGGTGGACTTACTCCTGAGTCGGTGGGTAAATCAGTATCCCATCTGCGTGCTTTGAAATCTCCTCCTCGGTTCCAGGTGAACGAACTCATGCACCCGCCTTGGGAAAGCTCTGCCAGTTAGCCAAAGAACAAGACAGGTTAAGTCCCTGACTTACAACCGTTCCTTTAGTGACCACCCAAAGTTACAACGGCCCCGAAAAAAGCGACCGATGTCCGCGTTTCACACTTGTGCCCGTTGCAGCACCCCGGTGGCCACGGGATGCAAATCCCAGATGCTTGGCAACCGGTTCGTATTTACGACGGTCGCGGTGTCCCAGGGTCTTGTGATCGCCTTTTGCGACCGTCCGACAAGCAAAGTCCATTTGGTTTATTGACTGAACGACTCGCTTAGCAACCGTGGCAAGAGAGATCGTAAAGCGGAGCGAAGCTCGCTTCACAAGTGTCTCACTGAACGACAGAAATTTGGGGCTCCATTCTGGTCGTTAAGCGGAGGACTGCCTGTACTATGAACGATAAGCCGACAGGGCTGAAACGAGCTGGTCTTCATTTGTTTCGCTCTCGGTTGCGCTACAGCAATTGGGACCCGGATTTATTTATTAAACCAATTTCGACCGCTGCCCATTTTGGAAGAAAGGGATTCTGGGTAGTGAACGCTTCGTTAGCACATGAAATACGAATATAGGTGGTCCTTGACTTACAACACACCAGCTGGGACACCTTGGACCAATTACTAGGAAACTGGCAGTTCTGGCCTCACCTTAGGCACGAAAGCCAATTGGCTGACTCTGGGAAAACCACCAGGAGACGGTGAGTTCTAATCCTGCCTTAGACACAAAAGTGGACTAGTTGGCTTTCAGGCAATCATCAGAAGAGGGTGAATTCTAGTCCCGCCTTAGGCATGGAAGCCAGATGGGTGACTCTGCGCCAGTCACTGGGAGAGGGTGAGTTCTAGTTCCGTCTTAAGCATGAAAGCCAGCTGGGTGACTTTGCGTCAATCACCAGGAGATGGTGAGTTCTAGTCCTGCCTTAGACATGAAAGCCAGTTGGGTGACTCTGGGCCAATCACTGGGAGAGGGTGAGTTCTAGTTCCACCTTAAGCATGAAAGCCACCTGTGTGACTTTGGGCCAATCACCAGGAGACGGTGAGTTCTAGTCCCTCCTTCGACACGAAAGCCAACTGGGTGACTTTGGGCCAATCACCAGGAGACGCTGAGTTCTAGTCCTGCCTTAGACATGAAAGCCAACTGGGTGGCTTTGAGGCAATCACGAGGAGACGGTGAGTTCTAGTTCTGCCTTAGACATGAAAGCCAACTGGGTGACTTTGAGCCAATCACCAGACGACGGGGAGTTCTAGTCCCGCCTTAGGCACGAAAGCCAGCTGGGTGACTTTGGGCCAATCAGCAGGAGACGGTGAGTTCTAGTCCTGCCTTAGACATGAAAGCCAACTGGGTGACTTTGAGCCAATCACCAGGAGATGGTGAGTTCTAGTCCTGCCTTAGACATGAAAGCCAACTGGGTGACTTTGAGCCAATCACCAGACGACGGTGAGTTCTAGTCCCGCCTTAGGCACGAAAGCCAGCTGGGTGACTTTGGTCCTAACTCTCTTTCTCAGCCCAGCCCACCTCACAGGCTTGTCGTTGTGAGGGAAACAGGAGGAGAAAGGAGTATTAGGTTATGTTTGCTGACTTGAATTATTCATCTACAACAACAAAGGCAGGATATACACAAACAGCCATTTACCTTTGATCCTTTCTACTAAATATTCCTGATTCGGGCTCAGCTCCAAGTACTGGACTATTGTGTTCAGAGTAGGAATAAGGGGGGCTTTTACTAAAGCGGCTTGCTTCAGACTGCTAAGGCTGGCCTCTGCAGGGGTGGAAAAAAAACAGAGAGAGAAAAACCGCAACCTTCGCCATCAAGAAAGTCCCCGGTTTCGGGCTTCGACAACAGCTGTGGACTTCCTTTTTATTCAAATGACAACCTCACAAACGGAAAGAGCAGCTGCTACACCAGTGGTTCTCAACCTGTGGGTCGAGACCCCATTTGGGGTCGAACGACCATTTCACGGGGGTCGCCAAACAACGCAGTCCGCCATTTTTTCCCCTTTTCCTTAGCTGTGCTACTCCCTTTTATTCTATTGGCTTTTGAAAGCCAATAGAAGAGACTCTCTTGAATAGAGTCTCATTCTATTGGCTTTCCAAAGCCAATAGGAATTGTCCAGGCTGTCTCTGCCCTGCTGAGCCCGCCAAAAGCCTGAAAACGGTGCTGCACCAGTTGAGTAGTCCTCGACTTACGACCGGTTGAGTAGTCCTCGACTTACGACCAGTTGGGGGGGGTCGCGGCATTAAAAAGGTTGAGAACCATTGAGCTACACAATAATTCTGCAACACCATAATTCAAGAGGCTTGCTGAAACCTCCGTGGAACGAGGCTTCTGAACAAAGCCACAACAGACTAGGCTTCGTTATTTAAGTTACTTGACGGAATGCAAAGGGGTCCTCCACTTACAACAGTTCACTTAGTGACCGAATGGAAAAAAGGGACTTTGGACCATTTTTCACACGTATGACCGTTGCAGCCTCCCCAAGGTCGCGTGGTCAAAATTCAGCGGCTCGGCAACTGGCTCGTATTTATGACGGTGGCCGTGTCTGGGGGTGGGGTGGGTCATTAGGTCAAGGAATTCCTGTACTTAGTTGATCGAAATTTTTTAAATCGATTTTGTGGGCAGGGATATTAAAAAAAATGAGTTGGAATGCAGAAAGAATCATTGGTGAAGATTGCTGTGCCTGTTGTACTCTGGCAGGGGATTATGGGAGGCACGACTGCTAAAACTGATGTTGCCACAAGAAAAAAATGGCTGCTAGAAAGCCTGTGTGGACATCCCAAAATTTTAAGCCAGTGTTTGTCAACTTGATGGGTGGACTTCAATTCTGGCTGGGGAATTCTGGGAGTTGAAGTCCACCCGTCTTCAGCCCTTCAAGATTGAGAAGCACCAGCTTAAAAAAAAAAAAAAAAACCAGCTTCGGTGGCTGGGGGATTCTGGGAGTTGAAGTCCACCCACCTTCAACCCTTCAAGATTGAGAAGCACCAGCTTTAAAAAACAGCTTGGCTGGCTGGGGGATTCTGGGAGTTGAAGTCTACCCATCTTCCACCTTGTATTAATGTAACTCTCAAAAATGTTTTTTTTTTCCCCTGCAGGGTTGACAATTTCAGATGCCTCCAGCTAGTAAAAATCATACATAATTATGATTTTTAATCCACATATTTTACTTGGAACCCATGACTACAGCACAAAATTTTCTGTAGCGTCGCCGTACCTCCAATCTGCAGCTCTGGACACCCCATTCTTCGCAGCTGAGTGCTTACAGATTCCATCTCCTGGACCAGAGGCACCAAAATTGTCTCGTTGATCCACTGTTGGATCCGAAAAGATATGGAGGGGGGGGGGGGAGGGAAGAAGGGGAGAAAACAGAATTTAGAAGAACAACATCTGCATTTGCTACTTCGCTGACGTACACACAGCACTGAACATTTACCAGCAATAGGAAATGGCCTTCTCAAAGCAATGGGTTACAGGCAGTCCTCAACTTACAACTATCACTGAGTCTGAAATATATGGTTATAAGTCCTGCTGGTTGTTAAGCGGTTCCCCATTTGATCATTTTGACCCAATTTTGACCCCCCCCTTTTTTTTGCAGTGGTCATTAGCCAGACACTACGGTCGTAAAACGAGATTGTCCACAATGGGATATTTTTTTTTATTTTTTTTGGTCAAAAACCAGAAGTAAACCCTAGTTTCCTGCAATAAACAAACAAACAAACAAACATTGTAAATTGTAATCGGGTGACTGCGGAACGCTGCAAATGGCCATAAATGTGGGGTCGCTTGTCAAATGCTCAAAACGCAATTGGAACTGCCGGAAGGAAAGTGGTGTGTGTGTGTGTGTGTGTGTGTGTGTGTGTGTGTGTGTGTGGCCATTGGAACTTCAAATCTGGGCCGTAAGTAGCCCTGGGAAGGTCTGTCTTTGACAGCCTGCCGAAAATTAAATAAAGAGTATGATAAAAAGAATAACAAGACAAAAAGCAATTAATAACAACAACAACAATAACAATAATAATATAACAGCCACATCTGCCTATCCCAGGTCCTTGGGAAGGACTCGATAGGTAGACAAAAATGCCAAATCCAGTCTGAACATCTGGCTGACTGTGCGATGGTTATTATTATTATTATTATTAATAATAATAATAAAAAATAATCAATCGATCATTAAACAGAGATGAGCACAGGGCCCCTAAAGTGGGGCACAACTGTACAGGGGGAAAGCGTGACCTTTTAAATTAAAAACAAAACAAAAATAAAAAAAATGTTCAGACGGTAGACTTGATGGGCCACTGGATGCTTTTCTGATGTTGGTTTTTCTACGTTTCACTAAGCGGCTGGTCCTCAAGTCAAGGGCTGCATGGACTTCAGGCTCAAGCACCCCTAATTAACCGGAGTCTCTTCCCTAAAGCTCCGAACTTAGGAAGGAATGTCCAGAGCTGGCTCACATTTAACACACACACACACACACACACACACACACACACACACACCCTCAGGCCAAAGGCCAAACTCACATTTCTGAATTTGGCGGTCCAGGAATCCATGTGATCAAACAGCTGCCTGCTCATCGACACGCGTGCCCAGACCTGAGCCAGGAAGACAAAGAGGTTTTGAAATACAACAACTCCAGGCAGGAGGGTGTGTAAAAGTAAGAGGAAGACCTTCTGAGGGGCTGCCACAAAGAGCAGGAGGGGGTCACCCTATTTTCCCAAAGCCCCTGAAGGCAGGACAAGAAACAATGGATGGAGACTCATCAAGGAGAGAAGCAACCTAGAACTAAGGAGAAACTTCCTGACAGTGAGGACAATTAACCAGTGGAACAGCTTGCCTCCAGAAGCGGTGAATGCTCCAACACTGGAAGTTTTTAAGAAGAGACTGGACAGCCATTTGTCTGAAATGGTACAGGGTCTCCTGCTTGAGCAGGGGGTTGGACTAGCAGACCTCCAAGGTCCCTTCCAATTCTGCTATTCGGTTCTTCTTCGTGTGGCTCAACTAGACCAACAAAACCATCTCTTAGTCAACATTGTGGTCAACACCGCCTTGATGATGTTCCTTAGTTGGGTCATGAAATGTCTGCGGGGAAACCACCCAGCTCACAGACCACCAAGGAGCTCTCATTTCAACCCTGGGCTGCAAATATTCTCCTTTATTATGCAGCTGGAGGATCGGAGCAATAAGCCCCAGATATTTCTCACCATAGTCCCCAAAAGGTTCTTCCAATCCCTCCTCAACCAGGAAGGCCAGTTAACTTGAACAGGGACGCCAACTGCCTATCTGTAGTTCACACTAGATCAGGGGGTCTTCAAACTTGGTCCTTTTATGACTCGTGGACTTCAACTCCCAGAATTCCTGAGGCAGCCACACTGAGGGGAAAGGGAGGTTTCCAAGCTGAGCTATGCTGGCCCAGGAATTCTGGGAGTTGAAGTCCACAAGTCACGAGGGGGCATAGTTCCCCCATGCTGGCTGAGGAATTCTGGGAGTTGAAGTCCACAAGTCATGAGGGGGGCAGTTTCCCCCATGCTGGCTCAGGAATTCTGGGAGTTGAAGTCCAGAGTCATAAAAGAGCCGAGGTTGCCTACCCCTGCCCTAGGCCTAGGCCGGTTTATGACTGGTGGACTTCAACTCCCAGAATTCCTCAGCCAGCTATGCTGAGGGGAAAGGGAGAGGTTTCCAAGCAGAGCCATGGCGGCTCAGGAATTCTGGGAGTTGAAGTCCACGAGTCATGAGGGGGCCAAGGTTTCCCTCATGCTGGCTCAGGAATTCTGGGAGTTGAACTCCAGAGTCATAAAAGAGCCAAGGTTGCCTATCCCTGCTCTAGCCCGCTTTATGACTCATGGACTTCAACTCCCAGAATTCCTGAGCCAGCCATGCTGAGGGGAAAGGGAGAGATTTCCAAGCTGAGCCATGCTGGCTCAGGAATTCTGGGAGTTGAAGTCCACCAGTCATAAAAGAGCCAAGGTTGTCTACCCCTGGCCTAAGTCCTCCTGTTCTAAGCGGTGAGCCTCCTAAACCAGGGCTAGGCAACCTTGCCTTTTATGACTGGTGGACTTCAACTCCTAGAATTCCTGAGCCAGCCTGGCTCAGCTTGGAAACCTCTCCCTTTCCCCTCAGCATGGCTGGCTCAGGAATTCTGGGAGTTGAAGTCCACCAGTCATAAAAGAGCCAAGGTTGTCTATCCCTGACTTAGAAGGATGTGCAGTCTGGATCGACACCTATGGAAAACCGTGGAGGAATACCTCTTTTTCCGTCCCCACCAACATTGCTTACCTCTTCGGCGGCTTGCTTCGAACTCAAGTCGGCTTCATCCTTGTGAGCGGAGGGGGCCTGGGATCTGTAGGCTGGCTGGTACTGGAATTTCCTGAGCATCTGGGCATAGTCCGCCATGGAGCGACCGTAGTTCCAAAAAGTCGGACTGTTTGAAGGAGAGCTGGAATCTGAGCTGCCTGTGGTGATCAAAAGAAACAGACAAAAATGAGGCCGCCGGATCCTCCTACCGTCTCCTTGGCTTTGAGGGCGACTAGAAACCAGGAGACGGTGAGTTCTAGTTCCGCCTTAGGCACAAGATCCAGCTGGGTGACTGGGCTAATCACTCAAACAGACTAGAAGTCACGGACTCCTAGTAATTGACCCAAAGTCACCAAATCAGCTTTCATGCCTACGGCAGGACTAGAACTTACCGTCTCCTGGTGACTGGCCCAAAATCATGCAGCCTGCTTTCGTGCCTAAGGCGGGACTACAACTCTCTGTCTCCTGGTGATTGGTCCAAAGTTTCCCAGCTGGATTCATGCCTAAGGCAGGACTAGAACTCCCTTTCTCCTGGCGATTGGTTCAAAGTCCTCCAGCTGGCTTTCATGCCTAAGGCGGTACTAGAACTCCCTGTCTCCTGATGACTGGGCCAAAGTCACCTAACTGGCTTTCATGCCTAAGGCGGGACTAGAACTCCCTTTCTTCTGGTGATTGGCCCAAAGTCCTCCAGCCTGTTTTCACGCCTAAGGCGGGACTAGAACTCACCGTCTCCTGGTGATTGATCCAAAGTCACCCAGGTGGCTTTCATGCCTAAGGCGGGACTAGAACTCACCATCTCCTGGTGATTGGCCCACAGTCACCCAGCTGGCTTTCATGCCTAAGGCGGCACTAGAACTCCCTGTCTCCTGGTGACTGGGCCAAAGTCACCCAGCCTCCTTTCACGCCTAAGGCGGTCCTAGCACTCACAATCTCCCGATTTCTAGCCTGGCGCCTTAACCAATAGACCACAATACACACTGACTTAACTTTTGAATAACTTTGATGAATGTGCTGTGCGTTATCTGCCCCGCCTTTCTTTCAGCCCACTACTCACCCAGCTGGACCCGGTGCTGTTTCTCCTCCTCGTTTTGAAGGAAGCTGTCGAGCGACTTCAAATCCGTCATGTAGTCGGCTTTGCCCGTGGGGGAATTGTAGACGGTCGGCGAGGAGCGATATCTGGACCTCATCCCGCCGCTGTCCACGGGCCCAATGCTAGCCGGGTACATCAAGGGACCCGGAGAAGGAGTGAACGGCGGCACCTACGCGGAACCAAACGAAATTGGGAATCCAGCGTTTTCTCTTTCTGAATCGTTCCTGAAGTTTATTACAACACAGGCAGTCCTCAACTTACGACCACGACCAAACCCAACGTTTCTGTTGCTAAGCGTGAAAGTTGCTGAGTTTTGCCCCGTTTTAGGACCTTTCTCGCCACAGTTGTTAAGTTGTTAAAAGGATCTGGCTTCCCCATTGACTGTGCTTGTCAAGAAGGTCGCAAAAGGGGATCACGTGAGCACGGGACGCTGCGACCGTCATATATAGGTGTCCAAGTGTCTAAATTTTAAGATGTTATTGATTTTTTCTTACACACATATGATAATTTTTTCAACCAACGTGCTATCTGGGTTTTAAAAAAACGCTAATACACATTTAATTCCTAATCCTTCAATCTTTCCTCTCTAGCCACTGATAAAGTAAGTCCCAAGTTTGATAATATTCTGCTTCTTCTTTTTCTTTCAATCTCAGAGTCAATCTGTCCATCTCTGCGCATTCCAGTATTTTTTTAAATTATTTCTTCCTCTGGTGGTATTCCTTCATTTTTCCAGTATTGCGCAAACATTATTCTTGCAGCTGTTGTGACGTGTAATATCAAATATAGGCTTTGTTTATCAGCCTTTTCTGGCATTATACCTAGTAAAAAAAAGTTCAGGTTTAAAATCTACGTTTCCCCAGTATCTTTTCTAACCAAGTATGTAATAGTAATAGTAGTAAACTTGGAAGGGACCTTGGAGGTCATCTAGTCCAACCCCCTGCTCAGGCAGGAAACCCTACACCATTTCGGACAAATGGCTGTCCAGTCTCTTCTTAAAAACTTCCAGTGTTGGAGCATTTACTGCTTCTGGAGGCAGGTTGTTCCACTGGTCAATTGTTCTAACTGTCAGGAAATTTGTCCTTAGTTCTAGGTTGCTTCTCTCCTTGGTTAGTTTCCACCCGTTGCATCTTGTCCTGCCTTCAGGTGCTTTGGAAAATAGCTTGACTGCCTCTTCTTTGGGGCAGCCCCTGAGATACTGGAAGACTGCTATCATGTCCCCCCTTGTCCTTCTCTTCTAGACATACCCAATTCTAGCAACCGTTCCTTATATGTTTTAGCCTCCAGTCCCCTGATCATCTTTGTGGCTCTTCTCTGTACTCCTTCTAGAGTCTCAACATCTTTTTTACATGGTGGTGACCAAAACTGGATGCAGGATTCCAAGTGTGGCCTTACCAAGGCATTAAAGAGTGGTATTAATACTTCACGTGATCTTGATTCTATCCCTCTGTTAATGCAGCCTAGCACTGTGTTGGCCTTTTTGGCACCTGCAGCATACTGCTGGCTCATACTTAGGTGATTGTCTACTAGGACTCCGAGGTCCCTCTCACAGTTACTACTATTGAGCATGGTGCCACCTATGCTGTACTTGTGCATTTGGTTTTTCTTGCCTAAATGTAGAACCTTGCTTTTTTCACCATTGAATTTCATGTATCATTTTCCAACAGCTCTTTACTTTATCACATGTCCACCAAACATGATAATACGTGCCTGAATTATTTTTACATTTCCAACATCTGTCTGTCTAAATTTTAATGTGACCACAGGGGTGCTGCAACAGTTGTTAAGTTTTGAAAAACAGTCATATGTCACTTTTTCCAGTGTGGCTGTAAATTTTTCTCAGCCGATTGAGTCAGGCTTTTACTGTTTACCTGCAATGTTGTGATAGCAGTGCAGGTTTTCAAACATCTTTCAATTGTAGTAATAATAAAAATAATTAATCTGGCCACTGTACAGATTGTTAGGAAACATTTCAAAACAACTCACTGCAGTCTGAAATACAGTAGGGGTAAGTCCCCGACTTACAGCGGTTCAGTTAGTGACTGTTCAAAGATGCAACAGCACCAAAGAAAGTGAGGTATGACCGTTTTCCACACTTATGACCGCTGCCGCCTCCCCAGGGTCCCTGCCGAAAATTCAGATGCTTGACAACTGACTCATACTTACGACGGCCGCAGGGTCCCGGGCTCGTGTGACAAGCAAAGTCAAGAGGGAAAGCCAGATCCGCTTAACAACTGGGGTCCTAATTTAAGACCTGCGGCGATTCGCTTAAGCAAGGTAGCAAGAAAAGACGTAAAACGGGGCAAAACTCAATGTGTCGCTTAGTGACGGAAACTTGGGGCCATTAAGTTGTACTTAAGTTGTTAAGCTGTCCTCGTCAAATGGTAGGAAATAGTGCTGTACACTTAAAGTAAGAATTGGAGATGTCTGGACCTCAGCCACTTTAAGACGGGTGGATTTCAAGCGTACGCAGCTCTCTTAACAACCGCCTCGCTTAGCGACGGAGACTCCGATGCCCAAGTCTGGCCATGCTTCGAGGACTGCTGGTAAATGGGACCACAGCTCACACATACCTTACTGTAGCTGCTTCCCGGAGAGAAACTGGCAGTTGGGCTGTAGGATCCACTGCTTCCTGACAAGGCTTGCAGCTGTGGGCTGTAGCCGGAGATACAACTGGTTGCAAATTTGGGACTGGTGCTGGGGGAGCGGGATGGACTGTAACTCAGGACACTCTGCCCCTGGATGGGAGGGGAGGGGGTCGAAGGAGGCGTCTTCTTGGGCACCAGCTCACGGGGCGGTGTAGTCTGGACCGCTGAAATTAAACCGTTTCCAAAGATAAAGAAGAACCACAAAGAGACCAACAAGCTTAAGTGTAATTCGAGGATGATGGTTTGTTTTTTCGCCACTACTATAAAATTGTAATTGTTGGGGCGAAAAAAAACAAAAACCACTTTCTGAATGAAGCCGGAAGAGAAAAACCTTTCAGGGTGATAAGAAATAGGGCAGCTAAAGAAGAACAGGTCGTCGTCGGCTTACGACCGTAACTGGAACAGATTTCTGATCGTAAGTCGAAACACACATGGGACCGGACCCAATTTTACACTTTTTTAAAAAAAAATTTTTATTAATTTTCTAGTTTTACAGTCAAATACTTAATAAACAACGTGCTGTCTGGGTCCATTTGTAATTCAGGTGTCTATATTAACTTCTTCAATCTAGATCAGTGTTTCTCAAAAACCTTGACAATTTTAAGGCATGTGGACTTCAACTCCCAGAATTCCACAGATCAGCCACTGATCTAGATCCAATATTACACCATCCAATATTTACTCTCTTCTTCCGACAGTGCCTGTTTTCCCAAACTGGGCAAATACAATTCTTATTGTTATCAGTAAATACACCACTGAATATCAACCTCTTTGTTACATTTTTCTCATAATATCAATGATGTCACTTTTAGATAACTTTTCCAACCAAAACACATCTTAATTGCATTTGCACTTAACATCCATAAGTTCAATCAGTATCCCGTTTTCGCTTTTTTTTTAAAAAAAAAATTAATTTCCCCTCAGTGTTCAAAATGCCTCTGTTATTTATCATTCCAAAGTAAGTTATATTTGGGCAAGCAACAGCTTCCCTTATTCAAACCTCTTAGCATTTTCCTGTCTCCCATCTCGTACCAAAATCTCGTATTCGAATTACAATTCTTATTTTTCTAGTTATAATAATTCTTCTATTTCTAGCAATGAAGAGAAGGACGAGGGGGGACATGATAGCAGTCTTCCAATATCTCAAGGGCTGCCCCAAAGAAGAGGGAGTCAAGCTATTCTCCAAAGCCCCTGAAGGCAGGACGAGAAGCAACGGATGGAAACTGATCAAGGAGAGAAGCAACCTGGAACTAAGGAGGAACTTCCTGACAGTGAGGACAATTAACCAGTGGAACAACCTGCCTCCAGAAGTTGTGGATGCTCCAACACTGGAAGTGTTTAAGAAGAGACTGGACGCCATTTGTCTGAAATGGTATAGGGCAGTGGTTCTCAACCTGTGGGTCAAGACCCCATTTGGGGTCGAACGACCATTTCACAGGGGTCGCCAAACAACGCAGTCCGCCATTTTCCCCCCCTTTTCCTTAGCTGTGCTCCTCCCTTTTATTCTATTGGCTTTTGGAAGCCAATAGAATAGACTCTCTTGAATAGAGTCTAATTCTATTGGCTTTCAAAAGCCCATAAGAATTGTCCAGGCTGTCTCTGCCCTGCTGAGCCCGCCAAAAGTCCCATTCTGCAAACGGTGCTGCACCGCAGCATTAAAAAGATTGAGAACCACTGGTATATGGTTTCCTGCCTGAGCAGGGGGTTGGACTAGATGACCTCCGAGGTCCCTTCCAACTTTATTATTATTATTATTAATTATCTATTTTTATACTTTTGAGGCAGAGTGAACCATCATGGCCATTAAGCAAAAATTATGGTTGTTAAGTGCAAACTCAGACTTCCCCATAGGCAGGGTTTTTTTTGGGGGGGGGCAGGCTGGAAATTGGCAAAGAGTCACAAAGTATCCTCACAGAAGCTGCAACAGTTATAAAGGTGAGCCAGGTGCCTGAAACATATTGGGGGGGGCACAGGAGGAGGGTGCCCACATTTTACGGCGGTTGAAGTGCTTTACGGTCCACAAAGCACCCCATGCTGGGCCTGGTCATTAAACAACTAGTCCTAAATCAAGAAATATCTGTATGTTTCTCTGCACTCCTTCATGTGCAGAGCTATCCATCAATGGAATAGACTGCTTTAGCACAGTCCTGGGGCTTCACTCGTTTGTGTAGAACAATTTCGGGCTTGCCGCGAACTGGTGCCAGTCCACGGACTGGGGGGGGGATTGGGGACCCGTTTTAAGAGATGCTGACCCCGAGTCCAGAGGGCCATCTGTTGGGGATGCTATAGTAATGAGGCTTGTCTGTTTATATTTCATATTAAGAAATACGAGGGACTCTGGGTGGTGTACAATATAATCGAGTGGACCTCCAACACCCAGAATGCTGGCCGGGTGGATTCTGGGAGTTGAAGTCCACAAGTCTTAAGGTGCTCTGCTCTAAACGAACACGCAAAACAGGCCCACCTGCGTTCTGCAGTCCCAGGAGTGTCTGTTGTCCAGGACTCATAACTAAGCTGGTAGGAGCCATGGTGTATTTGAAGTACCTCCAGAAATCAAATAAGGCGTTGAGGCTGAACAAAGAGGCAAAGCCAAGTTCTAGAATTTAAAAAAACAAAACACACACACACACACAAACACATAAATTTACAGCGAACCATTAAAAAGAGATCAGATTGGTTGGTGATGGAAGGAAAGGCATTGCTAAATAAGGCTGTGGGGTCCTTGGTGCTCTCTGAGCTGGGTTGCTTTCTTGCAGGCATTTCATGACCCAACTAGGTAACATCATCAGTGCTAGAAGGAAGGAAGGAAGGAAGGAAGGAAGGAAGGAAGGAAGGAAGGAAGGAAGGAAGGAAGGAAGGAAGGAAGGAAGGAAGGAAGGAAGGAAGGAAGGAAGGAAGGAAGGAAGGAAGGAAGGAAGGAATGAATGACGGACTGTGGGGTCCTTGGTGCTCTCTGAGCTGGGTGGTTTTCTTTCAGACATTTCATGACCCAACTAGGTAACATCATCAGTGCTACAAGGGAGGGGGGTTTGAGGAGGAGGACGACGACGAAGAATGTGGGGTCCTTGGTTTTCTCTGAGCTGGGTTGCTTTCTTGCAGGCGTTTCACAACCCAACTAGGTAACCTCAACAGTGCTAGAAGGGGGTGGGGTTTGTATAATAGAGGAGGAGAAGGGGAGGAAGAGGATGAGAAGGAAGGAGGAATGAAGGGGAGGAAGGAAAGAGAAGGAATTACGGGGAAGGACTCTGGGGTCCTTGGTGTTCTCTGAGCTGGGTGGTTTTCTTGCAGACATTTCACGACCCAACTAGGTAACATCATCAGTGCTGGAAGGAAGGAAGGAAGGAAGGAAGGACTGCCTGTGGGGTCCTTGGTGCTCTCTGAGCTGGGTGGTTTTCTTTCAGACATTTCATGACCCAACTAGGTAACATCATCAGTGCTACAAGGGAGTGGAGTTTGAGGAGGAGGAGGAGGACGACGAAGAATGTGGGGTCCTTGGTGTTCTCTGAGCTGGGTGGTTTTCTCGCAGAAAACTAGAGAACGTGCTAGAAAGAAGGGGGGTTATGGTCCGTTTACATATTGGTGGCTTGTCCTGTCAGTGTTGACGGGGATGTCCTTGGTGATTCCTTGATTAGGCTGGGGTTTATTGTTCCCTTGTTCATCTGAGTTGGTAGTTCCTGGATTGGGGTATTGTTTACTGCTTGGTGTTAATCTCTGCTTATCAGGCTATTTCCCTGCTGGTGGGGAGGTGTCCAACAATCCAGTCCTCAGCTACAAATATTCTCTTGTATGGGGGCTAAATAAGGTTAGTAGAGGGGGAAATTATTTATTTATTTATTTATGAGACTTATATACCGCTTTAAGTGCAAGCACTCTCTACGCGGTGTACACCAGTAAGCAATGTATATATATTTACATTGCCCCAACAATCTGGGTCCTCTTTTTACCTACCCCGGAAGGATGGAAGGCTGAGTCAACCTTGAGCCGGTGAGATTTGAACCGCTGACCTGCTGAACACAGTCAGCTAAAGCAGCCTGCAGTGCTGCACTCTAACTGCTGCGCCACCTCGGCTCATTTCACCAGAGGGGTGGATGGAACTACTTAAACTTAACACACAGGCCCAATGTAATACGGATGGATTGTAAGAACATGGAAAAGAAGTGGCAGGATCCAATCTGGGCCAGTCAGCGGGACGAGAGGTTTTGTCTTCCAAGCTTTCGGATTTTCAGAGCCATCCTGAGGGAACTTTTCTCTAGCCAAATCTCTCTCTAGGCTAGGGAGACGTTCCCCGAGGATGGGCTTGGCACGAGTCCAAATGCTCAGAAGACAAAACCACTGGTCTCGGTGACCGACCCAGATTGGATTCGGCAACGTTATCCTGGGACACCTACATTCAGCCTTCGTTCATGGAACAGAAGTCTTCAAATGCAGCAACATGTTAAACACACAGGGCTGCCAACTTGCTTAAAAAAAACCAAACCCAGATAAGGCAGACATCCTAAGGCAGGGCTTTTCAACCAGTGGTACGGGTACCACCTGTGCTACATTGGCACCTGGCAGGTGGTATGTGACCACCCTAGAAAAGTGATAGCAGGGGAGGGGAATGAGCTGAACCGGTGGCAGCACCGCACAAGCCTGAGCGAGAGACGGCTGGAGCTGCAGGGCTCAGCGGAAGCGCCAGCATCAGAACTTCTTCGGGGCTGTCAGGGCTCAGCGGAAGCGCCAGGATCAGCATCAGGCTCCAGCTGGAGCTCAGCACTGACCCTGGCGCTTCTGCTGAGCCCAGAAGAAGCGCCGATCAGCTGGAATGTTGCAGCCTCTCCAGGGTCTTGTGATTTACATTCAGATGCTTGGCAACGGATTCATATTTATGACGGTCACAGTGTCCCAGGGTCATGTGAAGTGACCAAAACCTGCTGCAACCACCCAGCAGACGGGGGGAATAAAAACCAAACACCCCCCCCCCACCTCCGCTGCCAATCCTCAACAGAAATGCTCACAACAATGAAAACCTCAAACAGGAGGAAGAGCGCGGCCGGGTGGGCAGGCAGGCGCCTTGCTCGGCTGTGGCTTGGGGGGCACTTTTTTCAGTGCCATTGTAACTTTGAACAGTCACTAAGTGAACTGTTGTAAGTCGAGGACTACCTGTACTTTACCACTTTTTTCCTTTTTTTGGTCATCAGGTTTTTGACACCTTGCTAGGCGATTGGTGGTACTCGGAGGTTGCCATATCCTAAAAGTGGTACAGTGGGTGAAAAGGCTGAAAAGCCCTGTCCTAAGGCATTGAAACTAACCACCATTCCTTTGCTGGAGACTGCAGGATACTTACCAATGTACCAGAGGACCCAGCCCGAAATGTTGTAATAGGAACTGATTAGTTTTCCAGACCTTGAATGAGAGAAAGGCAAAGGTTAGTATTCATATTTCTGTTTTTCAGAGTTTCACAATACCGTAACATAGTCCTCGACTTATCACCACAATTTAGAGCTGAATTTGTGTCGCTAAGCAAGGCGAGGGTTAAGTGAGTGATGCCCAATTTTAGGACCTATTTATTTTAATCATCATTACGAAGCACAAATAGCTGCAGCTGTTAAGGGAATCACATGGTCTGTCCCCCACCCTTGACAGTGCCCTAATTTGTCTGAAATGGCGTAGGGCTTCCTGACCGAGCAGGGGGTTGGACTAGAAGACCTCCATGGTCCCTTCCAACTCTGTCATTGTTTTACTCTATTCTGTTATTCCAGGGGTCTTCGAACTTGGCCCTTTTATGACTCATGGACTTCAACTCCCAGAATTCCTCAGCCAGCCTCTATTTTGTTTCTTAGATTTAAGACAGGGGTCTTCCAACTTGGCCCTTTGATGACTCGTGGACTTCAACTCCCAGAATTCCTCAGCCAGCCTCCATTTTGTTTCTTAGATTTAAGACAGGGATCTTCAAACTTGGCCCTTTGATGACTCATGGACTTCAACTCCCAGAATTCCTCAGCCAGGCACGTGTGCCTGGCTGAGGAATTCTGGGAGTTGAAGTCCACGAGTCATCAAAGGGCCAAGTTTGAAGATCCCTGTGTTACTCACTCAAGCAAGCTCTCCAACGTACATTTCGGTGTAGACCATGCCAGCGAGTGACAGGTTGAGGAATCCCCAGGCCAAGAGAACTTTCCTCGCTTCCGTTTCCTTCCTCATCTTGATGGTCCTGTCGATGAGCGACTCGGAGGGATTTGGTTCCCCCTGCATTGTCTAGAAAGAGCAAGAACAGAAGATTATTTGATTTTTCTTAAATGTATATGCTGTCCTCTAGAGTATCCCTAGCAACTCTGGGCATATAAGGAAAGGTTGCTGGAATTGGAGATGTCTAGTCTAATGAAGAGAAGGATGAGGGGGGAGATGATAGCAGTCTTCCAGTATCTCAGGGGCTGCCCCAAAGAAGAGGGAGTCAAGCTATTCTCCAAAGCGCCTGAAGGCAGGACAAGAAGCAGCGGATGGAAACTAATCAAGGAGAGAAGCAACCTGGAACTAAGGAGGAATTTCCTGACAGTGAGAACAATTAACCAGTGGAACAACCTGCCTCCAGAAGTGGTGAATGCTCCAACACTGGAAGTGTTTAAGAAGAGACTGGATAGCCATTTGTCTGAAATGGTATAGGGTTTCCTGCCTGAGGAGGGGATTGGACTAGATGACCTCCAAGCTCCCTTCCAACTTTATTATGATTATGATTATTATTATGATTATTATTATTAATCTATCTTTCAGCCCATCTTTTCCTTGGTTCCCCCACCTTTCTATCTCCTCCGCCAATAACCCAACGAAGGAAGCAGCGAACTAATCACAGGTAATTCTCGACCCACAACTATTTGTTCAGTGAGTGTTCAAACTGACAACAGCACTGAAAAGAAATTTCACTCTTAACAACCGTTGCAGGATCCACCATGATCTTGTGATCAAAATTCAGACGCTTGGCAACTGGTCCATATTTATGACCATCCCAAGATCAGGTGATCCTCTTTTGCAACCTTCTAACAAGCAAAGTCAATGGGGAACAGCTGCAAAAATTCACTTAACAACTGTGGCAAGAAAGGTCATAAAATGGGGCAAAACTCACTTAACGGTCTCACTTAGGAGCAGAAATTTTTGGGATCAGCTGTCATAAGTTGAGGATTACCCGTATCTCAGAGCACACACTGCTTTTCATTTAAACCAGTGTTTCTCAACCTTGACAATTTTAAGGCATGTGGACTTCAACTCCCAGAATTCCACAGCCAGCATTGCTGGCTGTGGAATTCTGGGAGTTGAAGTCCACATGCCTTAAAATTGTCAAGGTTGAGAAACACTGATTTAAACAATGTGAAGAGGTTGTGCGATTGGGACTGCCTTTTCATCCTGGCTATTTCAATTCTTGGATTTCCCCAACACATTCTCTAATGCTTTTACTAATTTTCTGACACTTAGCTCTAAAAATAGGCTTCCTAATGAATAGAATACTTTATTTGACCAAATGTGATTAGACACACAAGGAATTTGTCTCCGGCACAGAAGCCTTGAACAAAATGAATGAATGAATGCCAAAGATTCTTTTTCAGGAGGCAACTGGACTTTGTTTTTTTTTTTGAAGATGTTTCACTTCTCATCCAAGAAGCTTCTTCAGTTCTATGGATGACTGAGAATCTCCATAGACCAGGGGTAGGCAACCTTGGCTCTTTTATGACTGGTGGACTTCAACTCCCAGAATTCCTGAGCCAGCCATGCTGAGGGGAAAGGGAGAGGTTTCAAAGCTGAGCCATGCTGGCTCAGGAATTCTGGAGTTGAAGTCCACCAGTCATGAGGGGGCCATAATTACCCCATGCTGGCTCAGGAATTCTGGGAGTTGAAGTCCACGAGCCATAAAAGAGCCCAGGTTGCCTACCCCTGGGCTAGGAGGCTCACCGCTTAGAACAGAAGGACTTAGGACAGGGGTAGGCAACCTGGCTCTTTTATGACTCGTGGACTTCAAGTCCCAGAATTCCTGAGCCAGCCTGGCTCAGCTTGGAAACCTCTCCCTTTCCCCTCTGCATGGCTGGCTCGGGAATTCTGGGAGTTGAAGTCCACCAGTCATAAAAGAGCCAAGGTTGCCTGCCCTAGGCCTAGGCCGCTTTATGACTTGTGGACTTCAACTCCCAGAATTCCTGAGCCAGCCGTGCTGAGGGGAAAGGGAGAGGTTTCCAAGCTGAGCCAGGCTGGCTCAGGAATTCTGGGAGTTGAAGTCCACCAGTCATCAAGGAGGCCATAGTTTCCCCATGCTTGCTCAGGAATTCTGGGAGTTGAAGTCCACCAGTCATAAAAGAGCCAAGGTTGCCTACCCCTGCTCTAGGCGGCTTTATGACTGGTGGACTTCAACTCCCAGAATTCCTGAGCCAGCCACGCTGAGGGGAAAGGGAGAGGTTTCCAAGCTGAGCCATGCTGGCTCAGGAATTCTGGGAGTTGAAGTCCACCAGTCATAAAACGGCCTACGCCCAGGCCAGAAGTAGGCAACCTTGGCTCTTTTATGACTCATGGACTTCAACTCCCAGAATTCCTGAGCCAGCCATTCTGAGGGGAAAGGGAGAGGTTTCCAAGCTGAGCCAGGCTGGCTCAGGAATTCTGGGACTTGAAGTCCACGAGTCATAAAAGAGCCAAGGTTGCCATAGACGAACGAACGAACGAATCTGATTTAATGGGGAGGGTTTCCCCCTCAAACGCGGCGCGTTTAAATGACGCAGGCATAATTGGGACGGCGCCTTTAAGAGCGGCGTGGGGACCGGTCCGTGGCGCGAGGGATCCTGGGAAATGTGGTCCAAGTGGTCTCGCGGGCGCCATGTTGGCAGGCGGGGCCTCACCTGGATTAGCTTCTTTAACCTAAGGCCGGTTTGAGGGGGCTACGGGGCAGGGAACCCCCCAGCGTCAAAGCAGCGTGGGGGGAGAGAAGAGCGCATGCGCACTCCCTATGACGGAGGAGAAAATAACAATCGATCCCCCCCCCCAAATAAATCCCGCAACATTCCCCTCGCTTACCAGCACGGATTCGCCTTCCTCGCCCGAACTGCGCCTGCGCAGCGGGGTTTGCCTCCACCTCCCTGCTCAGTCTAATTGGATGCGAGGAAGAACGAGGACGCCACGGCGAAGGCGGGTTTTGTTGCCGAGGCGACGGGCGCGAAGGAGGGGACTGGCGGCCGTCCTCGTGGTCAGCTCCGATTGGCCGAGCCTCTCTTTGACGTTTTGGCGGGAAGAATGTAAAAGGATCAAAAGCCTTTTGATGGGTTTCGGGAGATTTCCTCAAAAATGTTTTATGAGGCGCTGAGCTTGGGATCCTGGCTGGATTCATGGAGAGGGAGGGTTGCAAGGGGAATCCGCCCTTGTGATAGATCTCCAAGGAGTAGAATGTAAGCACAAAGGAAATAAACAAGACTTAAGCCATGGCTTGTCTAACCATGCTAGCATTCACACAATATCAGAAATCATCCATCCAGCCGAAGTGTACAATCCAGCCGAAGTGTACAATCACTAACTGGGTTTACTCAGACATGCCTTATCTAACCATAATAATGTTCACACAGTTCTAAAGTTCTGTCCATCCAATTATGTTCACACAGGATCTAAACCATGGCTTCTTTTAACAGGTATTGAAAGCCATTGATCCAATCTTTACAATCCCAAGCTGGATGGAAGCAGTTCCTAGTAAGGCCGCCTTTTGCAATTGACTAATGGCGAATTTGTCAATGCCAATGGTGTTCAAGTGGTGCTCCAGTTGTTTTGGGATATTATTATTATTATTATTATTATTATTATTATGGATCATTGTACAGTCAGCCAGATGTTCAGATTGGATTTGACAATTCTGCCCACTTATCCAGTCCTTTCCAAGTACCTGGGCTGGGCAGATGTGGATGTTTGATGGTATTACAGATCTCGTCGCAGCATGGAAGCAGTTCCTAGTAAGGCCGCCTTTTGCAATTGACTAATGGCAAATTTGTCAATGCCAATGGTGTTCAAGTGGTGCTCCAGTTGTTTTGGAATATTATTATTATTATTATTATTATTATTATTATTATTATTATTGATCACTGCACAGTCAACCAGTTGTTGTTGTTGTTGTTGTTATTATTATTGATAGAAGCAACCTGGAATTAAGGAGAAACTTCCTGACAGTGAGGCAGTGAGGACAATTAATGAGTGGAACAGCTTGCCTCCAGAAGTTGTAGATGCTCCATCCCTGGAGGTTTTTAAGAAGAGATTGGACAGCCACTTGTCTGAAATAGCATAGGTTCTCCTGCTTGAGCAGGGGATTGGACTAGAAGACCTCCAAGTGAGGTCTTAAAATAAGTGAGACACAATAAGTGAGACACAAAATAAGTGAGACACAATTTCGTGATTTTGCCTTCCAGTGACATGTCTGGTGTGATGCACTCCAGGACTTGCTTGTTAGTCCCCTTTCCTGTCCAAGGAATACACAGGGGCCTTCTTTAGCAGCACCGCTCAAACCAGTCGACTTTCTTCCCGTCTTGCGTTTTTAAGGTCCAACTTTAACAACTGTAGGTAGCTATATATGGGAACATGATAGAGCAAACTAACCTGTATTTGGTTGCCAGGCGTTTCTAACGATCTTATGCAACAATCCATGGGCAACAATCCATATGCAGAGCGCATCCTCCATCGGCAGAATTCCTTGCTACAAGATGTGATGGCCACCAAGATGGCCAATTTGAGAGAAGGTTGAATACACTCAAAAAGACAGGTGCCACAAGGGCGAAGACTCCATGTTACCTTTAGGTTGGGTCTAGCATGCTTCCAAACATCAACCATAGGAGGAGAGAGGTGAGTCTCCATCTTCTCCTGGTGAACATCTGCAGGTATCAAGTTAAGGAGAAACCACATGTTGAACTAGGATAGGCGTTGGCCTGACTCAACAAACCGATTCCTAGATTTCCTGAACTTCCAACAAGAACAATAATGTGGGCCATTATCTTGGACAGCTTTTAACTAGAGATGGGATAAATTCATGAAGGACAAGTCCATTGAGTGCCATCAGCCGTGAAGACTCCATGTTACGTCTAGGTTGAGGGCCTCGTATTTCCAAATATCAACTGTAGAAGACCAACTGTGGAAGAGACGTGGGTCTCCATCTCCTGCTTGAGAACTTCCCAGAAGCCTCTATGAGAAAGCAAATGCGGCACCACGCTGGACCTTGACTTTTTCCACCTAAGGCTAGTCTTCTGAGGCAGACCCCAAAAGTGGACAGGTTCTTCAAAGGACGTTTGGTCATCTCCGTGGTTACAAGAATGCTCCGGAACAGGGTTCTAGGTCTTGCAGGCCACCGCTTGGGAAACGATCCGTGTCAACACAATCCGTTGCCTTGGCCACTGGACTGCTGCCTTAGTTCCCATTTTCCTGGGCGCCTCTCTAACTTTTGGCCCAGGATTTTGGACATTTCTGCAAAGCAAGTTTCTCTCCTTCTCTCTCTCTCTCTCTGTCAAATGGCCTTCCCTTTTCTTTATTCCTGGTGGCATTCTTTTGACAAGGGGCAGATGCCCTCTGCCCCCCGCAAGGACATCCCCTGTGAGGAAGAGGAAGAGGAAGATGAGGAGGTTTGCTGGTTCCTGGGAGAAATGCTGCTTTTTTACTGTTTGGCCGTCATCTTTCTAAAACTCGGCTCCCTTGGGGCGAAGAGGGTAAGGTTATTTGAGGAGAGGACCTCAAGCCATAAAAACCCCACTGGATCAGCTCGGCCACGTTGTCCCCAAAACGGGCAACCAAAACATCCAAGAAAGTTTCATGCAGCCAGCCCTCAAATCCGCCGCTGCGGTTGCAGGAATATGCTGATAGACTGCTGCTGCACGTGGAGCCTCATAGTAGCCATTGTGACAAACAGTCCATCATAAAGGTAGTCCTCGACTTACAACAGTTCGCCTAGTGACCGTTCAAAGCTACAACGGCACTGAACAAAGTCACTCATGACCGGTTTTCATGCTTACGACCCCCATGGTGACATGATTAAATTTCGGGCGTTGGCCACCTATTCATATTTGTGACAGTTGCGGTGTCCCCGAGTTATGCGATCACCGTTTGCGAGCTTCTGACAAGCAAAGTCAACAGGGGAAGCGAGATTCACTTAACAACCGTGTTCATAACTTAACTGCAGAGATTCACTTAACAACGGTGGGAAGAAAAGTCATAAAATGGGGCAAAACTCGCAACCACCGTCTTACTTAGCGACAGAAACTGTGGTCGTTAAGTCGAGGACTACCTGTAGGCCAGTCTTGTCAGCGTCCCTTCCACATGTCCCAAAGGGAACCACCAGGGCTTCAAATCTCGTCTTAAAAGCTGGTTCAAAACCACAAGCTGTGTTCACACCACATGCTAAGCCCGTTGTTGAGGGAACAATGGTTTGGAATGTGGTGCGAACGCGGCCTATGGTTCTTAAAAACCCCACTATGCTAAGTTCACACGATACTGGACCCTCAAACTGTAAACTAATAAAGCAAAAATGATATGTTTTTCTCCTATGCATTTTCATGTTTCTTTCAAAATTGATCATTCAAGTTTCCGTATTTCCTGGCACAGTTTTTCCTCAGACAACCTTGTGGAACGCTGACCTGCAACTGGAAGGCCCATTCAAAAGGTAAACACTTATGTTCCTTCAAGCAGCATGTTTCACATCAGGGGTGTGCAACCTGGTCAACATGAAGACCTCTGGAATTCAACTCCTAGAATTCCCCAGCCAGCCATGCAACCATCTCAACTTTAAGACCTCTGGACTTCAACTCCCAGAATTCTCCAGCCAGCCATGCAACCTTGTCAACTTGAAGTCCTGTGGACTTCAACTCCCAGAATTCTCCAGCCAGCCATGCAACCTTGTCAACTTGAAGTCCTGTGGACTTCAACTCCCAGAATTCTCCAGCCAGCCATGCAATCTTGTCAACTTGAAGTCCTGTGGACTTCAACTCCCAGAATTTCCCAGCATGCTGGCTGGGGAATTCTGGGAGTTGAAATCCAGTGGTCTTAAAATTAACACCCGTGTTTTATACTATAAATTAACAAATGATGTGGATAGACTGGGCGTAAGTCTCTTTTTTTTCAGTGCCGTTGTAACTCCGGTCGCTAAGCGAACAGTCGTAAGTTGAGGACCACCTGCAATTTGTCCCTTTCTCTCCTGCTTTTAGGGGGCCAAGGGTGCAGCTGCCAGTGTCACTGCAAGATCACCCTCTGTGGTCTGTTCAGGAAGATCTTTGGGGGGAAAGGAAACCCGGAGGCCGGGGAACCCCCAGTCTCGCCCCCCATCAAAAAACGCCTGAAGAAGCGTCTCTCCCTGCTCAGCCAGCAGACTTTCTGCGACAGCGATTCCTCGGGCACCGGCAGCCCGGATTCCCAGTTATCCTCCTGGAAGTGGAGCCAGACGGGCGACAGTGTCAGCCTGGCCAGCCGGAAGAAGAAGCAGCAGCGGACGGCCAAGACCCCCCGGGACCCCGATTCCTCCTGGATGAGGCAACAGCCCTGCATGCGTTGCAAAGCGAAGCGGACGCGCGAATGGCTGGTGCAGCACTTTTACAACAAAGATTTACCCTTGCAAAGCAAGAAAAACTGAGGCCTGGTCAAAGAGGCTTTTTGGGGATCCCCGTGCTGGCCAAGCCACTTTGGGGGGCACTTTTAGGTGGGCCGGTGGGCCTGCTGGGCTGGAGCCCCGGATGACTCGTATCAATAAAAGATAGCGATGCATTGTAAGTAATGGTGGTGTTTTTCACATGGCTGTAAAAGTGTAGATTGGTTAAAGGACATTAGGGTTCCCCAAACTTGGCAACTTTAAGACTTGTGGACTTCAACTCCCAGAATTCCCCAGCCAGACAGACAGGAAGATGTGAAGACTTCAACTCCCAGAATTCCCCAGCCAGACAGACAGGAAGATGTGAGGACTTCAACTCCCAGAATCCCTCAGCAGGCTAGACAGGAAGCTGTGGAGACTTCCAGTCCCAGAATGCCCAAGGCAGCCAGACAGGAAGACATGAGGACTTCAACTCCCAGAATTCCCCACTCTTGGTGAGGAATTCTGGGAGTTGAAGTCCAGAAATCTTAAAGTTGCCAAGTTGGGGGACCTCTGGTGGGCGTTGTCTGACTTTACAATGGTCTAACAACACTGCTGGATCTTGCTAGTTTGGCATCACATTCATTATGTTGGGAGGAACTCCCCCGTTCGGTTCTTCCAGCCGGGATTCTCCTTGACGGCACAGTGCAGAATAGATCGTGAAGCCAGCTGCCAGAAAGAGGTTTTATTTCGAGGATCAGCGTTGAGTGACAATTCAGCTCGAGTCCCCGGCTAGCTAGACAGAGTGATCTTTAAACAGGGGTTTTTATACCCTTTTGTGGTTTCCAAACTTGTCATTTCTGATTGGTAACAAACTTACCATTTCTAATTGGTGAGTTAAAATTTGTCTTTCTTGATTTGCTGGTTTGTGACTATTGTTAGTTCCTTTTTCTTGCCTAAAAGGTGTTAATTACTTTTATTGTTGTGTCCTGATTGCTGCTAGCTGGTTCCTCATTGTGTGTGTCAAGTGTTTGCTGTTTTAGCCTCAGGCTGCTGTTGACCCAGTTTAGTTGGGGTGTTCCTAGATTATTTCTTAGTTGGGCTGGGGAGGGGGTGTCCAACTCTCATCAATTCCCCCATTTTGGGCTATTACTGATGTATCAGTGATTAGCCCAACTGGTTCATATATACGGTAGTGGTGATCAATTTGGCACATCATAAGAGATGTTTTCTTGCTCTGTCCCTTGCTTCTGATGGGAGTTGTGCAGACCTTTAGGCATTTTAACCCTAAAGGTGCTAATTGGCATAGGCAACAAAGGAGGGCTCCACCTATTGCGACTGTGATTATACTAACAATAAGAATTTTCAACCAATGGAAGTCTGGTAACCATGAAAAGAGCCAGGAAAGATTCCAGGATGACTGGTTGTGCCCAATGTTTTGTGCTAGTTCTCTTAAATGTTGGATGTCCCCTTTAGCTTCCAGTCAAGTTTGCATACCCCCCAAAATTCTTCACAGCCATGGTTCTCCTTAGTACATGACCACTGGCTGCCCAGTTTCAAGGGTTGTTTCCTGCCTTAGCTCTTAATTCAGTGCATCCAGGTTTGTAATGCCCAACTGCCAGGCTATTAAATTTTCTTTAAATTGCACATAATGAGTTCTAGGAATCGCAATCTGAGCTCAACAGTGCAAAATATTCAGGGCATAAGTTTGGGATTTTTCCTATTGCTTCCTTAGTCATGGCATATGAATTGCAAATCACCTGAGGGGGCCTAGTTCCTCCCCCTTGTTATCTGTTGGAAGTTGATCCCTCAAAGCTTTGGTGCAACAGAGCAAAAATCAGCCTGAGGAACTTTACTAAAGGTAGGTGGAGGGGATAGACTCTGAATGGGGTGAATGGTGTATGTATGCATATGCAGCTATTTTTACAAAATAGTCAATACAAACATTCTGGATAAATTTTCCCTCCCACCAGATAGAAATCCAAGGTGTTCAGTACTTGTTCTGCCACATATTCCTAAATGCCATCTCTCCATTAATAAATTCAACTGGCTTGTTACAATACAGATGGGGCAAGAAAGAAAAGTTTACAATGAGTTTCCACCCTCCCCCCACAGTCTAATTTTCTCTTCTGAGGCTTCACATGGCATCAGGAATCTTCCTTCTGCAGCTCTCACAGGCATCTGGGTAAATGGTAGGACTTGGGAAGATGTTCCACTCAGATTGCATGGTGGCTTTTTAGTGGATGGCTGGATTCAATTCAATTCCATGGCTCAAATGGATGGAGGCAGCATCTGGGTCTGTGTGTTCTGCTTCCAAAGGGTTGGGAGAGGATTGCAGGGCTGAAAGATACAAGAACAAGGTCTCCCCCCCCTTTCTGGGTGGACTCTACCAGGAGAGGAAGACAAAAGGTATGGAGAACAAAGGACAGGAAAAGAATTGGAAGGGGGGTAGCTTGCAGGCAGTTTGAAAAGGGCATTAATACTGCAGTTATTAAACATAGACAAATGGGGAACAACAAAATGAAATGTTTCACCTTTGAACTTGACCATTTGCAACATATTAAGGACAAGAACTTGCAACTTGGAAGGAAAAAAAAATGCTAGGCAGCTTGAGAATGCTAAAAATTCCAAATAATTTTAAAAGCCTAATATTTTAAGATGTGCAACTTGCCAAAGGTAGGAAGATCTGCCTTTTAACATTTATTCTAAAATAGATAACATTATTTTAGAGATTGGAAAATGCTTATGTTTCAGGAAGCTTCATAGTAGTTTCACCAGTAAGTGATAGGATAAGAAAAGTAACTTTAAAAAATTATTTCCCCACACAAGCAGACTTGAGTTTCAAAAGGCTCTTGTAGATAGACACACATTTTTCAGGAAAAGGATAGATAAAACACATACAGTAAATGCAAGTGAAACTTTTCCAACAGATAAACTTAAAACAATCCCTCCAAGTAACTTAAGGCTGTTCTTGAGCGTACACAGAGACAGAGAAAAACAAACAAACAAACAAAAACAAACAAACACATTTTTTTTTCTTCACTCTGTTTGTTGGCCAGACAAACAGAGTGAGGTATTTCCTTTTTGTGGCTTATTTTTAAGCATAATTTCTAGCAGAATTTAAAATTCTTTTTCCTTTGGATTTGAAACAGTTAATAGTCATTTACCTCTCACGCAGACTTTGACAAACATATATACACAAAGACAAGAGAACAGAAGTCTTAGTTTTACACATCCTAGTCATTCCCACCATAAATTTCAGATAACTCAAGTTAGGGAAGGCACATATTTTAAACATACCACGTGATTGCATAGAGAAGAGAGAGAGAGAAAGAGATAGAGAGAGAGAGAATCACTATTTCTTATTTTCCCTTTTAAGTACCTTTATTTAGACAAATTGGTTTTCCAGCAAAGCCCTAAGCAAAGTCTGTATTTTTTTTTCTTTTCCCCCATATAGTTTCTTTACCTACCTCTTTTCCATTCCGGCCTGGACAGGTAACTGGTTCCTGTCCCAGCCCCGAGCAAGCTCTCAACCAGGAAACCTACTTCCGCCCTTGAATTAGAACTTCCCATGTTTCTATAATGGGATTTCCCTACCACTAAAGGGCACGATCCGTCAGAAGTCTCCTTGTGAGACTTCTTCCTACTATCACGATTTTGTGAGTCCAAAAAAAAAGGGGACTCACGGAGCTTCTCTGGATCCCTCAGAGTTCGTGGGCTCCTCCGAGGGATCCTGCCACGTTTTCAGACCAAAAAGGGGTCTGCAGAGACACTTCTGGTTTCCTCGTTAGAAGGTACTGGCTACTCTTCGACCGGCCGGCTTCACACCACTGTTTACGGACGCCTCTAATGTCCGTGGGCACCTCCACTTGCTCTCGGAGGTAAGTGGCCGCTCCCTTCTTGAGGCTTAATTTCCTAACTTTGCTTTGCTTACAGGGCCTTACCAGCTAGTTGCCCAAATCCAATTCTTTCATTCACTCATTCCATTTCATTTTCACACAGCCTCTCCCTTTTCCCTAACAAAAGGTTCTGTGCTCTGACCAACCCCCATGCTTTCCAGGTTCTGCCAATTAAACAGATCCTTTCTGCGGCTAGGAAAGGCCAGAAGCAGCAAAATCCAACTGTGATTGGGAAAAAAAAGATCTTCTCACTCACACAAACAGAAATACACACATTTTCTTTGTTCCCCTGGGCTTTAAAGTTAAAATTTAGAGGTACTCACCTTCACCTTCTTTCCAAAGCAGCCCTTGAGCTCAAACACTCAAAACTCCCTTTACTACCCTAGCTCCACATGGGCAAGGCCTGGGAGACCCATCCTCAGACACAAGGGGGTCTGCTGCCGGCAAGATGGGGCTTACCAGTCTCAGTCCATTGGAGAGGTTAGCTTGGAGTCCCATCTCGGGGTGCCAAATTGTTAGAAGTAAAGTCTTCATCCTGGTTCATCCAAGCCGGGAATAAATAAGCAAACATGGCGACTGCTTTGGGAAGAAGGTTACAGTTTATTGCAGAAAGATGGTTCTTCAGGAAAGTGCAGAGGAGAGAGAAGGGCAGAGAGCACAGAGAGAGATTGAGCACATGGGCAGTAGGTTTTATACCCCCCCCCTAGCCTTTTGTTTGGAATAGTTTCCTGTTCCTGTGGCATGACCCTTGAGACTGTTTCTGAGTGTTTGTCTAGGCCTTGATATCTGTGGTTTAATTCTGTTATCATATCCTGCTTCCCAGGTGATGGGGCTGATTCCTAGAATTTGGGTGGGGTATGCAGACCTTCTCTTTTGTCTTCTTGATTGCTCTGGCTCCAACTTTCTGATGGTTTTACATTTGCATTTGTATAGGGCTAAAGTCTTGCTTGGGGCAGAGAGATAGATTTGGGGCCAAGTTTGGTTTTAAAAAGTCCTTTTGAGGAAAAATATATTTTTCTGCCCTTTTTAATATTTCCTTCTGGGCTAACTTTCATCAATTACTTGCAACACAAACATTTTGCTTTTAAAAGTGAAGGTAGGCTGCAAGACTCTGTAGCCTGACCTTGAAGTATCTGTATGTGTGTCGTGAATGTGTCAGTTTGTGTGCCTGTGTGTGTGTCTGTGCGTTTACTACATTCAGCATGCAGCGTTATTTTTTTTTCCAGCTAGATCCCCTCCCAAGGCCGGACAAGCTGTGAATTGTGACAGCTGTGCAGCATATGCATTAGGTTTAAGCTCTGTGTTTAGTTAAATATCCCAAAAACATTTTTTATATAAACTTTATCATTGGAAAAGAATGGCAATACAGTCCGAAGTGTCTTGAGTTTCTTAGAACTAGCACTGGGCATCGTTCCTTCCTTTTTTTAAAACAAAAGGAAAAAAAAAATTCTCAAGAAAAGGAAAATGCCCACACACTTGGAAGCAACAGGTTCAGGCCGCAAATACATTTGAATTCTGAGTGTATGTGTTCTTTGTCAGTGTCCGCATTTGCACACTTTCCTGTGTCATGGCTTGTTAACTATGGTGGATTTCTTCAAAGTAGAAACCCTGTTTGTAAACCACAATAACTGTGGGGTCACTGAACCCCTTAAACCCAAACTGAATAATCCACACTGTAATTTAATGTGATGCATAAACCTTGCTAGCTTGTTCTTTCTCTTGCAGCAGTTCTGCACACCTGATCGTGGTATATTTCATTTTGCAGTTGAAATCAGCACATTTATTTGCTGAGATTAGGTACTGCGGTTCTGAACATTATTAACTGGGGGAAGTTAGCCCAGAGAAGGAAATATTAAAAAGGGCAGAAAAATATATTTTTCCTCAAAAGGACTTTTTAAAACCAAACCTGGCCCCAAATCTATCTCTCTGCCCCAAGCAAGAGCTAGGCCCATACAAATGCAGATGTAAACCATCAGAAAATTGAAGCCAGAGCAATCAAAAAGACAAAGAGAAAATCTGCATACCCCACCCAAACTCTAGGAGTCATTAGCCCCATCACCTGGAAGCAGGATATGATAATAGGATTAAACCACAGATATCAAGGCCTAGAAAATCATTCAGAAATAGCCTCAAGGTTCATGCCACAGGAACAGGAAACTATTCCAAACAAGGCTTGTTGTTGTTGTTGTTGTTAACTACGAAGTCGTGTCCGACCCATCGCGACCCCATGGACAACGTTCCTCCAGGTCTTCCTGTCCTCTACCATCTTCTGGAATGCATTTAAGTTCACACCTCCTGCTTCAGTGACTCCATCCAGCCACCTCCTTCTCTGTCGTCCCCTTCTTCTCTTGCCCTCCATCTTTCCCAGCATTAGGCTCTTCTCCAGTGAGTCTTTCCTTCTCATTAGGTGGCCGGAGAACTTGAGTTTTAACTTCAGGATCTGGCCTTCTAAAGAGCAGTCAGGGTTGATCTCCTCCAGGACTGACCGGTTTGATGGCCTTGCAGTCCAGGGGACTCGCAGGAGTCTTCTCCAGCACCATAGTTCAAAGGCCTCCATTCTTTTCAATTCCATTTAAATTTAAATTAAATTCCATTTAAGCTCAAGCCTGCTGCTTCAGGGACTCCATCCAGCCACCTCCTTCTCTGTCGTCCCCTTCTTCTCTTGCCCTCCATCTTTCCCAGCATTAGGCTCTTCTCCAGTGAGTCCTTCCTTCTCATTAGGTGGCCAAAGTCCTTGAGTTTCAACTTCAGGATCTGTCCTTCTAAAGAGCAAACAAGGCTAGAGAGGGTATAAAAACCTACTGACCATGTGATCAAGCCCTCATCTCCTCTGCTCCTTCCTGCAAGGACCATCTTTCTGCTTCTTCAGTAAACTGTAACCTTCTTCCCAAAGCAGTCTCCATGTTGCCTATTTATTCCCGGCTTGGATGAACCAGGATGAAGACTTACTTCTGACATAACTGATACTTTAATTGGATTAAAAACAAAATACATAGAAATGTATAGTTACAATAACACAAGATCCTATTAGCAATCAAACCCAAAGGGATTTTGGTCCAGCAGAAAGCCAGATCTTTTCAAAACTTAGTAAGGGAGAGGATAAGCTCTAACGTAGTATTTCTCAAACTTAGCCACTTTAAGATGGGTGGATGTCAACTTCCAGATTTCCCCAGCCATCACGCTTTAAGAGGGTGGACTTCAACTCCCAGAATTCCCCAGCCAGCCTGCTTTAAGATGGGTGGACTTCAGTTCCCAGAATTCCCTAGCCATCACGCTTTAAGACAGGTGGACTTCAACTCCCAGAATTCCCCAGCCAGACTGTTTTAAGGAGTGGACTTCAACTCCCAGAATTCCCCAGCCAGACTGTTTTAAGAGGAGTGGACTTCAACTCCCAGAATTCCCCAGCCAGACTGTTTTAAGAGGAGTGGACTTCAACTCCCAGAATTCCCCAGCCAGCCTACTTTAAGAGGAGTGGATGCCAACTCCCAGAATTCCCCAGCCATCACGGGTTAAGACAGGTGGACGTCAACTCCCAGAATTCCCCAGCCAGCCTGCTTTAAGTTGTCTGCCCCTCAGAGTTGTTGCCCCCATCGAATGAAGACAACAAGAAAGCTGACTCAGCTGTTATTTCACTCTTTTGTGTGGTTAGCTGGACCCACAACTCAACCTCCCCTGAAAAATATGTGTTTCCCGCCTGGAGGAGGAGAAAAAGGTTGTGAGTCACATCCACTCTTGCCGAACTAGCCTTGGGCAATTGGAGGACGGAGGATGGGGTGTGTGGCTACACGGGTATTGCTAATCAAACAATGCTTCTAACCTTTCATTATCGCTCTTGCGTTGTTCTTGGCCAGGAGTCCTGCAAGGGCGTTGCTCGTACCTGGGAAGTTGAGCAGATGCAGCCCTTTTGGAACATGACCTAGGACTAGATTAGCGGGGACACGGTCCCTATAAATACAGCCCACCTGGACCTCAATTCTCCTGTTTCTGGAACTTTCCGCCATGAAGCTGATCCTGTGGTTGGGAGCTTTGCTTGGGGTCACTTGGAGCCTGGAAACCTTTGTAGGGTAAGCTGGCTTGTATGCTGGTCTGGGTCAGAATGCACCCGTTGCCTAGGGCAGGGGTCTCCAAACGTGGCAGCTTTAAGACTGGTGGACTTCAACTCCCAGAATGCCCCAGGTTGGGGTATTCTGGGAGTTGAAGTCCACCAGTCTTAAAGTTGCCAAATTTGAGAGACCCCTGGTGTGGTGTGTTGGTGGGTTCTCTTTCCTGGATTTGTTGAAGGGAAAGTTGATGCTACAACTCTGCGGAGGTTGCTTTAATTCGGACATCTGCAGGGAGCAAGGGGTTGGACTAGATGACCTCAGGGCTCCTTCAAACTCTCCTAGGATTTCAGACCTGGTAGGTACCGGCTGGATTCCTGCATTGTGCTGAGCGGTCACGTGGCCTGCTTGATTGTGGATTACTATAGTCGTGTGTTTCACGAGTTCAGTAAAACACAGAAGACGGAATAAACAAGAGTTGGAAGGGAACTTGGAGGTCATCCAGTCCAACCCCCTGCTCAGGCAGGAAACCCTATACCGTTTCGGACAAATAGAAAGGAAGGGTGGCAGTTTTACATAATTAGTAAAGTCCACGAGGAGGCCAGGTTCACTTCACCATTGTCTTACTTAACGATGGCAGTGATTCCCTTAACGGCGGCAAGGACGGTGATAAAATGGGAAAATAATTTAACAACTGTCTTGTTTATCAACAGAAATTTTGATCTCAACTGCAGTTGTAAGTCGAGGACTGCCTGGTAATACCTGTGCAAATGGCCCCCCTCTTGTGTTCATGGTGTAATTATCCCCAAAACGGCCTCCACCGCCAGTTGGATTTACCTACTAAAGGGCGACACCCAATGACCGGGGCGAATGAATACACAACGCCCAACAACGGGGCAAACTGGACAAACCACTAATCCCATTGCTTTGATTTTGGGCTCTTTCAGTGACCAGGTTCTCCACCTGAAGCCGTGCAACGAGGAGCAGGTGGATTTGCTGAAAGAATTGGGAAGCCTGAAACATCTCCAGGTGTGTGAATTAATAATAATTCAATAACAACAATAACAACAACAACTAGAAATAGAAAGACTGGCAAAGGCAAGCAAGGGTAGTACCAATAGTAATAGGTGCCTTGTCAATAAGAAAGACAAAAAAGTCTGGATAGTGGACGTGGCAGTGCCTGGAGACAGCAGAATAGACGAGAAAGAACTGGAGAAGATAACAAAATACAAAGACCTACAAATAGAAATAGAAAGACTGTGGCAAAAGCAAGCAAGGGTAGTACCAATAGTCATAGGCTCCTTGGGTGCAATCCCAAAACAACTGGAGCACCACTTGAACACCATTGGCATTGACAAATTTGCTATTAGTCAATTGCAAAAGGCGGCCTTACTAGGAACTGTTTCCATCCTGCGACGATACCTGTAATACCATCAAACATCCACATCTGCCTATCCCAGGTCCTGGGTAAGGACTCGATAGGTAGATAAAATGCCAAATCCAGTCTGAACATCTGGCTGACTGTGCGATGATCAATAATAATAATAATAATAAAGTTGGAAGGGACCTTGGAGGTCATCTAGTCCAACCCCCTGCTCAGGCAGGAATTTGCACAAGGGTAACAATTCCGGGACAGGTAATCCTCCATCTTACTACCACAATTCAGCCCCACATTTCTCTTGTTAAGCAAGACAACTTGTTAAGTGAGTTTTGCCCCATTTTACGACCTATCTTACCACCGTTGTTAAGTGAATCACTGCAGTTGTTAAGCTAGTAACCCGGTCGTTAAGCGAATCCGGCTTCCCCCACTGACTTTGCTTGTCAGAAGGTCGCAAAAGGGGAATCACGTGATCCCCGGGACGCGACCGTCATAAATACGAGTCAGTGGCCAAGCGTCTGAATTTTGGATTGTGTGACCCTGGGGATGCTGCAACGGTCGTAAGTGTGAAAAACGGTCATAAGTCATTTTTGTTTTCGGTGCAGTCGCTAAGCAAATGGTTATACGTTGAGGACTCCCTGCATTCTGATTAAATTAACAGTGCTGACCTTAAGTGACCCACCCACACCTAGGATGTGAACCGTCCCAGGATGGGATGATAGTGTGTAGAACAGCTGGTTTAACTTCCACCCAAGTTGTCTAACAGGCTGGTGAGGGTGGAGGTGTGCACTTGTTGGGTTGGCCTTCTGTACCCCAAAATAAGTGGGTCAAAAGATTGCAGTCATGGAAGAGGATAAGTGGCACCTTGCTCAATAGTAGTAACTGGGAGAGGGATTTCAGAGTCGTAGTGGACAATCACTTAGATATGAGCCAGCCGTGTGCTGCAGCTGCCAAAAAAGCCAACACAGTGCTGGGCTGCATTAACAGAGGGTTAGAATCAATATCAGGTGAAGGGTTAATACCGCGTTACAAGGCCTTTATAAGGCCACACTTGGAATAGGGCCTCCAGTTTTGGTCACCACGATGTAAAAAAAGATGTTGAGACTCTAGAAAGAGTGCAGAGAAGAGCCACAAAGATGATCAGGGGACTGGAGGTTAAAGCATATAAGGAACGGTTGCTGGAATTGGGTATGTCTAGTTTAACGAAGAGAAGGACAACGTGTGAAATGATAGCCATGTTCTGATATCTCAGGGGCTGCCCCAAAGAAGAGGCAGTCAAGCTGTTCTCCAAAGCACCAGAAGGGCAGGACAAGAAGCAACGGATGGAGACTCATCCAGGAGAGAAGCAACCTGGAACTAAGGAGGAATTTCCTGACACTCTTCTTAAAAACTTCCAGGGTTGGAGCATTCACTGCTTCTGGAGGCAGGTTGTTCCACTGGCTAATTGTTCTCACTGTCAGGAAGTTTCTCCTTAGTTCCAGGTTGCTTCTCTCCTTGACGAGTTTCCATCCCTTGCTTCTTGTCCTGCCTTGAGGTGCTTTGGAGAATAGCTTGACTCCCTCTTCTTTGGGGCAGCCCCTGAGAGATTGGAACTCTGCTATCATGTCCCCCCTCGTCCTTCTCTTCATTAAACTAGACATACCCAATTCCATCAACCGTTCCTTATATGTTTTAGCCCCCAGTCCTAAACAGACTGTTGTAGAAGGACTACGTGTACCCTTTTCCTTTAGAAATGGGGATTTTTCTGTCATTTTTATGCCATGCTTTTACCTTGCCTCCTTCACCGTCTTTATTCGTTCTTCTCAGCTGAATTTCTGGCGGTCTCCCTCGTACCCCGACGAACCTGTGGATCTCCAGGTGTCCTTTGCTGGTCTCCAGGCTGTCAAAGTCCTTCTGGAGTCACACCAGATTAAGTACTCCATCCTGATTGAAGATGTGCAGGTACAATGATAGAATGGGGGGGGGGAATCAATAAACGGGATTTGTTATATGGAAAGATTCTCCCTGCATTGTATTTGGACCACATGTCCCATCGATCCTCTTCCTAAGAAGCACAATAACAATCATGCTTTGTCTGGGCATTGGGTGGAGTACGGTGAGGGTGGGTTTATGTGTTGGTTTGTGAGAGGTTTACTTGTGTTCCTCTGGATGAGGGTTCCTCGGTTTTAACAACTTGGAGATGGGTGGACTTCAACTCCCAGAATCCCCCAGCCAGCTTTAAGTTAGATGGACTTACAGAATTCCCTAGCCAGCTTTAAAGTAGGTGAAATTCAACTCCCAGAATCCCCCAGCCAGCTTTAAGATAGGTCGACTTCAATTCCCAGAATCCCCCAGCCAGCTTTAACTTAGATGGACTCCCAGAATTCCCCAGCCAGCTTTTAAGTAGGTGAACTTCAGCTCCCAGAACCCCCCAGCCAGCTTTAAAATAGGTGGACTTCAGCTCCCAGAATCCCCCAGCCAGTTTTAAGATAGGTCGACTTCAATTCCCAGAATCCCCCAGTCAGCTTTAAGTTAGATGGACTTACAGAATTCCCCAGCCAGCTTTTAAGTAGGTGAACTTCAACTCCCAGAATCCCCCAGCCAGCTTTAAAATAGGTGGACTTCAATTCCCAGAATCCCCAGCCAGCTTTAAGTTAGATGGACTTACAGAATTCCCCAGCCAGCTTTTAAGTAGGTGAACTTCAACTCCCAGAATCCCCCAGCCAGCTTTAAAATAGGTGGACTTCAGCTCCCAGAATCCCCCAGCCAGCTTTAAGATAGGTAGACTTCAATTCCCAGAATCCCCTAGCCAGCTTTAAGTTAGATGGATTCCCAGAATTCCCCAGCCAGCTTTTAAGTAGGTGAACTTCAGCTCCCAGAACCCCCCAGCCAGCTTTAAAATAGGTGGACTTCAGCTCCCAGAATCCCCCAGCCAGTTTTAAGATAGGTCGACTTCAATTCCCAGAATCCCCCAGTCAGCTTTAAGTTAGATGGACTTACAGAATTCCCCAGCCAGCTTTTAAGTAGGTGAACTTCAACTCCCAGAATCCCCCAGCCAGCTTTAAAATAGGTGGACTTCAATTCTCAGAATCCCCAGCCAGCTTTAAGTTAGATGGACTTACAGAATTCTCCAGCCAGCTTTTAAGTAGGTGAACTTCAACTCCCAGAATCCCCCAGCCAGCTTTAACACAATAACAGAATCTCCCAGCCAGCTTTAAAATAGGTGGACTTCAATTCCCAGAATCCCCCAGCCAGCTTTAAAAATAAATGAACTTCAACTCCCAGAATTCCCCAGCCAGCTCTAAGATAGGTGGATTTTAGCATGGCTGGCTGGGGACTTCTGGGAGTTGAAGTCCACCCATCTTCAGGTGGTTAAAATTAAGGAACATTGCTCTGAATAGCCAAGCTGGGGGACCCAGCCTTCTTCCCACTAATTTTTTCCACAATCGCCACCGGTGAGAGTGTGTGGCCCGCACAACTTCACCCACAATCAGTGACGAACAACCTGCTGCGCGCAAATCCGACTGTCCCCGTGACCCCAATTCTTGTTGCAGGCCCTGCTGGATGAAGAAGCTCGAGAGATGCACCTTAGCCGTCAACGGGAAGTCGGCCAGAAGAATTTCAACTACGGCGCTTACCATAACTTGGACACGGTGAGTCACTTGAGAATGCGCTGCGCCTGGGTCTCTCACTTAGGTGGACCGTTATATAGAGGCAGTCCTTGACTTACGACGACCATTGGGGTCCGAATTTACATCCAGAAGCAAGGTGGTTGTTAATTGACCCACACCTGATTTTACGAATTTTTTGAGGGGGGGGTGTTGGTCGTTAAGCAAATCGTTGCAGGTTGTTAAATGAATCAACTGGTTGTTAAGTGAACTTCATTGACTTTGCTGGTCAGAAGCCAGCTTGGAAAGTCACCAATAGCCGTCATGGGAAGATGCATCCAAATTTGGATCACGTAATTGTGGAGAGGCTGACGTGATTGCGTATCATCTCAGGTGGACTTCAACTCCCAGAAGTCCTCAGCCAGCTTTAAGATTGGTGGCTGGGGGATTCTGGGAGTTGAAGTCCACCCATCTTAAATCAGGCTGGCTGAGGAATTCTGGGAGTTGCTCCCATCTTAAAGCATGCTGGCTGGGGAATTATGGGAGTTGAAGTCCACCCACCTTAAATCAGGCTGGCTAAGGAATTCTGGGAGTTGCTTCCATCTTAAAGCAAGCTGTCTGGAGGATTCTGGGAGTTGAAGTCCACCCACCTTAAATCAGGCTGGCTAAGGAATTCTGGGAGTTGCTCACATCTTAAAGCACGCTGTCTGGAGGATTCTGGGAGTTGAAGTCCACCCATCTTAAATGAGGCTGGCTAAGGAATTCTGGGAGTTGCTTCCATCTTAAAGCAAGCTGGCTGGAGGATTCTGGGAGTTGAAGTCCACCCATCTTAAACTTGCCAAGTTTGAGAAACACTAGTCTCGACTAAAAAGGCAGCTTCTACATCAAACCTGTGAATTTAACTTTGTACGAGATGGTTTCACATCACGGGGTGTGTATCCTTTTCTGCCTGCCCCCCAAATTCCACCTCTCTCCTCCTTTATGTCCTCCTTAGATTTACCGAGCGATGGACAGTATCCTGGCTGAGCACCCTCAGATTGTGAGCAAACTCCGGATTGGACAGACCTATGAAAAACGGCCTCTGTTTGTCCTCAAGGTAATATTTTGGGCCTGTATCTTAAAATCCTGAGCCAAGAATTATTCCCAAATTTGGAGCGAATTCTTGCCTACCTTCCAGTATTTTGGCAGAATAAATTATGGTCCCTCTGATGCAGGGGTCTTCAAACATGTCCCTTTTGTGACTTGTGGACTTCAACTCCCAGAATTCCTCAGCCAGGCACGCGTGCCTGGCTGAGGAATTCTGGGAGTTGAAGTCCACAAGTCACAAAAGGGACAAGTTTGAAGAGCCCTGTCTTAAATCTAAGAAACAAAATGGAGGCTGGCTGAGAAATTCTGGGAGTTGAAGTCCACAAGTCACAAAAGGGACAAGTTTGAAGAGCCCTGTCTTAAATCTAACAAACAAAATGGAGGCTGGCTGAGGAATTCTGGGAGTTGAAGTCCACAAGTCACAAAAGGGCCAAGTTTGAAGACCCCTGTCTTAAATCTAACAAACAAAATGGAGGCTGGCTGAGGAATTCTGGGAATTGAAGTTCACAAGTCATCAAAAGGCCAAGTTTGAAGACCCCTGTCTTAAATCTAAGAAACAAAATGGAGGCTGGCTGAGGAATTCTGGGAGTTGAAGTCCACAAGTCACAAAAGGGACAAGTTTGAAGAGCCCTGTTTTAAATCTAACAAACAAAATGGAGGCTGGCTGAGGAATTCTGGGAGTTGAAGTCCACAAGTCACAAAAGGGCCAAGTTTGAAGACCCCTGTCTTAAATCTAACAAACAAAATGGAGGCTGGCTGAGGAATTCTGGGAATTGAAGTTCACAAGTCATCAAAAGGCCAAGTTTGAAGACCCCTGTCTTAAATCTAACAAACAGAATGGAGGCTGGCTGAGGAATTCTGGGAGTTGAAGTCCACAAGTCATCAAAAAGTCAAGTTTGAAGACCCCTGTCTTAAATCTAACCAACAAAATGGAGGCTGGCTGAGGAATTCTGGGAGTTGAAGTCCACAAGTCATAAAAGGGTCAAGTTTGAAGACCCCTGTCTTCAATCTAACACACAAAATGGAGGCTGGCTGAGGAATTCTGGGTGTTGAAGTCCACAAATCATCAAAAAGCCAAGTTTGAAGACCCCTGTCTTAAATCTAACAAACAAAATGGAGGCTGGCTGAGGAATTCTGGGAGTTGAAGTCTACAAGTCCCAAAAGGGCCAAGTTTGAAGACCCCTGCTCTAATGGGATACATTTTAGATTTAGATTTTACTGATATTTTATTTGACGGTATCCCCTGGCCCTCGTTCGGTATTACCGTTTTGTGGCGCTGCTTTGTTGGAAAATTTTTTTTTTTTTAAAAAAGGATTATTTGTAAAGTCCACATTCTGTCTGACAGTTCAGCACCGGGGGAAACAAACGCCCTGCCATCTGGATTGATGCCGGCATTCACGCGCGAGAATGGGTGACCCAGGCCACGGCTCTTTGGACTGCTAAAAAGGTCAGCTGGTACAGAATGGCTACGGTGGGAGGCGGTTCTGTCTGGCCCTGCCCACTTTTGGGACTGGCCACGCCCACTCGGGTTAGGTGACAAAGGCTGTGACAGGAGATCACGTGACCCCAGGACACCGCAAACCGCCATAAATATGAGTCAGTTGCTAAGCATCTGAATTTTGATCGCATGACCCAGAAGGTGCAGCAATGGTTGTAAATGGGAAACAGGCTATATCACTTTTGTTTGGTACCGTCGTAACTTTGAATGGTCCCTAAATGAACTGTTGAAAGTCAAGGAACACTTGCATATCGGGGTGCAAAGAGGGGCTGATGAGCTTCTTTGCTGAGGTTGCAAAATCTCCATAGTTGGTGTATACACCCACAACATTATTCCTCAAAGAAAGTGCAAAAATAAAGATGGAACAAAACTCGCTTATGTGTACAAGGAAATGGGAGTATTTTGGGGGTGTAAAACAAGGCAAAGAGTTATGGGCGGGAGTCTGACCCTCCTCCACGGGAATAAAGCCCTCACCCCTCCCAAGCTGGATGTGAACTGAGTGTATATGAAAGTTGGGTGTGAACCCACAAAGGGTTTCTGAGAATGGTCGACAGCTGCAAAAGCATGCTTGCGGGGCAGATGGGGGACTTTTCCCCCAAAGAAAGTGGGGGCCCTGGAGTTGCGCCCCATGTTGAATTTTTTTTTTTTGGTTTCCCCAGATCGCTTCTGACTTTGGGAAAGAACCGTCGCTGACTTCCCTCCTCAACAAAATGGATATTTTCCTGCTGGTGGTTGCAAATCCCGACGGATACGTCTACTCTCACACCACAGTGAGGATCTGATCACCAGTTACAACGCGATGGCTCGTCTTTCAATCTAGATCAATATATGTCAAACTGGGGAACTTTAAGAGGGTGGACTTCAACTCCCAGAATTCCCCAGCCAGCACAGCTGGCTGGGGAATTCTAGGAGTTGAAGTCCACTCCTCTTAAAGTTCCCAAGATGAACGAGCATCAATCTAGAGTCTCTCAGTCTTTTGCAATGACGTTCATTCTTGGTTTTTTGGTCGCTTCTAATGGCACCACCTTCTCTTCTGTATCCAGAATCGTATGTGGCGAAAAACCCGGTCCAGACGACCAGGCAGCCAGTGTGTCGGAGTTGATCCCAACCGAAACTGGGATGCGGGTTTTGGAGGTAAACCGGGCTTCGCTTTCCCTGGAGCGAGTTCTTGAATTGGCTGATGCTGGTTTAGATAGTCCTCAACTTACGACAGTGACCGTTTGAAGTAACAACGGTACCGAAAAAGAGTGACTTACGACGGTGTTCACACATACGAGCATTCCAGCATCCCCCTGGTCAAGCGATCAGAGTTCAGATGCTCGGCAACTGACTCACATTTGTGACGGTTGCGGTGGCCTGAGGACAAGGGATCCCCTTTTGCAACCTTCTGAAAAGCCAAGTCAATAGGAAACCACATTCCCGAACAAGTGTGTTACTAAGTTTAACAACTGCGGTGATTCACTTAAGAACTGTGCCAAGAAAGGTCGTAAAAATGGGACAAAACTCCGTTAACAACCGCCTCACCTGGCAACAGAAATTTGGGGCCCAGTTGTGGCCCTAAGTGGAGGACTACCTGTGTGGTGTGTGTTTTAATTGTCGTAGTGTAGTCCTCCTCTTACTTAAAGCTGACCAGGTTGAAGAAGGCCAAACACATATAGATGCAAACAGTACTCTGTTGCCACCTGGTGGCAGAAAGCAAGAATTACAAGTCCACCTGTGCCAGAGCAATAGGGGGGAAAAAATCAGAAAATACTCCATGAGGATGCTATGATGGTCATAAGTGGGAATATGGGTTGTAAGTCACGTTTTACAGTGCCGTTGTAATTTTGAACGGTCGCTAAATGAAGAGTTGTATGTCGAGGACTACCTATTTTTCTATTGAGTGACCTACAGCCCTAGACAGGGATAAGAGCTAAATGCATCTTAGTATCCAGTTGAAAATTGGAGTCTCTGAATAAGCAGCCTTGGATTCTTGTTACCCCAAAGATGGTTTTCCAGGAGGCAACTGGACTTTCTTGTTTTTCTTTGAAGACGTTTCCCTTCTCATCCAAGAAGCTTCTTCAGATCTGACTGGATGGTGGGGAAGGGAAGGATTGATACTCCTTGCAGAGAGCTGGTCGTTTGCATTTTTTTAGAGGGTCGTTGAAGCCACTTGGGGGTTTGTCTGTGTCTTTGGGGTCACCTGAGTGGTGCAAATGGATGTTCCAGCTCTTTCAGCAGTTCCAAGAAGGCTCCACAGCCATTTGCACCACTCGGGTAACTCTGAGGACACAAGTAAACCCCCAAGTGGCCTCAACGACCCTCTAAAAGAATGCAAATGACCAACTCTCTGCAAGGAGTATAAATCCTTCCATTCCCCACCATCCAGTCAGAGCTGAAGAAGCTTCTTGGATGAGAAGCGAAACATCTTCAAATAAGAAAGTCCAATTGCCTCGTGAAAAAAGCACCTTTGGGACGACTGGGAATCTCCACAGACATTTGGATTCTTGTTGTGTTTTGACTGGGTGCGTTTGCATTCCTCACCATGGCAGGACCCGGTGCCAGCAACGACCCCTGTTCCGATTCTTACCGTGGACCCAGCGCCAACTCGGAAATCGAAGTTCGCTCCGTTGTGGATTTCGTCAAGAGGCATGGGAACGTCAAGGCCTTTATCAGCATCCATAGCTACTCCCAGCTTCTAATGTACCCCTATGGCTATAAATGCACCAAGCCAAAAGACGCGGAAGAACTGGTAAGGCCCCCGTAGGTTGGCTTGCGATTCCGCTGAGCGGCTGTTTCCGCAGGTCATCTGCATTCACACAAGTTAATTTTAATTAGGTTTCGCTTTTTTTTCCCCCGCTTAGTTTTTACACCCGTCCATCCATCCAGCCAGCCTGTTGAGGTTTTTTTAGTTCAGGGGTTACCAGATATTTGCTGCCAAACAACAGACGACCACTAGATGGCGCAAAAGAGATACGGGAAAAGAACTCTCTGCTGCCCCCTAATGATAGCCCGAATTTTTGCCATGCAGATTTAGTAGATTTAATATTATTGGCTAGGTGGGTAGGAGGTAGTCAAATATAGGTAGGTCCTTGACTTACAACCACAATTGAGCGCCAACATTTCTGGGGCTAGGCAAGACAATTGTGAAGTGAGCTTTGCCCCGTTTAATGACCTTTCTTGTCACAGTGGTTAAAGGAATCATTGCAGCTGTTAAGCGAGTAACTAATGACCAGTTTTCACACTTATACCTGCTGCAGCATCCCCCGTGGTCATGTCCATCAAAATGTGAAGGGTTGGCAACTGGCATGTACTTATGACGGTTGCAGTGTCCCAGATCGTCATTTGTGAGCTTCCCAGCCAGTTTCCCACAAAGTCAACGGGGGAAGCCGGAATCGCTTAACGACGGCATGATTCGCTTAACAATAGCAAAAAAAAAGGACTCCTCCCGTCCTCCCCATCTTTATTTATACCTACATGAGTGGTTTCTCATTTTAATGTTGTCGGCTGCCCAAAATAGCCCTGGGTCAAGACAGCAGCCAATAAACTGAAATAAATAATTTGAAAAAGCCGTAAAATCGGGCACGATTCACTTGACGACCGCCTTGCCTAGCAATGGACATTGCGGTCGTAACTCAAGGACGCCCTGTACTCTCCGGCTTCTTCACCTTCCAACTTCACGGGGAACACCACGGCTTGCACGATTCTGCTCCTAGTGGACTAAGAAAGTCCACGCACATAAAAAAAAAAATGGGTGTGGATGTGTGTGTGCGATTCGGCTGCAGCGTCGTCGCCGCCATCTTGCCTTTTTTTGACTCCCGCGGTGAGTCAGTATCTCTGCTTCCAAGGGAATCCAGATGGTACAGTTCTGGTTTTCTTCCCAGGATACGTTGGGGAAATCGGCCGCTAACGCCTTGACGTCGCTGTACGGCACGCGCTACAGAGTCGGGCCCATCTGCTCGGTCATTTGTAAGTTTGGGGACGTATTTCAGCATGGGACTCTTTTGGGATGGGGGGGCTCAGAGGGGTCCAGGGCAGTGTTTCTCAACCTTGGCAGCTCAAAGAGGCGTGGATTCCCCAGCCAGCATCCTGGGAGTTGAAGTCCACATGCCTTAATGCCTGCGGAGGAATTCTGGGAATGGACGTCCATGCCTCTTCAGGCCGCCCTGGGTGCGAAACATGGGTCTGTGCAGATGAAGTCCTCTTCCAGGAATTGAAGTCACAGCCCGTTGCGTTTTTAGAGGATTATGGACAGTGTAGTACCTTTAGAAGATACTCAGGCCTTGCCCTGTTGCAGGAAGCTGTATATATAGAAGATGACAGATGGATAGATTTTATATGTGTGTGTGTGTGTCTGTGTGTACATATATACATACACACACACACACAAACATATAGATGATAGATAGATAGATAGATAGATAGATAGATAGATAGATAGATAGATGGATCATAGATGGATACATAGATGAATGATAGGTAAATAGATGAATGATAGGTAAATAGATGGATGATAGATAGATAGATAGATAGATAGATAGATAGATAGATAGATAGATAGATAGATAGATAGATAGATAGATGGATCATAGATGGATACATAGATGAATGATAGGTAAATAGATGAATGATCGGTAAATAGATTGATCATAGATAGATAGATAGATAGATAGATGGATGGATCGATCATAGATGGATATATAGATGAATGATAGGTAAATAGATGAATGATAGGTAAATATATGGATGATAGATAGATAGATAGATAGATATAGTGATATATATACAAATTTAATCTCTGTATCTCTATATCTATCTATCTATCTATCTATCTATCTATCTATCTATCTATCTATCTATCTATCTATCTCCATCCATCCATCCAGATATCCACCCATCCATATATATATATAAAATTTATCAGGATGGTATCTGCAGTCCACAGGGCATCTACAGGATAACGAAATTTAAAAAAAAAATTGGTCTGTTTAAATTGAACCCTTTTTTCTCTCCCCCCCCATTCTTTTGAACCCCTTATTTAGACAACCTACCGTACTTAACAGTCCAGGTCAAGACTTAGCAGATGCATTCCTACCACATACGAAGCTGGGTTAGTTTTAACCTGGATTGTTTGGGAGGTTCCCTATTCTTCTGGATGAATGTAGCCCGTTGGCATATAACCCAATAGATCCTCTAAAATCCAGAACAAACATTAATTCAACCACCTTGTTAAGAAGGTTGTGCAAATGGAAACGCAGGGTGTAGAACCTCATGACCTTTATGCTGTCCAGGTGTTTTGGGACAGCCACAGTCTGCTCATCAGGAAGATGGTGCAGATGTTCTAGATTTGTCTAAAATAGGGCTCTCCATAATTGGCCACTTTAAGACCTGTGGACTTCAACTCCCAGAATTCCCCAGAAAGCCATGTTGGCTGGGGAATTCTGGGAATTGAAGTCCACAAGTCTTGAAGTTGCCAAGTTTGAAGACCCCCTGGTCTAAGACTCGGATGTCCTTGTAGAGTAGAGATCCCAACCTACTGAATTTGGTTAGACCAGGGGTAGGCAACCTCGGCTCTTTTATGACTCATGGACTTCAACTCCCAGAATTCCTGAGCCAGCCATGCTGAGGGGAAAGGGAGAGGTTTCCAAGCTGAGCCAGGCTGGTTCAGGAATTCTGGGAGTTGAAGTCCACGAGTCATGAGGAGGCCATAGTTCCCTCATGCTGGCTGAGGAATTCTGGGAGTTGAAGTCCAGGAGTCATGAGGGGGCCATAGTTCCCCCATGCTGGCTCAGGAATTCTGGGAGTTGAAGTCCAGGAGTCAAGGGGGGGCCATAGTTCCCCCATGCTGGCTCAGGAATTCTGGGAGTTGAAGTCCGCAAGTCATGAGGAGACCATAGTTCCCTCATGCTGGCTCAGGAATTCTGGGAGTTGAAGTCCAAGAGTCATAAAAGAGCCGAGGTTGCCTACCCCTGGATTAAACCCATGTTTTCCTATGGTCTTCATTCCAGACCAGGCCAGTGGTGGAAGCATCGACTGGAGCTACGATTACGGGATCAAGTACTCCTTCGCCTTCGAGCTGAGAGACACGGGGCGCTACGGTTTCCTCCTGCCCGCCAAAGAGATCATCCCCACCGCTCAGGAGACGTGGCTGGGGCTGAAGAAGATCATGGAGCACGTGCGGGATCACCCCTACTGAGAACTAAGAAGATCTGGGAGAAGATAGGATTTTGGCTTCAAATTCTGATGCTAGCTGAAAGTCGATTACAGGAGCGACAGATCCTTTTAGATGCCCCCAAAAGAGAGGAAAAAAAATCAGATTTTAAATAACCACCAATCAGTTAATTCAGATAATGGCCACTGGGGGCAGCAGAGGTGCAGAAATCTCTATGCCGTTGCTGCCCCCTGGTGGTCACTAAATTTTCTGCGGCCCAGATCCGATATGACTTATTAAATACCGGACGATCCCATCATGGTGGCCTCTGGTGTGTTTAGATTACAATTCCCAGAATCCTTTAAACGACAGGGAGGCATATTTAGCAGCAAGCTTCCTGCCTGAGTGGATTGGGACTACATTGCCCAGCATTCCCAGACACCAATGGAGAATTCTGGGAGTTGGAGTCCCAGCTTGTCTGAAGGCCACTGAGCAAAAATGTTCTAGCCCAGAATCTCCAAACTCGGCAACTTTAGGACTTGTGGACTTAAACTCCCAGAATTCCCTAGTCAGCCATGTTGGCTGGTGAATTCTGGGAGTTGAAGTCCACAAGTCTTAAAGTTGCCGAGTTCTCGCATAGTTATCAGTTAAGGAATGAAGGCAAATATTTTCCTAAATCTTCCTCTTTTTGTTATAATTCTCCTGTGGCTTCTGAGACGAGGAGACATCCAAGATTTTGGATTAAACCTTCTTCAGATGTTTCTTCAGCAGTTTTCTCAATAAATCCTGCTTCCAGTGGCCATCTGGACTTTGTCTTCCTTTTTCTTCACTCTGATGCTCCGAATGATGTGACTTCTGCTCTTACTTTGGCTATTCAGGCAGTCCTTGACTTACAATCACAGTTAAGCCCCAAGTTTCCATTGCTAACCGAGATGCTTGCTAAGTTGGCTTTGCCCCATTTTACAAACTTACTTTCCACAGTTGTTAAGTGAATCGCTGCAGCTCTTAAGTCCCCCGTGGACCTGGCTCATCAGAAGGTTGAAAAAGGGGACTACAAGCTCAGAGTGCACCAAGGACTCAACCCTGAACTGTAGAGATGGAGGGATGGAGGGATAAAATGTATATGTCACCCATCTTGTATCTGTGGGAATTCAGCCCCCCTCCAAAGAAGGATATATTAAAAGGGCAGAATATTATATTTCCTCAAAGGATCTTAAAAGAGGCAGAAAAGCATGCCCGGTTTTTTTCTTAATAGCCCCAAGTCTCCCTCCACCAAGCAGAAACCAGCTCTGTAGAAATGCAGATGTAATAATCCATTCAGGAAGGTGGAGCCCTCCAGCTAGAACAGTGGTTCTCAACCTGTGGGTGGGGACCCCATTTGGGGTCGAACGACCATTTCACGGGGATCGCCAAACAACGCAGTCCGCCATTTTTTCCCCCCTTTTCCTTAGCTGTGCTACTCCCTTTTATTCTATTGGCTTTTGAAAGCCAATAGAACAGACTCTCTTGAATAGAGTCTAATTCTATTGGCTTTCAAAAGCCCATAGGAATGGTCCAGGCTGTCTCTGCCCTGCTGAGCCCGCCAAAAGTCCCATTCTGCAAACGGTGCTGCACCATTTGAGTAGTCCTCGACTTACGACCGGTTGAGTAGTCCTCGACTTACGACCGGTTGGGGGTCGTGGCATTAAAAAGGTTGAGAACCACTGAGCTAGAAGATTAAGAAGACAAAGACATCTAACTTCTACATACCCCACCCAAACTCTAAGACAAGAGAGAATAGGATGAACCCACCAATACCAAAAGGGCACACTCAGGTCAAAGCACCGTATATTCCGGCCTATAAGATGACTTTTGAGAGCATTGAAACAGGCGCCGAACTTGGGGGTCGTCTTATACGCCGAGTCGTCTTATACGCCGGAAATAAGGTAGTTTCCGGCGTATAAGTCGACTTTCTAGGCATGCGACTCGGTGTCGATCGTCTTATACACCAGAAATACTGGTAGTTTCCGGCATATAAGACGACTTTCTAGGCATGCGACTCGGTGTCAATCGTCTTGCGACTTGGCGTCGAACTCGGGGGTCGTCTTATACGCCGGGTCGCCCTATACGCCGGAATATACGGTACATGACACAGGAAATACAAAGCCTCAAACAGGAACAACTCCAAACACAAAAGCCCAAGAAGGTATAAAAACCCACCACTCCCAGCTCCATGTGGTCAGTTGCCCCAGAGCCACATTTCTGTCTGGCTCTGCTCTTCAATAAACTGCAGCTTTCTTTCTAAAGCAGTCACCATGTTGTTTATTCCCGGCTTGGACTTGGACCCTGATGAAGACTTTTCCTTCAACAGACCGTTCCAAGTTAAAACAGCACTGAAAAAAGTCCTTCAACATATCCAACAATGATCTTCCAGTGATTAGTTTTATTGTGGCTTAGTAAATTGAGGGGAGACAGCTGGTTTGATTACTTATAACCAAATTATAAAGAAGGACTAGGGGAGACACATCTTCCAATATTTTTTGGGGGGGGCGTCAACCCCTTCTCCAAAGCCCCTGAAGGCAGGACAAGAAACAACAGATGGAAACTAACCGAGGAGAGAAGCAACCTGGAATTTTCAGTGCTGTTGTAACTTCGAACAGTTACTAAACAAACTTGTAAATCCAGGACTCCCTGTATTTACGGCCAAGTTTGAAGACCCCTGCTGTATTTGACTTGGCTGCACCCGAAGCTTAATGGAGGAAAGATTACAGAGGAAAACATCTCTTCATGTAGATCAGGGCTCTTCAAACTTGGCCCTTTTATGACTTGTGGACTTCAACTCCCAGAATTCCTCAGCCAGGCATGCTGGCTGAGGAATTCTGGGAGTTGAAGTCCACAAGTCATAAAACAGCCAAGTTTGAAGACCCCTGATGTAGATACTCACTGATCGGGCTCACACATATCATTAACCCTAAAATATCAGAGAGAGTTTTAATTCCTCCACTTCTGGATTTCTAGGCCCTGCAAATCATACATTTAAAAGCCTTTAGGACAGGGTCTACCAATTTCAGCAACTTTAAGACGTTTGAACTTAAACTCCCAGAATTCCCCAGCCAGCCAAGTTGGCTGAGGAATTCTGGGAGTTGAAGTCCACACATCCTAACTGACTGAAACTTGGAAAAGGCTGCTTTAACAGGGATGCAAACAATACCGTAGTGCCACCTACTGTCAGAAAGCAAGCATTACGTCACTTGGGCCAGAAAAATAGGGGTGGTGGTGGTGGTGGAATCAGCTCCAGGATGGATCTGCCCAACAGGAAATAGGCTGCTTCTGAGGAAAGGGAATTCTGGGAGTCAGAGTCCATCTGATGCTGGCTGAGGAATTCTGGGAGTTGAAGTCCAGACATTTTAAAATGGCAGAGACTGAAAAACCTGCTTTATAAGGTCAAGTCCAAGGATGTTCGCAGTATGTGAAACATACACAAAAAACAGGTGGATTCCATTGATTGCCTACACTCTGGGCCCCCCCCCCCAGCCTAGGACAAAATCCAGCCAGGTGTCACCTGGCAGATGGGCCCTTTATCTCTGCCCTATGCCAGTCCCATTTCCTGCTGGTTTACTCATCTGTAAAGCAAAGCTTCTTTTCTGCAGAAAAGTTTTTTTTTTAAAGCGGAATAGAATAACACAGCTGGAAGGGACCTTAGAGATTTTCTAGTCCAGCCCCCTGCTCAATCAGGAGACTCTATACCACTTCAGACAAGTGGTTGTCCAATCTCTCTTGAAAATACATTATATTTTTATGCATGCATTTGCATGCAGTACATTTCCAGCAAAGCCACCTGTCTCTGGGTCAGCCGCTTCCAAAGATAGATTTCATTCAGACACTGCTGATGTGGCAAAATTCGGTCTGGCCTGTGGCTTTGGAACATTTTAAAAATAACACACCCTGCCGGGTGATAAAAATGTCTGTGTACATTCACAAAGAGAGAGAGAGAAAGAGAAAGAAGAAAGGAAGAAAGAAAGAAAGAAAAAGAAAGAAAGACAGAGAAAAAAAATAGAAAAAGGAAAAGAGAAAAAAAGAGGAAGAGAGAGAAAGTAAAAGACAGGATGAGAAAGAGAGAAAAAAAGAAAAAGAGAAAGAAAAGAGAGAAAAAGATAGAGAGAGAGAAAGGGAAGGAGAAAGAGAAAGACCGAAAGTGAGAAAGATATATAGATTATAGAAATATAATCTATATATATATATATTATAGATATATAGATTTCTTCTTCCCATATGTGGGCCGACCGGGTGCATCGTAAAAAAAACACTTAAGACACACATACATACACACACACACACACACATATTCAGAGCATCTGTTCATGTCACAGGTGTGAATTTTCCTCTGGGGAGGGGAATCAAACTGTTAACCATTAACCAACCTGACGTGGTTGGAAAATCTTCCGTTGCACCAGAGGGAGTTTTCTCACCGTTAATCCGGGCTGTTTTTAAACCGAGAGACCTTGGAAGTTTCAGCAACGGATCAACATTGCCTTGCAAGGCTTCAGAGCCAGGTTTTCTCAACCCCAGCCATTTTAAAATGTGCGGACTACCACTCCCAGAATTCCCCAGCCCTATTTTGCAAGGGGTGGACTTCAACTCTCAGAATTCCCCAGGGTTTAAGAGCGTACCCACCATCTCTGGATAGGACCAGTAGACCTTAGGGAAAAGTGATCCTACGGATAACCTGGTCTTGTGCCAAGGGAGGGCTTTAAAAGTGAGGACTAGCCCCTTGAATTGCAGAGGGAGGGAGCCTGTGCAGCTTGTACAACAGCGGTGTTAGATGGAAAACCTCCTAAGAGCAAATAAATCTAATAAACAAACAAACTTAGGAACAGGCTGGCTGAGGAATTCTGGGAGCTGAAGTCCACAAGTCATCAAAGGGCCAAGTTTGAAGACCTGTCTTAAATCTAACAAACAAAATGGAGTCTGGCTGAGGAATTCTGGGAGTTGAGGTCCACAAGTCATCAAAGGGCCAAGTCTGAAGACCTCTGTCTGAAATCTAACAAACAAAATGGAGGCTGGCTGAGGAATTCTGGGAATTGAAGTCCACAAGTCATAAAAGAGGGCCAAGTTTGAAGACCACTGTGCGAAATCTAACAAACAAAATGGAGGCTGGCTGAGGAATTCTGGGAATTGAAGTCCACAAGTCATCAAAGGGCCAAGTTTGCAGACCCCTGTCTTAAATCTAACAAACAAAATGGAGGCTGGCTGAGGAATTCTGGGAGTTGAAGTCCACAAGTCATAAAAGAGGGCCAAGTTTGAAGACCCCTGTCTAAAATCTAACAAACAAAATGGAGGCTGGCTGAGGAATTCTGGGAAGTCCACAAGTCATCAAAGGGCCAAGTTTGAAGACCCCTGTCTTAAATCTAACCAACAAAATGGAGGCTGGTTGAGGAATTCTGGGAGTTGAAGTCCACAAGTCATAAAAGAGGGCCAAGTTTGAAGACCCCTGTCTTAAATCTAACAAACAAAAGGGAGTCTGGCTGAGGAATTCTGGGAATTGAAGTCCACAAGTCATCCAAGGGCCAAGTTTGAAGACCCCTGACCTATACGATAATGCTGGGTTTGTGCTTGCAAGAAATCCATCCTTGTCACAGTTTTGGGCAGAAGACACACACACACACACGCACACACACACACAGAGCAGACCCCTCGCTCTCCCTCCCATCAAGACAGCTGGCGTGTTCCCCAAACACCTGCCAGGTGAAATTGTAGGTGTGTGTGTGTGTGTATGTGTGTTTGTGTGTCTTTCCCAACAGAGCCGTGAGACAGCGGACAGCCGGCTGGGGCGTCCTCGGTTGAGGTTCAAGGCAACGTGCTGCCCGTTTAGGAGGGCGTATAAAAAGGCGATGGAAGAAAAGAGGGTCCCATTTGGTGCCCCGTTCGGTGACAATGAGGGTCCTGGTGGTCTTGGCGACTTGGGTGGCTGCGGCGTTGGCCATTGACACCTTCGTGGGGTAGGTAAAGACGGGTGTTTGGTAGAAAAAGGGCACGGCGGTCGGGTGTTTACCTGGTGCCATTTTTGGATTTTTTTTAACTACATCAGTGGCTGGAGAATTTTACAATTTGGGGGGGGGTTCCCTTACCAACCTCTAAGCAGAACCCCAACCAAGATGATGAGGGGACTGGAGGCTAAAACATAAAAAAAAAAGGTTGCTGGAATTGGTCCTGTCTAGTTTAATAAAGAGAAGGACGATAGCAGTCTTCCATTATTTAAGGGGCTGTCAGAAAGAAGTGAGGGGGGGGGTCAACCTATTCCCCAAAGCCCCCCCCAAGGCTGGAGAAGCAATAAGGAACCGTCTGACCGTCAAGTCAGGCTGGGAAGGGCTCTCCCCCAAGCTTTAACAATGCTGTGATTGAAGAAGAGATCCCATGGGGTGCTCCTGTCTACAGCCTACTGCCTTTAATCTTTTAGCCTTTTTAATTTATTTTATTTATTTATTTTATTTATTTATGAGACTTATATACCGCTTTAAGTGCAAGCACTCTCTAAGCGGTGTACACCAGTAAGCATTGTATATATATATATTTACATTGCCCCCAACAATCTGGGTCCTCATTTTACCTACCCCGGAAGGATGGAAGGCTGAATCAACCTTGAGCCGGTGAGATTTGAACCGCTGACCTGCTGAACACAGTCAGCTAAAGTGGCCTGCAGTACTGCACTCTAACTGCTGCGCCACCTCGGCTCTTTTGTATTTGTATTTTGTATTTGTAATTGTTTTGTATTATCTGTTTATGAGGCTGTAATCTGTCTGTGCTGGCGGGGGAATTCTGGGAGTTGAAGTCCACGCTGCCGAGGTTGAGAAACTTTGCTTTAGACAGTATATACCAGGGGTCTTTCAACTTGGCCCTTTTATGACTTGTGGACTTCAACGCCCAGAATTCCTCAGCCAGCTATGCTGGCTGAGGAATTCTGGGCGTTGAAGTCCACAAGTCATAAAAGGGCTAAGTTTGAAGACTCCTGGTGATGCAAAAAGCACTCTAGCGGCACCTAATGTCGGTGAGCAAGCATTACAACATCACCTGGACAACCATTTGTCTGAAATGGTCTGAGGCAGGGGTCTGCACCCTTGACAACTTTTAAGGCTTGTGGACTTCAGCTCCCAAAATTCCTCAGCCAGCAACCTTGACAACTTTACGACTTGTGGACTTCAGCTCCCAGAATTCCTCAGTCAGCTATGATGGCTGAGGAATTCTGGGAGCTGAAGTCCACAAGTCTTAGAAGTTGTTACGGTTGCAGACCCCTGGTCTGGGGTTTCCTGCCTGAGCAGGGGGTTGGACTAGAAGACCTCCAAGGTCCCTTCCAACTCTGTCATTCTATTATTCTAGTCTACTTGGGCGAGAAAAATAGGGGAAAATTCAAAAATAGCTCCTAGGCCAGTGGTTCTCAACCTGTGGGTCGGGACCCCATTTGGGGTCGAACGACCATTTCACGGGGGTCTCCAAACAACGCAGTCCGCCATTTTTTTCCCCCTTTTCCTTAGCTGTGCTACTCCCTTTTATTCTATTGGCTTTTGAAAGCCAATAGAATAACTCTCTTGAATAGAGTCTAATTCTATTGGCTTTCAAAAGCCAATAGGAATTGTCCAGGCTGTCTCTGCCCTGCTGAGCCCGCCAAAAGTCCCATTCTGCAAACGGGGCTGCACCAGTTGAGTAGTCCTCGACTTACGACTGGTTGAGTAGTCCTCGACTTACGACCGGTTGGGGGTCATGGTATTAAAAAGGTTGAGAACCACTGTCCTAGGCACATGTGCCGGAAGGTGCCCTGCTTTGAGTAATGCACTCCTAGCTTCTCAGGGGCTGCTTTACTATCCCCCCAGTTCCTAGCTCTTGGGCCCAGCCAGCCATTGCAGGGACACCCCCCCACACACTCTTCCCATCCCTCTGTATCTGCTTTTACCTGTTTTGAAAGTTCTGTTTTTTGGGGGGCGGGCGGGCTTCTGTTTCTGTCACCCCACACACACTAGGGGAGGCTGATATGGGGACATGTCACCCAAACCATTTGCAGGTGACCACATGACCTTTTCCTAACTAATGTAAAGACACCCCCAACCCACTCCCTGTCTCTGCAGGCATCAGGTGCTGAGAATCACAGCCACTGATGAAGCCCAGGTGGAGAAGTTGAAGGAGCTGGAAGCTTCGGAGAATCTTCAGGTATGGTTAAACAAGAACCTTGCGTAGGATCAGGACTATGGGTTCCTGGCCTGAATAATGAAGTTATTCAGCCATGGAGATCCTCCAGGTTGGATGCTTTTTCAGGAGGCAGGTGGACTTTCTTGCTTTTCCTCTGAAGACATTTCGCTTCTCATTTCGGAAGCTTCTTCGGCTCTGAGTGGATGGTGGGGAAATGGACGGATTTATACTCCTTTGCAGAAAGCTGGTCATTTGCAGTCTTTTAGAGGGTCGTTGAGGCCACCTGGAGGTTTATCTATGTCCTCGGGGTCACTTGAGTGGTGCAAATGGGCGTGGAGCCTTTTTGGAACTGCTGAAAGGGCTGGAACACCCATTTGTACCACTCAGCTGACCCCGAGGACACAGACAAACCTCCAGGTGGCCTCAGCGACTCTCTAAAAGACTGCAAATGACCAGCTGTCTGCAAGGAGTATAAATCCATCCATTTCCCCACCATCCGGTCAGAGCTGAAGAAGCTTCTTGGATGAGAAGGGAAATGTCTTCAAAGAAAAACAAGGAAGTCATTGAGGCCACTTGGAAGTTTGTCTGCGTCCTCAAGGTCACCTGAGTGGTGCAAACGGGTGTGGATTGAACCGCCCTCTCTCGACAAAGTGGGAGGAATAAGACATCATCTATCTCCTGTCTACAACACGGTCCGTTCCGCAGTTCCAAGAAGGCTCCACACCCATTTGCCCCACTCAGGTGATCTCGAGAAGTAACAGGTAGGACATCGTTAAATAGTGACCCAACCTAGAAATAAAGAGGAATTTCCCGACAGTGAGAACGATTGGCGAAAGTAAAGCTGTGCACGCTTCATCCCTGGAGGTTTTTAAAAACAGACTAGGCAACCATTTGTGCAAGATGGTGTCCTACCTGGAGCAGGGCTTGGGCTTAAAGAGCCCCCCAACCTTTCCAGGTTGGCAGCCTGCAGCGGGGGGAAAGAGGGGATGGTTTTATGGGAGGGGCAGGCATGTGAGCAACTGTTGCTCGCACGAGTGAAGTTGAGAGCACTGACGACGCTCACACGAGTGAGGCCCCGAGTGCCTGCGAGAATGAAGCGTGTAGTGTCTGTAATGCTCACGCCAGTGGTTCTCAACCTTTTTAATGCCGCGACCCCCAACCGGTTGTAAGTCGAGGACTACTCAACAGGTTGTAAGTCAAGGACTACTCAACTGGTGCAGCACCGTTTGCAGAATGGGACTTTTGGCGGGCTCAGCAGGGCAGAGACAGCCTGGACAATTCCTATTGCCTTTGGAAAGCCAATAGAATTAGACTCTATTCAAGAGAGTCTCTTCTATTGGCTTTCGAAAGCCAATAGAAGAAAAGGGAGTAGCACAGCTAAGGAAAAGGGGGAAAAAAATAGCGGACTGCGTTGTTTGGTGACCCCCGTGAAATGGTCGTTCGACCCCAAATGGGATCCCGACTCATAGGTTGAGAACCACTGGCTCACGCGAATAGGGCCATGAGCCTCTGTGACACACACGTGCACACCAGCCAGTCACTCGTGCAGCCTGGTTGGGAATAGGCTGTGGACCGGTAGTGGGCTGTGACTCATAGGTTGTGGACCTCTGGAGTAGAAGGCCTTCTAGATCCCTTCTTGTGGACCCCCGGACTAGGCTTTCTAGGTCCCTTCCAGCCCTTGGATTCTACGTTCTATGAGTAACCGGCTGCTAGCAGAGCCGTTCCTATGTTGGTCAGTTATGTAGGCTGTGTTTCCAAAGTTCATATATGTCAACAATCGTCTATGTTCTCCTGATTTCTATGGCCAGCTGGATTTCTGGCGAGCACCAGCTCATCCCGATCTCCCCGTAGATGTGCGTGTGCCCTTCCCCAGCCTTCAAGGGGTCAAGGTCTTCCTGGAGACCAATGGCATCGCATACTCCATCATGATCAACAACGTTCAGGTAAGTGCTCTGACCACGCGAGAAAATAAGTAGGTAGGCGTGTTGATCTTGGAAAGAACCTCCGTTGCGATCCCAGAGGTCTGAAATCAGAACCAGCGAACTGTGGAGGAGACCATATTGAAATGTAATTCTAAGGGGCTGCCACAAAAAAGAGGGGGGGGGGGTGTCAAAGCAACCTGAAGACAGAAGAACTAGTAACGGAAGATAATCAAGGAGAGACCCAACCTAGAACTAAGGAGAAATTTCCCATCAGTGAAAACCATCAGTGGAAGAGAAGTTATGGACGCTCCATCACTGGATGCTTTCAAGAAGAGATTGGGTAGCCATTTGTCTCAAATGGTACAGGGGGTTGGACTAGAAGACCTCTCAGGTCCCATCCAACTCTGTCATTCTGTATGTTTTAGGCTCATCACAAAAAATGTAGTATAGGAGGTTGACCCTATCCCAGGGGTAGACAACCTTGGCTCTTTTATGACTCGTGGACTTCAACTCCCAGAATTCCTGAGCCAGCACAGGTGGCTCAGGAATTCTGGGAGTTGAAGTCCACGAGTCATAAAAGAGCCAAGGTTGTCTACCCCTGCGGGCCTATCCCAACGTTGAAACCTGGGATAAGAAGATGTCCTTCCGTAGCTCATCAGATGTGTTTCAGTCAATGTTATGGATGGAAACAGTAGTTTGGAAGAGATTCTAGGCCATTCTTCCATCAGATGAGTTGGCCAACATGGTTTGGGGTTGATGTTCCTTAAATTCCTGCACGGAATTTAGATCGACGGGAGAACGGATCTGATCCAGGCTCGATTGCACAGTAGCCCAGAAGGATGGAGTGAAATGACGTACGAGTGGAAAACGCGGAGGAAATATAAACTTTCTGCTCAGCTGACCTTTGTGACTGTCCTTGTTGTCCTTTTCAGAAACTGATTGATGAGGAGAGGCGTCACATGATGCACCAACGTCAACTCCAAGAATTGTCACTCACAAATTTTAACTTTGCTGCTTACCACGACTTGGATACAGTAAGTACAATTAAGGCACGGTGGAGGTCTTCACCCGTTTCGCGATTCCAAATCGTTGAATTCAGTAGTGGAGAAGACTTCCAGAAGACAACTCATCAATATAGACACCATTTTGGCACCTTCTCTTTGCTTGCTAGATCTATAACTTCATGGACCTCTTGGTGCGTACGAAACCCCTCCTGGTCAGCAAAATTGAGATTGGCCAGACAACAGAAGGACGCCCAATCTATGTCTTGAAGGTCAGTCTTCCTTTGGATGGTCGTTTTGGAGGGTGGTGGACTTCTGGATGGGGGAAAAAGTTGCTGTGTCTTTTCAACGTGGTTAACTAAGTCCCAAGAGACGAGAACATTTTGTAGCTCAGGGTTGAACTATGGAGTTCTTGTTGCTCTCTGAACTTGGTGATTTTCTTGAAGACGTTTCATGATCCATCTTCAGAACGTTCTCTGTGAACGCTATAAACAGAGAGCAAGCCCCCTCCCTTCCAGCATTGATCACCTTACCTAGTTGGGTCATGAAACGTCTGCAAGAAAACTACCATGCTCAGAGAGCACCAAGGACCCCACAGTGTTGTTCTACTTCTTCCTTCTTTCCTTTCTTCTTTATTTTTCCTCCTCCTCCTCCTCCTCCTCCTCCTCCTCCTCCTCCACTTCTTCTTCCTCTTCCTCTTCCTCTTCCTCTTCCTCTTCCTCTTCCTCTTCCTCTTCTTCTTCTTCTTCTTCTTCTTCTTCTTCTTCTTCTTCTTCTTCTTCTTCTTCTTCTTCTTCTTTTCTCCTCCTCCCCCAGCTGGAGACCCACCAGATGTCCTGGGCAGCCACTCCCAGAATTCCCAGCTTCCAACCTTCTGCTTGGAATGCTGGGAATAGCAGTGCAATCCGGTAGGAGGACACCGGATTGGGAAGGTCTAGTGCAGGGGTAGGCCACCTTGGCTCTTTTATGACTCGTGGACTTCAACTCCCAGAATTCCTGAGCCAGCCTGGCTCAGCTTGGAAACCTCTCCCTTTCCCCTCAGCGTGGCTGGCTCAGGAATTCTGGGAGTTGAAGTCCACGAGTCATAAAAGAGCCAAGGTTGCCTACCCCTGGATTAGACCTTCCCAATCCGGTGTCCTCCCACCGAATTGCACTGTTATTCCCAGCATTCCAAGCAGAAGGTTGGAAGCTGGGAATTCTGGGAGTGGCTGCCCAGGATATCTGGTGGATCTCCAGCTGGAAAGATGTTGAGGAATTTGGAAGCCAAGATGGCTGCTCGGATTGAAGGCCTCTGTTTGTTCTTTGCTTTGCACAGTTTAGCACCGGGGGAACCAACCGGCCAGCAATCTGGATTGACACCGGCATCCATTCCCGCGAGTGGGTCACTCAAGCCAGCGGAGTCTGGTTTGCCAACAAGGTAACAGCTGCAAACATTCTGTGAACGGAGAAAGCTAAACCATCATATCTTGGTTAGATCAGGGTTTCTCAAGCTTGGCAGCTTGACGATGCTCCAATTGTACTACAGGTAGTCCTCGACTTATAGCAGCTCGTTTAGCGACTGCTCCAAGTTGCAACGGCACTGAAAAAAACTGATTTATGACCATTTTTCACACTTACGACCACTGCAGTCCTGGAATCAAAATTCAGACACTCGTATTTATGAGTGTCCCGAGATCGTGTGATCACCTCTGGTGACTTTCTGATTAGCAAAGTCAAATGAAAAGCCAGTTTACTCATTTAACAGCTTCAGTGATTTGTTTAAGGACCGTGGCAGGAAAGGTCGTAAAATGGAGCAAAATTCAATAAAGGTCTTGCTTAGCCACAGAAATCTTGTTTTTTCCCTAGAGATTCCGTAATTTCCCCCAAAGTCAGGAAAAATGGGGGAATGCCTGGCCTATCTGCCCCCCCCACTTCATGATCGTCCCACTCCTGTCCCCCACTTAATCCTAAAAGAAAAAAATCAAAAGACGTTGCCAATCTGATATTTTCTAGATTTTTTTTTCTACCTCAGCTCCTAAAACAAGTTGGCTCGTGAAGGATGTCCCGTAATAGTGATCCAATAAATCAAGGGTCCCCAATCCCGGGTCTGTGGCCCAGCACCGGTCCGTGGCATGCCATGAACCAGTTCACGCAAACAAACGAAACCATATCCGCGGGATGCAGGCGACACGTGAAACCACATCCCTTCCGGTCCACGGAAAAACCTCTTTCCGCAGAACCGGTTCCTGGTGCCCCAAAGATTGGGGGCCACTGCCCTAAAAGCACCGTTAAGGCACATCTGTGGTTGCCACTGAAGCCATTCCGATCCTCTTTAGATCTTTGAAGACCACGGAAAGGATCCTTCCTTGACGTCCATCCTGAACCAGTTCGACATCTTCTTGGAGATCGTCACCAATCCAGATGGCTACTTCTTCACCCACACCAAGGTACCTCTCCGTGGTGGGGACGTCGGTGGCAAAGGTGAGGTGCACCGTGCCATGTTTTTAGCGTCAGGCTCCTTCTGACGTTCGTTGATGGGCCTTCCTGATTCGCAGAACCGGATGTGGCGCAAGACCAGGTCGAAGAGAGAGGGGTCATCTTGCATCGGAGTCGACCCCAACCGGAATTGGGCGGCAGGCTTCGGAGGTAAAACGTTCGGAGACTTCCTCTTTCCAAAGTTGGAGATGACCGTTTGAAACCGGGCAGGACAGCTCCATGGGAAGAGAGAGCCAGTGTCAGGGGCAAGAACCAGGAACCAGGATAGGGTTCAAAAGGGCTACAGGTAGTCCTCGACTTACCACCTCTGCTTAGTGGCCGTTCAACTTTATAACGGCCCTGGAAAAAGTGACTGGTGACTATTTTTCCCACTTCTGACCGTTGCAGCATCCCTGTGGTCACATTTTTTAAAATTTTTTATTTATGAGACTTATATACCGCTTTAAGTGCAAGCACTCTCTAAGCGGTGTACACCAGTAAGCAATGTATATATATATTTACATTGCCCCCAACAATCTGGGTCCTCATTTTACCTACCCCGGAAGGATGGAAGGCTGAGTCAACCTTGAGCCGGTGAGATTTGAACCGCTGACCTGCTGAACACAGTCGGCTAAAGTGGCCGGCAGTACTGCACTCTAACTGCTGCGCCACCTCGGCTCATATGATGATCCAAACTTAGACTCTTGGCAACCGGCATGTACTTATGACGGTTGCAGATCGTCAAGCGAATTTTGCCCCATTTTGCGAGCTTTCTGAAGTGAATCACCGCAGTGAAGTTAGTCACTCGGCTGTTAGTGAATCTGGGTTCCCCATTGACTTGGCTTGTCGGAATGTCGCAAAAAAGGGGGTCACCTGGCCCCCGGGACATTGCAAACCGTCGTAAGTACGAGTCAGTTGCCAAGCGTCCGAATTTTGGTCCTGTGACCTTGGGGAACGCTGCTGTGAAACGCTGCTGTTGTAACTTCAAACGGTCACTAAATGAACTGTTGTAAATTGAGGACTGCCTGTGTAAGCCAGCAATGTGATGTAGCTGCAAAAAAAAAAAAAAGGCAAAATACATCTTTAAGCTGCATTAGGCAAAATAGGACTGGAGAGCCATTTGTCTGAAATGGTATAAGATTTCCTGCCTGAGCAGGGGGTTGGACTAGATGACCTCCAAGGTCCCTTCCGACTTTATTATTATTGTTGTTGTTGTTATTATTATTATTCTTCCCGGGAAATAATAATTTCCGTTCTATTACGCTTTGTCGAAGCGCCCGGTGAATCCCACGTCCACATCTGGGATCAAAATGTTATGCCAAATTCAGAGAAATTAAAACAGGTTCAAAAAAGGTTAGTGAGAATGAGTTGTGGGCTAGTTCCTGGTTAAAAAAACACCTGTGGGAAAGACTGGACTGGCTTTACAACCATGATGTTGGCTTAATGACGGCCACAGTAATGTTCCAAAATCGGAACGGGCACATGGGTGTGTTGATTTACAATCACCACGGAAATTTCCGGGGCCACGACAGTCCTACAACAGGTCGAGGACTATCTGTCCCACCTTCAAGTCTCCAGACATGGGCCATGTAGTCCTTGACTTACAACCATTCATTTAGTGCAGGGATAGGCAACCTCGGATCTTTTATGACTGGTGGACTTCATCTCCCAGAATTCCTGAGCCAGCCAGGCTGAGGGGAAAGGGAGAGGTTTCCAAGCTGAGCCATGCTGGCTCAGGAATTCTGGGAGTTGAAGTCCACCAGTCATAAAAGAGCCAAGGTTGCCTACCCCTGGTCTAGGAGGCTCATCGCTTAGAACAGGAGGACTTAGGACAGGGGTAGGCAACCTGGGCTCTTTTATGACTTGTGGACTTCAACTCCCAGAATTCCTGAGCCAGCCATGCTGAGGGGAAAGGGAGAGGTTTCCAAGCTGACCCATGCCGGCTCAGGAATTCTGGGAGTTGAAGTCCAAGAGTCATGAGGAGGCCATAGTTCCCTCATGCTGGCTCAGGAATTCTGGGAGTTGAAGTCCACAAGTCATGAGGGGGCCATAATTCCCTCATGCTGGCTCAGGAATTCTGGGAGTTGAAGTCCACAAGTCATGAGGGGGCCATAGTTCCCCCATGCTGGCTCAGGAATTCTGGGACTTGAAGTCCACGAGTAATGAGGGGGCCATAGTTCCCCCATGCTGGCTCAGGAATTCTGGGACTTGAAGTCCACGAGTAATGAGGGGGCCATAGTTCCCCCATGCTGGCTCAGGAATTCTGGGAGTTGAAGTCCACGAGTCATAAAGGGGCCAAAGTTCCCCCATGCTGGCTCAGGAATTCTGGGAGTTGAAGTCCACGAGTCATAAAAGAGCCAAGGTTGCCTATCCCTGATTTAGTGACTGTTCAAAGTTATTACCGCAATGGAAAAAGGGACTTATGACCGTTTTTCATACAGCAGCATCCCTGCGGTCACGTGATCAAAATTCAGACTCTAAATTTCGACTCATATTTATGACGGTCGCAGCGTCCCAGGGTCACGTGATCCCCTTTTTGCGACCTTCCGGGAAGCAAAGTCCATGGGAGGCAAGAAGCCTAACAACGGTGTTACTAACCTAACAAACTGCAGGGATTCGCTTAACATCTCTGGCAAGAAAGGTCATAAAATGGAGCGAATTTTGACACTTCACCACTGTCTCGCACAGCAACAGAAATTTTGGGTTGTAAATCGAGGCCTCTGGCTGGTCTTTTGCAGGAGCTGGCGCCAGTGGGAACCCGTGCTCGGAAACCTACCGTGGACCTTACGCGGAGTCCGAACCGGAGGTGAAAGCCATTGTGGATTTCGTACGGCAACACGGCAACATCAAGGCTTTCATCTCCATCCACAGCTACTCCCAGCTCCTCCTCTATCCTTACGGTTACACCAAGGAGAAAGCTGCCGACCACCTGGAGCTGGTAAGTCGCCTGAGAAGCACCCTCCCAAAATTCATATACATAATTCTATTCAAAAGATTAAAATATATAAGTCACTTTTTTCAGGGCTAACTTCGAATGCTTGGACAACCCAACCGGTTGGGGATAATAATAATAATGATGATGATTATTTATTCCCAAGTCGTCTTCTGCTGACCCCTAACTAAAGCCAAAACCTTCTAAATTTCTCCTGGTCCTCTCCTCCCCCATCCCGGTGTCCCTTCCCAGGACGCCCTGGCAAAGAAGGCCGTGACCGCGCTGGAATCTCTCCACGGAACCAAGTACAGATACGGCAGCATCATCACCACAATCTGTAAGTCCCACTGACGGGAAGGCAGAGGCCGTTGGCCATCCGAGAGGGGAAGGGGTGGCGGGGAGTTCCTAGGATGAGGAGCATTCGTTTAGGGACCGCTCGAAGTGACGGTGGCACTGGAAAAAGGGACTTAGGACCATTTCTCACACTTAGGACCGTTCCAGCATCCCCCGTGGTCACAGGGTCAAAATTCAAGACACTTGTCAACTGACTCGTCTGTCAGAAATGGTGGAGGGTCCCTTGCTTGGACCTCCAAGGTCTATTCTATTCTATTCTATTCTATTCTATTCTATTCTATTCTATTCTATTCTATTCTATTCTATTCTATTCTATTCTAGTCTATTCTATTCTATTCTATTCTATTCTATTCTATTCTATTCTATTCTATTCTATTCTATTCTATTCTATTCTATTCTATTCTATTCTATTCTATTATTATTCTTCTATTCTATTCTATTCTATTCTATTCTATTCTATTCTATTCTATTCTATTCTATTCTATTCCCTATTCTATTCTATTCTATTCTATTCTATTCTATTCTATTCTATTCTATTCTATTCTATTCTATTCTATTCTATTCTATTCTATTCTATTCTATTCTATTCTATTCTATTCCTATCTATTCTATTCTATTCTATTCTATTCTATTCTATTCTATTCTATTCTATTCTATTCTATTCTATTCTATTCTATTCTATTCTATTCCCTATTTTCTATTCTATTCTATTCTATTCTATTCCCTATTTTCTATTCTATTCTATTCTATTCTATTCTATTCTATTCTATTCTATTCTATTCTATTCTATTCTATTCTATTCTATTCCCTATTTTCTATTCTATTCTATTCTATTCTATTCCCTATTTTCTATTCTATTCTATTCTATTCTATTCTGTTCTGTTCTGTTCTGTTCTGTTCCGTTCCATTCCATTCCATTCTTTATGATAGTTGCAGTGCCTGGTGTCATGTGATGGGGATGATCTTGGTGGTTCCTTGATTGGATTGGGAATCGGATGTCTGGGGTCTGTGGTGCTCTCTGAGCTTGGGGGCTTTCTTCCAGATGTTTCATGACCTAACTAGATAACATCATCAGTGCAGTGCTACAAGGGAGTGGGGTTTATGGAGAGGAGGAAAAGAAGAAAGGAAAGGAAAGGAAAGGAAAGGAAGAAAGAAAGAAAGGAAAGGAAAGAAAGAAAGGAAAGGAGGGAGGGAGGGAAGGAAGGGAAAGCAAAGAAAGGAAGGAAGGGAAGGAAGGAAAGAAAGAAAGAAAGGAAAGGAAGGAAGGACAGGAGGGAGGGAAGGAAGGGAAAGCAAAGAAAGGAAGGAAGGGAAGGAAGGAAAGGAAGGGAAGGAAGGAAAGGAGGGAGGGAAGGAAGAAAGGAAAGGAAGAACAACTGTGAGCTTTTTGGTGCTGCGTTTGGTTGCAGACGTTTCACTACCTAACTAGGTAACACCATCAGTGTTAGAAGGGAGAGGGGGTGACGGAGAGGAGGAGGAGACCATGGAGTCCATCGTGCTCTCTGAGCTTGACTGCTTTCTTGCAGACCTTTCATGACCCAGCTAGGTAACATCCTCAGTGCTCGAACGGAGAGAGGGGCCATGGCTGCTTTCGTTCTGCACGTCTTTTCTAAGGGTAGACGAGAGCAGAGACGCTTTTCACGAGCTCGTCTTCTTTTGCACCCCCCCCCCTTTCCCGGCTCTAGACCAAGCAAGTGGAGGCACCGTTGACTGGACCTACGACCAGGGCATTAAATATTCCTACACCTTTGAGCTGAGAGACAAGGGCAGACACGGGTTCCTGCTCCCGGCGAACCAGATCATTCCCACGGCAGAGGAGACCTGGCTCGCCCTGATGGTCATCATGGAGCACACGCGGGACCACCCTTACTAAGCTGGAGGGGCCGGGCTCAGGGCGACGGCCTGGCCCTCCGCCCACATCTGCCTTCTGATTCTGCGCCTGATTCTGATGAATAATCCCCCTGCATGTAATCTGCTCCTGCTGCAATTCTGCTGCTTAGCTGTAGGAGGCGGTGTTGGAGAACCTGGGGGAGGTGGTGGAGTCAAAAGAGGAACCAGCTTGGCATCTCTAGATAGTCGCAGGCGAATTTAATCGAATGTCCCTTGAATTCCACTGACTTTTATCTAACTCCTAACAGGTGCTGACAGAGTGACAAGATTGTTTTCAGCAATAAAGCAGTTTAATTGGACTGTCACGCATGGACCTATTTTGTGTGTGTGTGTGTGCCTGACACACTTTTTTGAACGAAACAAGTCCAAGTGACGGGAGGCAAAAGGATATTGGTGAAATCCTTTTATGAAATACTGGATTTCAGGATTTGGCAAAGAAGAGCAACTGATTAAAGGCCTGGAGACTAAAACGTATCCAGAACGGGTGCAGGAACTGGGTAGGGCCAATCTAAAGAAGGACCAGGGGTGACACGATAGCCGTTTTTTAGTATTTGAGGGGCTGCCACAAAGAAGGGAGGGGGGGTCAACCTATTTTCCAAAGCCCCAGAGGGCAGGACAAGAAAGAACGGATGGAAACTCGTCGAGGAGAGGAACCACCTGGAACTAAGGAGAAGCTTCCTAACCAGTGGAACAGCTTGCCACCAGACATTGTGGGTGCTCCATCACTGGAGGTTTTTTTTTAAAGTTTTTATTTTCCATTTTTCAATACATTCATATAAAAAAGTATCTTTAAAATAAATTCATAACACATAACCTTAGGTGTCGCTCGCCCACCTCCCCCTAGACTGCATCTGCCCTCACTACCTTCCTTCCTTCCTTCCTTCCTTCCTTCCTTCCTTCCTTCCTTCCTTCCTTCCTTCCTTCCTCTTTCTCTCCTCTCCTCCCCTCTCTCTTCCTCTCCTCCTTTCCTTTCATCCTACTTCCTTCCATCCCTTCTTCATCCCTCTTCGGATACAGTTCAGGGGAAATACTTGAGCAGCACCTCTCTCAAAATTACCCTGTCTATATTATACATTAATGTTCCTATTTGTCTAACCTACTTAAACCCAACCACCCCCACCCCCATACCCCCCCCCACTTCCCAGAGCAGAATACAGGGTTATTATAAACGAAATAAACAAAATCTACTTAACTTTTAAAAAAAATTATACAATAAACAAATTCATACTTAACCCTTAACTCCCTCTAAACTTTAACATCCTGATAATATAAACAAATCCGTTACAAATCATTTGTTATAAAATTCTATAAATAATAATTATTATTTTTTAAAATTTTTTAACATCACTGGAGGTTTTTAAAAACAGACTGGACAGCCAGCTGTCTGAAAGGGTATCGGGTCTCCTGCATGAGCAGGGGGTTGGACTAGATGACCTCCAGCTCTATTCTGATTGACTGAAGAATAACAAGAGTCAGAAGGGACCTTGGAGGTCATCTAGCCCAACCCCCTGCTCAAAAGCAGGAGACCCTAGACCATTCCAGACAAATGGCTGTCCAATCCTGTCTTGAAAACCTCCAGTGTTGGAGCACTCACCGCTTCTGGCCCCAGTGACATTTCCCCTTAGTTCTAGGTTGCTTCTCTCCTTGAGAAGTTTGTGAAGGTGTTTTGAGTTTTCAGTTGTTGTTTTGGGACTATTTACCTGGCACTTTCTGGCCATAGAAGGGGGACACTTGCCGGTATGTGGGCACCTCCTAACAGATAGATTATCTCTACAGAGAGTCCTTGACTTACGATTGGTCACTTAGTGATTATTCAGAGTTATGATGGACACCCTTAAAGGTATTTACGACCTGGTTCCAAAGTTATGACTGCCTCCTCTTCCTCCTCCCTCCAGTCACATGACTGCATGTTGGACGCTTGCCAACGGGCCTCCTTTTACGACCGCTCGCCTCATCCTACCGTCAGCAGACTGCATTTTATGACATTTTGGCCGAAAAGTGGGATTTGCTTCCAATTTTCAGCACAAACCGCTCATAGTGAACAGGGGGTTCATTGAATGACTGGGGTGTCTGTTTAACAACCAAAGTGGTTGCCTCAGGACAGCTGTATTCGCTTAACAAACGCTGCAAAAAAAAAGGGCGTAAAATTGGGTCAGCCACATGGGTGACTTGCTTTCCGACCGTCGTCTCTATTTTCATTTTGATGCTGAAGGCAATGGTTGAATCCTCCCTTTGGAAAGACATCCTAGCTTTAGAAGTCTTTCAGCTGTTAGCACTTTAAAACCTATGGACTTCAACTCCCAGAATTCCAGAGCTGGCAGGGCAGGCTCAGGAATTCTGGGAGTTGAAGTCCACAGGCCATGAGGGGCCATAATTGCTCACCCGTTAGCATCCTATAGTTACCAGATGGGCAAACTCTATAACACTGCAAAAAAAAAATAAATTACAGCACACTCTTCTGTATTTATTACGTATAAAGGGCAAACTAGACACAGCACAAAAATATCAATGCTAAAGAGCGGCAGGAACAGCCTTAATTAATTAGCCTAACGAGTAAAGCGTACACATCTAGTGAGCACTTCAGATCTTCCAAAACAAAAAGATTTTAAAAAAAAGATTCTTTGCGGGTCAAGGAATCCGGGAATGGCGTCTGTCCTTCTGCTACACCAGATGTTCAGTCCTTTGTGTAAACTTTAGGCACGAAACACACACTCCTGCACACGGTCACGCCAAAAAGCAGGCTCGGTCCTATGGAAAGGGTGCCGGATACGAGCCCGAGGCGTGACAACTTCTAGAGAGGTTGTGGGTCCTGAACTGAGTGTTCGGCATCCTTTTCAAAGCTCTGTAGACGTTTTCACCGCCACAGAATTGAACCCGGTGCTTCTCTTTCTATTGCAAACGCTACGTTGAGTTCAACCGGTCTTTGTCCCCCCCCCAAGAAATTGTGTTTGTGTGTGTGGGGGGAAGAAAAATCACTGGCCAAGGCTGAAGAGCCGATTTACGTTTGCTTACCAAGCAAGAGAGGCGTATTCAACAATTCAGGTTAAATTTTCTCGGTTTCCCCAAAATGCTAAAAATCTGGAGTTTTGAGGGGGTCACTTCCCACGCACTGCTTGACTTTCGCTCTCAAGACTTTTTCAGGAAGAGTGACAACTGCGCTAACAATTTACATTACATAATGCATATTTTTTTAAAAAAATAAGAAACGCTACTAGACGCACCAAAACTCTAAAGCTAAGAAGAAAAGACACGCTGATTTTAGTTCACCTGGACAATTACAGAGGTGGATTTAGTACATGGAGAAACGAGATGGAAGCAATAGAGAAGCCAGCCTCAAACCACAAGCCGTCAACCTGATCGTGATAAAGACGTGGTATTTACACAAACCTCAGCTCCAGTGGCCGAGGCATTGCCACTGGATCGAGGGTGGAAAGATGGTGGGATCAGGAATCTGGGAAGAGGAATCGCGAGGTCAGGCGGAGAGACTTCATTAGGTCTTCAGCACAGCTGGTAGACACGCCCAGAAGCCTGGGATGCCGTTACAGCTAGCTGCTCATCTATCCAGGAAGCATTTGCTCCGGGTCCTAATTCAAATAACCAAACGGACAACTGTGTAACAAAAAGCAGGCAATAAGCTATGGGTGCTGTCCCCGAGCAGACTCCGAATTAGGATAAGGGAGAAGTAAATAGTTCTACAGCCAAAAAGGATAAAATCTCACAAAGAAAAGATTTGGGGCCTGCAGAGCAAGGAAGGGCAGCAGAAAATGAGGAACATGAACCCAAAAACCCAACGACACCCAAAACAAAACCTTCTTAAGTCTTTAAAAACCACCCATGGTTAAGTTAATATAAAAATAAACATCTTTACAAATCTGTACAGAGGGGGGGAAAAAACACAAGGCTGCTTATTGCGTTGGAGGTGATGAGGGAAGATGAGTAAGATTGGAAGGGGTCAAGCCTCCATCCTTTTAAAATATTCCCCCCCCCCGAAGACTAGTCTGGGTGTCATTGTAAGGACCGTGATGTTGTTCTCCGAAGCTGGCAAGGACTTGGGCTACCTTGAGGGAAGTGGGATGATGGAGGTGGTTCCTCTTTGAGTTTGGGCCTTTGATGTGCAAGCTGGGGGTGTCTTTAAAAGATCCTGGTGTACTTTCTCAACCGTGGCTGCTTTAAGAGGCGTGGACTTCAACTCCCAGAATTCCCTAGCCAGCCTCCATTTTGTTTGTTAGATTTAAGACAGGGGTCTTCAAACTCGGCCCTTTGATGACTTCAACTCCCAACGCATGCCTGGCTGAGGAATTCTGGGAGTTGAAGTCCACAAGTCATCAAAGGGCCGAGTTTAAGACCCCTGTCTTAAATCTAACAAACAAAATGGAGGCTGGCTGAGGAATTCTGGGAGTTGAAGTCCACAAGTCATCAAAGGGCCACGTTTGAAGAGCCCTGCTCTAAAGCTTCCTCCTTCTGTTATGTATTCAAGATGGACAGGGATTAATATTTACATGTTACTTACATGTATGGGTGTAGGTCTATACCAGTGGTTCTCAACCTTTTTAATGCCGCGACCCCCAACCGGTCGTTAAGTTGAAGACTTCCCAACCGGTCGTAAGTCGAGGACTTTCCCTGCCCGGGAGCACCGTGCATGCGTGCTGCCGCCCCCTGCGCCAGCCGAGGCGTAGCTGGCAAGGGGAAGCGATGGCGCAGGCCGACCACCGGATGGGCCCCCAGCTGGCCCAGCCCAAGGGAGGTAAGGCACCCGCCGGGCCCCAGGCGCACCAGCAACCCTCCCTGCGCCCGCCGGCCTCCCACCTCCCACCCCTGGCCCTCTTTTACTTAGATTGTTAGTAGTTGCTCAGCAGGGAGGGGTGGAAGCTTCCAGACAGCTCGCCTTCGCTGCAGACAACTTGCAGCCCCGTTTGCAGACTGGGAATTTTGGCGGGCTCAGCAGGGCAGAGACAGCCTGGACAATTCCTATTGGCTTTGGAAAGCCAATAGAATGAGACTCTATTCAAGAGAGTCTATTCTATTGGCTTTCCAAAGCCAATAGAATAAAAGGGAGTAGCGCAGCTAAGGAAAAGGGGGGAAAAAATGGCGGACTGCGTTGTTTGGCGACCCCCGTGAAATGGTCGTTCGACCCCAAATGGGGTCCCGACCCACAGGTGGAGAACCGCTGGTCTATACATATGTTGTATAGAGCACGTTTTAAATGTGTGTTATGTTTGTGTACACTTTGAGAGCAAGCAACTACATTGTTGAAAAACAAAACCAAACACTGCCCTGCAGAATCAGATCCGGGCACTGAAGGAGGCACCGCCGAATTTGACCCACCTTTTTGACCCCAAAAGTGATTTTGCTTATCACTTCTGCAAAAAAGTTGCTTAGAGGAGGGTGCAATTCAACAAGTTTGGTTTCCCGTGAACCAAGGGCAGATCTGCAGCAGTAGCCAAGACAAAAGACAGCCTTCCAGGCAAAGAGCACCTGGCGCAGGGACGGGACAGAGATTTCCCAGGACATCCCACGGGAATAACGTTATCTCTGAAAAATCTATTGCACGGGGATAAATCCAGGGGAAATCTCTCAGGTGGGAGGCTAAGACCCCGCCGTTTTTTTCCGCCAAGCCAAGGGGGTCTCCAAACGTGGCGACTTTTAAGACTTGTGGACTTCGACTCCCAGAATTCCTCACGCTGGCTGGGGGAACTCTGGGAGTTGAGGTCCGCAAGTCTTCAAGAGGGCCTAGCTTGGAGACCCCTGCTCTACAGTGGTGGCCAAAATGGTGGAAAGCTTTTGGGAAAAGTGTACGGTACAAATGCCACCTTTGGTTAAGTGCCCGCCCGTTTTTCTTCTCATTTCTTTATAACTGTAGCCTTTGTTCACTTAATAATGCTATTTTACATCGCTTTCTGGGTGACCAGTCAACTCTTTGCACCATGACTTTAATTTTATTAACGTTTTAGAAGCTGACTAAATGAAAGAACGCCAAAAAACCCAGCCAACTTGACAGTGATCACATAACACACCAACCAATGTCCTCCTCTCGGCTTCAATCCATGACATCAATCACTGGAATCCTCCTGTGATCGGATTGGCTCATGGCCAAAACAAGAGGACACCTGATTGGCTCTCTAAACACTCAGGCTCATTGGCTACCATCAGGTGAAGGAAAGCTACCTGAGATCAACCTGAGCAAATTGTGCTTCCTTTTTCTGGTTATTTGGCTATTTTTACAGTGTTTCTCAACCTTGACAATTCTAAGGCATGTGGACTTCAACTCCCAGAATTCCACAGCCAGCATTGCTGGCTGTGGAATTCTGGGAGTTGAAGTCCACATGCCTTAAAATTGTCAAGGTGGAGAAACACTGGATTATAACTTTTCATAGAACACAGTACAGATAATTGAATAAACTCGGTTGCGTTACGTTCTTGATTAAATTATCTTTCCACTGATATATAATCTTACGGTATTACTGCAAAAAAAAGTGGTGTTATTAGCCATCAAACCTCAAATGTACACTTTCCCCAAAAGGTTTCCACCATTTTGGCCACGACTGTAAGCTGAGGCACGTTTTTCAGCTCCAGAGGGGGTTAAGCAAAGGGAATTAAAATCCAGCAACCACAGGCTGCAAGCCTGGCCCTTGGCAAAGGCGAGGGGGTGGTGGGCACCACCAGCTTCTAGGTTAGGGGTGAGAAAGTGGGGTACTGGGAAGAGCTGAGCGAAGACGGTATGCAACAGGACCCAAATGACAGCGTTACGATGCCTTTGGGTGGCCCTCCGGAGTGGAGATAGCCATCACACTGATGGGGGGCTTTGGGGATCGAGATTCTCAGCCCCCCCAAAGCATTGCTCCAGCCTCAAGACAAATACTGATCAATGTGGCCAGGATCTTTAGGGGGGGGGCAGACAAGCTCTGACATCCTCAGCTGTGTCTCCTTTGCAGAGGAGACCCTTGCCCTGCTGCCCCCAAAAAGCCAACTGGCACTGCTGGGGGCTAACCCCAGGCACAACTTGGGTGATGCATGAAATAAGCTGACTCTTTGGCTATTTATAATAATAATGATAGTAGTAAAGTTGGAAGGGACCTTGGAGGTCCTCTAGTCCAACCCCCTGCTCAGGCAGGAAAGCCTATGCCATTTCAGACAAATGGCTGTCCAGTCTCTTCTTAAAAACTTCCAGTGTTGGAGCATTCACCGCTTCTGGAGGCAGGCTGTTCCACTGGCTAATTGTCCTCACTGTCAGGAAGTTTCTCCTTAGTTCTAGGTTGCTTCTCTCCTTGATGAGTTTCCACCCGTTGCTTCTTATCCTGCCTTCAGGCGCTTTGGAAAATAGCTTGACTCCCTCTTCTTTATGACAGCCCCTGGCTCTTTTCCCGGTATATCCAAGGACTACGGGGAAGCTCCCAGGTGTAAGGTGTAAATAGCCTCTGAACCCCTTTGGCTGCGCCCTGAAATCCTCCAGCTGCTTAAACACGAACCTTGGCCCAAAGGCACCGTTGCACTTCCTGGCTAATTTTTCTCGAGCGCGGTCCAGCCGTCCTTATTCACTGGGTCTCCCCAGAAGTTCTTGCTCGCCGGTAAAGTTAAACTGGACCTTTCCTCCTTAGTTTTTGGGACAGGAAAGACGCGATGCAGCAACACGGCCCTCAGCGGCATCAGCTGCCCCCAAAACTTGCCTTTCCACCACCACCACCACCTTCCCCCACCCCGTGCAAACCACCTTCCTAAAAGCAAAGACGGGCCCGGCCGGTTGGGTTAAAACGGCCCCAGGAAACGGGCTCTCTTTTATTCTTGTCAAAGGTGCCGGGCTACCGCCAGGGCCTGCTCTGCAGGTTGCTGCTGCTGAGGGAGCGGGCGGTGAGGGCCGCTGTGGCCGGGTTGGTGCTGGGCAGGTCCTGGCTGCTCCTCACGGCGATGGCGGCTTTGCAGTCCCGGGCGGAGGATCCGCGGCTGAGGCGGGCTAGGGAGAAGGGAGCGAGAGAAGAGGCCCTCAGGGCACGGGGCGGAGAGCTACGTTCGTTGGCGAGGGGTCGAAAACCAGATTTATTCGTTTATATCCCTCTCCTCCCTCTCTGAAGGCAGTCCTCGGCTTACGACCGCAATGGAGCCCACAACGTTTCTGTGGCGAAGTGAGACGGCTAAGTGAATTTTGCCCCGTTTGATGAAAGGTTAAGACAGGGGTAGGCAATCTTGGTTCTTTTATGACTGGCGGACTTCAACTTCCAGAATTCCTGAGCCAGCCTGGCTCAGCTTGGAAACCTCTCCCTTTTCCCTCAGCATGGCTGGCTCAGGAATTCTGGGAGTTGAAATCCACCAGTCATAAAAGAGCCAAGGTTGCCTACCTCTGGCCTAGGCTTAGGCCACTTTATGACTGGTGGACTTCAGCTCCCAGAATTCCTGAGACAGCCTGGCTCAGCTTGGAAACCTCTCCCTTCCCCTCAGCATGGCTGGCTTAGGAATTCTGGGAGTTGAAGTCCACCAGTCATAAAAGAGCCAAGGTTGCCTACCCCTGGACTAGGAGGCTCACCACTTAGAACAGGAGGACCAACTCCCAGAATTCCTGAGCCAGCATGGGGGAACTATGGCCCCCTCATGACTCGTGGACTTCAACTCCCAGAATTCCTCAGCAGCATGGGGGAACTATGCCCCCCTCATGACTCGTGGACTTCAACTCCCAGAATTCCTGAGCCAGCCTGGCTCAGCTTGGAAACCTCTCCCTTTCCCCTCAGCAAGGCCGGCTCAGGAATTCTGGGAGTTGAAATCCACCAGTCATAAAAGAGCCAAGGTTGCCTACCCCTGAGTTAAGAGAATCACTGCAGTTGTTAAGTTAGGAACATGGTTATTAAGTGAATTTGGCTTCCCCATTGAAAGCTCCGTTGCCTTTTGGAAAAAAGCCCCTTTGGGACAATTTGTCCTTTGAATGCAAAGCCCGGCGGGGCCTGATTAGATCCTCTTGAGCCCAGGACAAATTCCACCCCCCCCCCCCAGAACAGCCTTGCAGGAAAGAGCCCGCTGGCCTTGTGGCTTTTGAAGACCAATGGTGTGTGTGTGTATGTGTGTGTGTGTCTTACTGGCAGGATCGCTGGGAAGCTGCTCCTCCTGGAGATAGTATTGCATCTTTTGCAGATCCTCTGCGGTGAACCTCCACTTGTTCTCAGTGGCGGCCGTGGGGAGGGGCGGCTGGGGGGTGGCTTTTTTCCGGGCGCTCCCAGGGTGACTGGCCACCACGCAGGAGGCGGGGAAGGAGCCGGTCACCAGGCCTTCAGGGATCTTCTGCGCAATGACTCGGAGCCCTGGGAGAACAGGAGGATGACAAGATGGCAGGGAAGACTCCAAAAACAGAGATAGTGGTGACTGCAGAAGAAAAAAAAATAAGGGCAGCCAGCCAGCCTTCCCTTGAGGACTGGTACACTGCAGGAACCAGAAAGAGGGCTGAGAAAGTAACTATGGGCCCCCCCACATCCTGGACACAAACTGTTTCAACTGCTTCCCTCGAGACGACGCTATAGGGCAGGGGTAGGCAACCTTGGCTCTTTTATGACTGGGGGACTTCAACTCCCAGAATTCCTGAGCCAGCAGGGCTTAGCATGGAAACCTCTCCCTTTCCCCTCAGCGTGGCTGGCTGAGGAATTCTGGGAGTTGAAGTCCACCAGTCATAAAACAGCCAAGGTTGCCTACCCCTGTCCTAAGTCCTCCTGTTCTAAGCGGTGAGCCACCTAGACCAGGGCTAGGCAACTTTGACTCTTTCATGACTTGTGGACTTCAACTCCCAGAATTCCTGAGCCAGCCTGGCTCAGCTTGGAACCTCTCCCTTTCCCCTCAGCGTGGCTGGCTCAGGAATTCTGGGAGTTGAAGTCCACCAGTCCTAAAAGAGCCAAGGTTGCCTACCCCTCTGCATTAGACGCAGGGGTAGGCAACCTTGGCTCTTTTAGGACTGGTGGACTTCAACTCCCAGAATACCCGAGTCAGCATGGCTGGTTCAGGAATTCTGGGAGTTGAAGTCCACGAGTCCTAAAAGAGCCAAGGTTGCCTACCCCTGCTATAGGGCATTGCATGCCAAAACAACCAGACACAAGGGCAGTTCCCCCCCCCCCCATGCCATCACTTTGCTAAACAACTAGTTCCCACAACACTTGTCTTAGGGCCTGGGATGTAAAAACCACCTATGGCAGTAGGGCTGCATTATGTATTATCCTTCTCAACTTTCCTATTACCTATGATGGCCTTAGCTTCTTATGACTGTAACTTTGTTGTCTGTATCTCATGGTTTATGCTGATTGCTTTTATTTAGTATCCTGTTATCATTTATATTGATTGCTTATTTAGTATCCGAGGTCTATTATATTGTTCATATTAGTAAAGTTGGAAGAGACCTTGGAGGTCATCTAGTCCAACCCCCTGCTCAGGCAGGAAACTCTGTGTTGTATCCTACGATTTAGGATGAATGTGTTTTTTATAATTATGATCGTTGATTTATCACTTGTGTCTTGTATGTACGCTGAGAACTTATGCACTGGAGACAAACTCCTTGTGTGTCCAATCACACATGGCCAATAAAGAATTCCAATTCTAATCTAATTCTAATTCTAATCTAATTTGATTCTAATTCATTCTAAGTCTAATCCAATTTTAATTAATTCTAATTCTAATCTAATTCTATTCTAATTAATTCTAATTCTAATCTAATTCTATTCTAATTCTATTCTAATTCTAATTATAATCTAATTCTAATCTAATTCTAATTAATTCTAATTCTAATCTAATTCTATTCTAATTAATTCTAATTCTATTCTAATTCATTCTAATTCTAATCTAATTCTAATTCATTCTAATTCTAATCTAATTCTAATTCTAATCTAATTCTATTCTAATTCTAATTCATTCTAATTGTAATCTAATTCTAATTCATTCTAATTCTAATCTAATTCTAATTCTAATCTAATTCTAATTCTAATCTAATTCTAATTCTAATCTAATTCTAATTCATTCTAATCCTAATCTAACTCTAATTCTATTCTAATTCTAGTTCAATGTAATTCTACTGTAACCCTAATCCTAATCCCTCTAAAAGACTCCCTCCAATTACAGGGATGGAGTCGCGAGCGCCGGTCCTACAGCCAGCTTCCTTGCCTTTCCCCGTCCTCAGCGGATCTCAGCTGGGAAGGACAAGGTCCCGGGGTGGGATGGGGAGGTTGACCCTAACGTTCCCGGGCCTTCCTACCTCCAGAGAGCATGAATACATTCTCAAAGCCCCTCTCGCACATGGTGGTGGCTGCTTGGCTGGCCACCCTCTCGTCGTCGTCGTAGAGGATGATAATCTTCCCGTGAGCATTTTTCTAAGGGGTGGAGGGGGGGTTAAGGGTCCAAAGTTCTGTGGGGAGAAGAGGCAGATGGAAGAGCAGCCTTCCCCCAGTCCTCCCTCCGGAAGTGAGCCTGTTTCTGTGGAGTCCTGGGTGCTCTCTGAGCTTGCAGACGTTTCATTACACAAACTAGGTAACGTCATCAGTGCTAGGAGGCAGCGGGGTTGGCAGAGAGGAGGAGGAGGAGAAGGAGAACAGGAAGAGGAAGAAAAAAGAAGGAATGAAGGAGAGGACAAAGAAAGGAGGGAGAAAGAGGAGGAAGAGAAGGAGAAGAATTGTGGGGTCCTTGGTGCTCTCTGAGCTGGGTTGTTTTTCTGCAGACGTTTCATGATCCAACTAGGTAGCATCATCAGGGCGAGAAGGGGCTTATATGTAAAGAAAGAACAAAGCCTTCTAACGCTGATGATGTTACTTAGTTGGGTCATGAAATGTCTTCAAGAAAATAAGCTCAGAGAGCATCAAGGGCCCCATTTAGCCTTTCTCCTCCCTTCCTTTTCTCTTCCACCCCACAAACCTCACTCCTTCCTACCACTGATGATGTGACCTAGTTGGGTCGTGAAACATCTGCAAGGGGGAAAAAAAAAAAAACCAAGCTCAGCGAGCACCTGGGACCCCACAATTCTTCTCCTTCTCCTCCTCCTTCCCCCTCCTTTCTTTTCCCTCTCCTTCATTTCTACTTTTTTCTTCCTCTTCTCCTTCCTCATCCAAGGAGCTCTCATTTCAGCCTGAGAGACAAATATTCTCCTTTATTCAGTCCATTTCTGCCCTTCTGACAAGCAGAGCCGAGGTGGCGCAGCAGTTAGGGTGCAGTACTGCAGGCCACTTTAGCTGACTGTGTTCAGCAGGTCAGCGGTTCAAATCTCACCGGCTCAAGGTTGACTCAGCCTTCCATCCTTCCGGGGTAGGTAAAATGAGGACCCAGATTGTTGGGGGCAATGTAAATATATATATACATTGCTTACTGGTGTACACCGCTTAGAGAGTGCTCGCACTTAAAGCGGTATATAAGTCTCATAAATAAATAAATAAATGGGGGAAGCCAGATTCACTTAACAGCCAGGTTACTCACTTAACAACGGTGGCAGGAAAAGTCGTAAAATGGAGCAACATTCACTGAACGACAGTCTCACCTAGCAACAGAAATTTTGGGCTCAATCGTAGCCGGTAAGCCAAGAACTACGATTGTGTATGTACGTAATGAGGGGCATCTTGGTTTACAAAGCCAGACTGACAAAGGCTGAGGAACCGTGTCCGCTTTCAGATCTCAGTTTGTTGCAAAGGTGGTTACCGCTGTACTTTTTGCAAATTCCTCAAAGGGAAACAGTGGCTCTTTGGGGGGCTTGTTCCATTTGCATTTGAAGCTAGAAATCCTACACCTTTCCACTTCGTAAAGGATACGTATTCCAAAATGCTGTTGGTGTAGGGGTTCATCGTTCGGGACAGAGTAGCGATGGGATAGGAGTAAGCTGAAAGACAATAAAATAAAATAAAAGCTAGAAAAAGGCGAATTTTGGTCAAACAACAGAGGATGAGTCCACAGCAATAGGCTCTTATGGAGATGGATAGCAGACCTCTCCAAACGTGGCCACTCTAAGACTTGAGGACTTCAGCTCCCAGAATTCCATAGGCTAAACCAGGATGTTCTCCAAACTTGGCCACTTTAAGACCTGTGGACTTCAACTCCCAGAATTCCATAGGCTAAACCAGGATGTTCTCCAAACTTGGCCACTTTAAGACCTGTGGACTTCAACTCCCAGAATTCCATAGGATAAAGCAGGGGGTCTCCAAAAACTTGGCCACTTTAAGACCTGTGGACTTCAACTCCCAGAATTCCATAGGATAAAGCAGGGGGTCTCCAAAAACTTGGCCACTTTAAGACCTGTGGACTTCAACTCCCAGAATTCCATAGGATAAACCAGGATGTTCTCCAAAAACTTGGCCACTTTAAGACGTGGACTTCAACTCCCAGAATTCCTCAGCCAGGCAGTCAACATGTCTTAAAAGTTGCCAGGTGTGGAGCACACCTGTTTTAGAGCTAGGGAGGCAAGGAGTCTGGCGATTGCAATTGATTCATTTTAACATCCATGTATATTATTTTGATATTTTGATGTCTTATCGTTATCTTTACAGTTCGTTTAGTGACCGTTCAAGGTTGGGGGGGACAAGAGGCTGACTCTGTAGACCGCTTAGAGAGGGCTGTAAAGCACTGTGAAGCGGGATATATTGGAAGGAAGGAAGGAAGGAAGGAAGGAAGGAAGGAAGGAAGGAAGGAAGGAAGGAAGGAAGGAAGGAAGGAAGGACCCTGGTGACACAGTGGTTCAAATGCAGCATTGCAGGCTGACTCATTGCCCACTGCCAGCAGTTCAATCCTGACCGGCTCAAAGCTAACTCAGCCTTCCGTCCTTCCAAGGTCAGTAAAATGAGGACCCAGATGGTTGGGGGAGGGGGGGCAAGAGGCTGACTCTGTAAACCACTTAGAGAGGGCTGTAAAGCACTGTGAAGCAGTATATAAGTCGAAGGGCTATTGCTAGTGCTCTACTTTTCCCCTTCCTTCCTTCCTTCCTTCCTTCCTTCCTTCCTTCCTTCCTTCCTTCCTTCCTTCCTTCCTTCCTTCCTTCCTTCCCTCCCCTGCCTCCCTCCCTTCCACGATGTGCAATCTATCTATCTATCTATCTATCTATCTATCTATCTATCTATCTATCTATCTATCTATCTATCTATCCATCCATCCATCCATCATCCACATCTCTCTATCCATCTCTCCGTATCCATCCATCTCTTCTCTATTCATCTCTCCATTACCTATCTATCCACCCATCATCCACATCTCTCTATCTCTCTGTATTCATCCATCCATAAATGAGGATCCAGATTGTTGGGGCGCAAGAGGCCGACTTTGGAAACCGCTTAGGGAGGGCTGTAAAGCACTGTGAAGTGGTGTATAAGTCTAAGTGCTATTGTTAAGGGACAAGGAAGGAAGGAAGGAAGGAAGGAAGGAAGGAAGGAAGGAAGGAAGGAAGGAAGGAAGGAAGGAAGGGAGGAAGGGACCCTGGTGGTGCGGTGGTTAGAATCTAGTATTGCAGGCAAACTCTGCCGACTGCCAGGAGTTCGATCCTGACCGGCTCAACGTTGACCCAGCCATCCGTCCTTTCAAGGTCGGTAAAATGAGGACCCAGATGGTTGGGGGGGCAGTATGCTGACTGTGTAAACCGCTTAGAGAGGGCTGTCAAGCACTGTGAAGCGGTATGTAAGTCTAAGCGTTCTTCCCAATATGGGCTAAGCAACCTGGTCAGCCGGGAGGCCAGCGTCCGTTGGCGGGAGGAAATCAAGCCCAGGTCTGTCCTACCGCGAAGCGCCCTGGAGGGGAACGTGGGGAGCGTCTTCAGGGTCCCCGTGCCTTCGTCTCACCTCCCACAAGGTGGCAGAGGTCGTAGGCGTCTCGCTCTCGCACGTCCAGCAGCAGGTAGGGGCAGTCGGGATAAGGCCCGTCGTTTGCAGCCGCCAGCTCCGTCGTCCTGGGGTCGCCTTTGCCCAGGTCCAGCTCGCCGACCCCACTGATGACGCTGGGAGGAAGAAGAAGCCTCATGAACCCTGGGACAGGGCTCCCTTGGTGAGCCTATACTGCTGGCACCTGCAGCTGCTGGTGTCGGAGAGAAAGTCGCTCAGGAGGTCAGCAGAGCAGAGAGAAAAAGAAAGACACACACACACACACACACACACACACACACACACACACACACACACACACGAATCCTGGGTGCTGGAGAGTGTACCCCCAAGGGCTCTGTTCTGCCTCTGTTTTTTAGGCTTGTTGCAAAAATAAGGATGAGACAAGATCGAAAACTAAGCGCACCTCTTTTAGTTCAGGAAGAATGGCAGAATGGAAGCTCAAACCCATAGACTAAGATAATAAGAGAAGAGAAGAGAAGAAGAGAGAAGAGAAGAGGGAGGGAGGGAGGGAGGGAGGGAGGAAGGGGGGAAAGGAGGGAGGGATGGAAGGAAGGAAAGAGAAGAGGGAGGGTGGGAAGGAAGGAGAAGAAGAAAGAGAGGGAGGGAGGGAGGAAAGAGGAGGGAAGAGAAGAAGAGAAGAGAGAGGGAGGGAGGGACGAAAGAGAAGAGGGAGAGAGGGAAGGAGGGAGAGTGGGAAGGAAGAAGAAGAAAGAGAGGGAGGGAAGGAGGAAAGAGAAGGGAAGGGAAGAAGAGAAGAGAGAGGGAGGGAGGGACGAAAGAGAAGAGGGAGAGAGGGAAGGAGGGAGAGTGGGAAGGAAGGAGAAGAGAAGAAAGAGAGGGAGGGAAGGAGGAAAGAGAAGGGAAGGGAAGGGAAGGGAAGAGAAGGAGGGAGGAAGGAAAGGGAGGGAAGGAGGGAGGGAGGGAGACAGTGAAGGAAGGAGAAGAGAAGAAGAAAGAGGGAGGGAGGGAGGAAAGAGAAGGGAAGAGAAAAAGAGAGAGGGAGGGACGAAAGAAGAGGGAGGGAGAGAGAGAGGAAAGGAGGGAGAGTGGGAAGGAAGGAGAAGAGAAGAAGAGAGGGAGAGAAGGAGGAAAGAGAAGGGAAGGGAAGAGAAGGAGGGAGGGAGGAAAGAGGGAAGGAGGGAGGGAGGGAGAGAGTGAAGGAGAAAAGAAGAAAGAGAGGAAGGGAGGGAGGAAAGAGAAGGGAAGAGAAGAAGAGAAGAGGGAGGGAGGGAGGGAGGGAAGGAAGAAGAGAAGTGGGGGAGGGAAAAAGAGAAGAGAAGAGGGAAAAGAAGAAGAGACCTCTGCAAGGTGGAGCGATATGACTCTCCAGCGCCGGTGTTGTTGATGAACAGGATGGGGCTGGCCGCCTTCTCCTCGGGGCTCCCTTTGCCGTTGGTCTCTGCTACCTCAAGATTGGTCTCTGCAGGAGCGGCGTCGCCTTCTGAAAAAAAGGGGCAGGTAGACAGGTACGTGTCACTGGCAGGCTGACAGTCGAGAAACTGGAAGCACCCCCCCTCCCTCCCCCCAAGGTCCATCTCAGCTTGCTTCTCCCAGTGGCCGAGAGGATGGCTCTGGGGGGGCTCCCAAGCAGGAGTTGGGGGGGCCTTCTCTTTCCCCACTGCTGTTGCCTCGCAACAGGAGTCCCCTGACCCAAAGAGGAAGGCGGAGTCCTCCATCCGCGTTTCTAATCTATTTATTTGCGTCCCGCCTTCGTTAATTTTTTAAACAAAACTCAAGATGGTGAACATATCCGTCACAGCTTCCTCCGCCTATCTTCCCCACCGCGGCAACAACCACCACCCTGAGAGGTGGACTGGGCCGGGAAAGAGGGACTGACTGGAAGTCACCTCGCCGGCTTTTACGCCTGAAACGGCACTAGAACTCGCGACCTTCTGGCGATTGGCCCCCAAATCAGCCAGCCAGTTTTCAAGGCGGGATTGGAACTCATGGCTTCCTGTCGATTGGGCCAGAGTCACCCAGGGGGCTTTCATGCCTAAGGCAGAACTAGAACTCACCGTCTCCTGGTGACTGATCCAAAGTCACCCAGCCACCTCTTGCGCCTAAGGCGGGATTAGAACTCACCGTCTCCTGGGGACTGGCCCAAAGTCACCCAACTAGCTTTTGTGCCTAAGGCGGGACTAGAATTCACAGCCGCCTGGTTTCTAGCCTGATGGCTTAACCATTAGACCAGGGATAGGCAAACTTGGCTCTTTTATGACTGGTGGACTTCAACTCCCAGAATTCCTGAGCCAGCCACGCTGAGGGGAAAGGGAGAGGTTTCCAAGCTGGGTCAGGAATTCTGGGAGTTGAAGTCCACGAATCATAAAAGAGCCAAGGTTCCCCACCCCTGTCCTAAGTCCTAAACGGTGAGCCTCCTAGACAAGGGGTAGGCAACTTTTATGACTTGGACTAACTCCCAGAATTTATGACTCATGGACTAACTCCCAGAATTCCTGAGCCAGCATGGAGGAACTATGGCCCCTTCATAACTCGTGGACATCAACTCCCAGAATTCCTGAGCCAGCCATGCTGAGGGGAAAGGGAGAAGTTTCCAAGCTGAGCCAGGCTGGCTCAGGAATTCTGGGAGTTGAAGTCCACCAGTCATCAAGGAGCCAAGGTTGCCTACCCCTGGCCTAGGCCAAGGCCGCTTTATTACTTGTGGACTTCAACTCCCAGAATTCCTGAGCCAACCTGGCTCAGCATGGAAACCTCTCCCTTTCCCCTCAGCGTGGCTGTCTCAGGAATTCTGGGAGTTGAAGTCTACCAGTCATGAAAGAGCCACGGTTTAGATAGATAGATAGATAGATAGATAGATAGATAGATAGATAGATAGATAGATAGATAGATAGATAGACAGACAGAGAGACAGACAGAGAGATAGATACCATCTAGTTTTTGGCCTTCTTCAGGTGGCCCTTTCAAGGTTTCATCCGACAGAGTGGCCACCTGTATCACCTGCAAGAAGAAGAAAGAGCAGAATCAGCCTAGTAGTTAGTACAGTGGTTCTCCACCTGTGGGTCGGGACCCCATTTGGGGTCGAACGACCATTTCACGGGGGTCGCCAAACAACGCAGTGCGCCATTTTCTTCCCCTTTTCCTTAGCTGTGCTACTCCCTTTTATTCTATTGGCTTTTGAAAGCCAATAGAATAGACTCTCTTGAATAGAGTCTAATTCTATTGGCTTTCCAAAGCCAATAGGAATTGTCCAGGCTGTCTCTGCCCTGCTGAGCCCGCCAAAAGTCCCAGTCTGCAAACGGTGCTGCACCAGTTGAGTAGTCCTTGACTTACGACCGGTTGGGGGGTCGCGGCATTAAAAAGGTTGAGAACCACTGAGTTAGTACAATGTTTCTCAGCCTGGACAACCTTGAAGATGTTGTGGACTTCAACTCCCAGAATTCCCCAGACGACGATATCGGGAACGTTTGCCTCTGTAATGAACCTTCTGCTGCTTAATTGAGTGTTTTTCAACCGGGGCTGCTTTTAAGACATGTGGACTTCAACTCCCAGAATTCTGGCTGGGTGATGGTGGTGCTGGTGTTAGGGAAGATGCCTGCTGGGGAATTCTGGGAGTTGAAGTCCACTGTCATGGTTCCGACAGATGAGACTCTTCAAAGAACTTTGAGGCATTGTTTACCTTAAAGAATCTTTATTCGAGTAGCATGGCATCCGCATGCACATTGGCCAAGCCAAAATCTGAATTCCCCTCCCCTGAGCACAGAGTATCAAAGCACCATTCCCTCTTCCAATTCACAGTCATAAATCACATTCTCCAATTTGCTTGAAATGCAGACTCTCCCTCCAGTTCTTCCACCCGCCATTTCTTATCATCTCTTATTTCAAAAAACCTTGGTTCTCACCCTAGTTACAATATTGTGATGTCTAACGAAACTCCCATGCACATTCCTCCTCCCCCCCAGTCTCATCTAATTCTATCTCTAATTCTAAGAGTAAAACATAAGAAGGAACATGGCTGCATCTCCATACGTTGTCAAAGCAAGAACATCCGGTGTTAGCAGCGTTGACATCCACGCAATCTAAACACTGCTCTAGAACAGTGGTTCTCAACCTGTGGGTCGGGACCCCATTTGGGGTCGAACGACCATTTCACGGGGGTCCCCAAACAATGCAATCCGCCATTTCCCCCCCCCCTTTTCCTTAGCTGTGCTACTCCCTTTTATTCTATTGGCTTTTGAAAGCCAATAGAAGAGACTCTCTTGAATAGAGTCTAATTCTATTGGCTTTCAAAAGCCAATAGGAATTGTCCAGGCTGTCTCTGCCCTGCTGAGCCCGCCAAAAGTCCCCTTCTGCAAACGGTGCTGCACCAGTTGAGTAGTCCTCGACTTACGATCAGTTGAGTAGTCCTCGACTTATGACCGGTTGGGGGGTCGCGGCATTAAAAAGGTTGAGAACCACTGCTCTAGAAGTTGCAGGACCACACACCTGAGGCCATCAAGTTGGGGGGAGGGCCTTCCTAAAGGCAGACAGAGCCCCCTCCCCAGCCCCCACCCCGTTTCTGCACGGACCCCACTCAGGCCCACCAAGATGGAGGGGAGGGGAGCATTTAAAAGTCACGGGCTGAAAATGGAAACGTACCAGCTGGGCAAAAGTAGTCACTTTTAGTCTCTTGAAGAGCTCGTCTTTCTTGTACCTGTAATCTGCAAAACACAGAGGAGCGAGCAATCAGTTAATGAACGCAGCGGAGGAGCCAGCTTTTAATTTAGGAACACCTGGAATTTCAGGACACTTCACACATTCCATCCGTGTACGTGTTTCGGGCACAAGTTAACAAGTCACCAGTTCGAAACACTAAACATTTATTACACGCCACGGTGTCTAGACACAAAAGTCTGATTTAAGTTAAATCGGTACTAGAAAGGGTCAGTGGAATTTATGGGGGGGGGACTGGACTTCAACTCTCATGCATGGGGAATTCTGGGAGTTGAAGTCCACCCATCTTAAAGTTGCCAAGCTTGGAGATCCCGGTCGTCCCTCCATCGTGAGATGCCCAGAGTTGTTTTAATGTGGTGGCCGTGTAAATCTTTCAAATAAATAAGCCAAGAAATCCAGTTCACCCAGTACGTTTTTCTCCAGTTTTGGTTTCTGAAAGATGCACGATTCGTGGAAGGAAACCTCAGCCCAGTTGGAGGTCTGCCATGACAAAGCCTTTGTATCTCTGATCTCGACTCCGTTCTCCAGTTTGAGAAAGCCCACCGCCGCAGCTGTCGTTTGATGAAAGTGCAGCTGTGCCTTCAGTAGCAGAGTGTCTAGCTTTCGTTGTGCTCTGTCAAAGCTGTTTATTTAATTTATTTTGGTGATAGCTCACCTTTATTATTTTTATAAACAGGTCAAGGGGGCAAACATACCTATTACTCCTTCCTTCCCTCCTATTTTCACCAGGGCAATCCTGGGAGATGAACTGGGCTGACACAGGGAGATTGGGCCTAAAGTCAACTAGCTGGTTTTCAGCACTAAGGCAGGAACTAGAATTCACCATCTCCTGGTGATTGGCCCAAAGTCACCCAGGGGGCTTTCATGCCTAAGGCAGGACTAGGATTCACTGTCTCCTGGTGCTTGGCCCAAAGACACCCAGCCAGCATTCATGACTTAAGGCGGGACTAGAATTCACCGTCTCCTGGTGATTGGCCCAAAATCACCCAGGGGGCTTTCACGCCTAAGGCAGGACTAGAATTCACCGTCTCCTGGTGATTGGCCCAAAGAACCCAGCCAGCGTTCATGACCTAAGGCAGGACTAGAATTCACCGTCTCCTGGTGATTAGCCCAAAGACACCTAGGGGGCTTTCAGGACTAAGGCAGAACTAGAATTCGTCTCCTGGTGATTGGCCCAAAGACACCAGGGAGCTTTCACGCCTAAGGCGGGACTAGAATTCACCATCTCCTGGTGATTGGCCCAAAGACACCCAGCCAGCGTTCATGACCTAAGGCAGGACTAGAATTCACCATCTCCTGGTGATTGGCCCAAAGACACCCAGCTAGTTTTCAGGACTAAGGCAGGACTAGAATTCACCGTCTCCTGGTGATTGGCCCAAAGTCACCTAGGTAGCTTTCATGCTTAAAGTGGGACTAGAACTCACCGTCTCCTGGTGATTGGCCCAAAGACACCCAGCCAGCGTTCATCATCTAAGGAGGGATTAGAATTCACTGTCTCCTGGTGATTGGCCCAAAGTCACCCAGCCAGCATCCATGACCTAAGGCGGGACTAGCACTCACCGTCTCTTGGTGATTGGCCCAAAGACACCCAGGGGGCTTTCATGCTTAAGGCAGGGCTACAACTCACCGTCTCCCAGTTTCTAGCCTGCGCTTTCACCACTAGACCAAACGGGCTCTCGATTTCATCCATTTGAAGCAAGCCTCGAAATTAAGGGTGTCTCCAACCTTGACAACTTTAAGACCTGTGGACTTCAACTCTCATGCATGGCTGGGGAATTCTGGGAGTTGAAGTCCACAAAGTTGCCACGGTTGGGCACCCCGATTTCAGTCTCTTCTAAGAGGTTTCTCCGCATTGCATAATTTAGCATGCCCTAAGGCCCCCCCCCCAGGCTTGCAATTGGTGGCTTGATGAATATAAACCAGTGGTTCTCAACCTTTTTAATGCCGCCACCCCCCAACCGGTCGTAAGTCGAGGACTACTCAACTGGTACAGCACCGTTTGCAGAATGGGACTTTTGGCAGGCTCAGCAGGGCAGAGACAGCCTGGACAATTCCTATCGGCTTTTGAAAGCCAATAGAATTAGACTCTATTCAAGAGAGTCTATTCTATTGGCTTTCAAAAGCCAATAGAAGAAAAGGGAGTAGCACAGCTAAGGAAAAGGGGGGGGGAAAATGGCGGACTGCGTTGTTTGGCGACCCCCGTGAAATGGTCGTTCGACCCCAAATGGAGTCCCGACCTACAGGTTGAGAACCACTGATATAAACCATAGAGTTCCAGATAATATGAGCAAAGAAAAGCATAATTACTCGACTAGTGTTTCACTATCTACAGAAGTGGGGTTTTTGCACTATGAAAAAAAACAACACAACACTTTTCATCACCTGACACTATAGCTAGTCTGAAAACAAGGGCTTCCCATCGCGATCAGACCAAGATTATTCATTTTAGTGTATGGCATCCACAAGAGGTCCTGCCATTCCTGATTTACAAATTTAAATAAAGCACCAGCAACTATATTTATTACATTACACGTAAAAGATATGTGGACAATCAGGTACGTGGACGCTCGAGAGCAGATATTTTAGTGCTAAAAATTACATTAAAAAGGCAAGCAAGCACAGTGAGGCATTTAGCGACAGCTTCCTGACTAACCACGGATAAATTTTCTATCTTTGGGCTCCTGGCTTCAATATTCTAGCAATGATCCTAAGCGTCGCCCAAATCTGAGAATTTCCTCAGATGCCCAATGTAACACCTGCCACACCAGCCGCCCAAAAGTCATGGTTCCTTCCCAGGTCCCCAGCGCAGTCTACCTGGAGCTGGTTCAGAAGATCCGTTTGAGTTTTCAGACATTTTACATCCAAGACGCAACAACGCCCGTTTCAAAAAAAAAAGCGGTTTATCCTTTCAGCGTGGAGGGAACGCCGGTTTTGCAAAGAGAAATAATTTGGGGTTGTTCTTTCTTGTTTCAGCAGCAAGTGAGGACGGCACTCGCTGGAGCCTCGGTTTTGATTTTTCCAGGTTTTCTCAAGGGCTTCACTCAAGTTACAGAAGGAGGACAGTAGCAACCCTGTGTGGGCTTTTCGGAGTGCCTCTGACGGTCTCAGATATCCATGAGAAAGCCAAGTTACTTCGCTGCTATTCACTCCAAGACCACACTTTGCCACGGCTCACACAAAAGACATCCTAGGACTGTGGAGTAGAGAGTTCAAAGCAAAAAAAAAGAAGGGACCAAAACACAGCAAGGACTGTGACAGTGTCACCGCAAACCACGGCTAGCATTTCAGTACTCAATAAGCCCCTGGTTAAAAGAAGGACGTTATGAAACCAAGCGTTTCAGCCGGACAAAACGCTCGGGAGGAACAGCAGAGGAAGAGCACTTAAAAGACAAACAAACTTTAAATGAGCGTACCCGAAGCTCTGCCAATATGACACAATACTCCTAAAACCAAAGCAGGCAGCTTACAAGCTCTGGGATGTTTCCCAGATTCCATCAGGAGCAGCCAAACGCTGCCGGCGGCAAGAGACCGTAGGAAGGGTGTTCGGAACGCAGAGACGGCACCAGGCGCCCATCCCTGGTTCGTTAAGCCGGTTCCCATGTGCAAAACAGACACACCCGAATTCACAATGCAGGAAATGTTAACATTCTGGATGGGGGGATTTTTATAGTCCTGATTAATGCAGGTGTGGCCAGATTAGGATCCTGAAACACAGGTGTTAAATTATGCTAGGAAGAGGACGGAACCTGGATTGAGACGGGGGTCTTCGTGGCACTTGTGGAAGCTCGGGAGGAAAGTGAAACGAACCAAGAGGAAGCAAAGTAGGAAAGAGAGACAGTTTGGTGTGTATGGGTGAAAGCGCTAGCCTAGAAACCAGGTGACGGTGAGTTCTAGTCCCGCTTTAGGCATGAAAGACGGCTGGGTGACCCAGGCCAATCATCGGGAGACAGTAAATTCTAGTCCTGCCGTATGCACGTAAGCGGCTGGATTACCGTAGGCCAATCACTAGGAGACAGGGAGTTCTAGTCCAGCTGTAAGCACAAAAAGCAGCTGGGTGACTTTGGGCCAATCACCAGGAGACAGGGAGTTCTAGTCCCATCTTAGGCACAAAAGGCAGCTGGGTGACTTTGGCCCAGTCACCAGGCGAGAGGGAGTTCTAGTCCTGCTTTAGGTACGAAAGGCAGCTGGGTGACTTTGGGCCAATCACCAGGAGACTGGGAGTTCTAGTCCCGCTTTAGGCACAAAAGCTGTCTGGGTGACTTTGGCCCAATCACCAGGAGACAGGGAGTTCTAGTCCCACCTTAAGCACAAAAGGCAGCTGGGTGACTTTGGCCCAATCACCAGGAGAGAGGGAGTTCTAGTCCCGCTTTAGGCACAAAAGGCAACTGGGTGACTTTGGCCCAATCATCAGGAGGCAGGGAGTTCTAGTCCCGCTTTAGGCACGAAAGGCAGCTGGGTGAGTTTGGCCCAATCACCAGGAGACGGTGAGTTCTAGTCCCACCTTAGGCACAAAAGCTGGCTGGGTGACTTGAGTCAATCATTCTCTCAGTTTCACTCGCTTCACAAAGTTATGTGGAAAATAAGAGGATGAAAGAGTGTTAGGTATGTTCTCCCCCTTCAGTTACTTAGAAAGTAATAAAGGTTGGATAAACTTCTAATAAACGAATAAATAAAAATAAAACAGCCCCTTGTTGTGAATGTTCCACCAGTGCTTCCCAAACAAATTCTAAACGTGTGGACCGAATCTCCCCAAATTCTCACCAGTGGCCATGCTGGCTGGGGAATTCTGGGAGCTGAAGTCCACCCACGCCACGCTCGAGAAACACTGGACTAGCCCACGGCCCCCGAGTAAGCCGACTGTAGACATTTGAGTTCCCCTTGCAATATGCAGTACTCACTTCTCTTGATCTCCTCTAGTTTTTCAGTGTACTTGGTCATACTGCTACCTGTGGAAGAAAAGGCATAGAGGTCTTTTAGGACGGGGATTTTCAACCAGTGGTACGGGTACCACCTGTGGTACATTGGCACCTGGCAGGTGGTACGCAACCATCCTAGAAAAGTGGTAGCAGGGGAGGGGAATGAGCTGAACCGGTGGCAGCACCACACAAGTCTGAGCGAGAGACGGCTGGAGATGCAGGGCTCAGCGGAAGCGCCAGGATCAGTGCCAGGGTCCAGCTGGAGTTCAGCACTGATCCTGGTGCTTCTGCTGAGCCCAGAAGAAGTGCCAATCAGCTGGAATGTTGCAGCGTCTCCAGGGTCTTATAATTTACATTCAGATGCTTGGCAACTGATTCATATTTATGACGGCCACAGTGCCCCAGGGTCATGTGAAGTGACCAAATCCTGCTGCAACCACCCAGCAGACGGGGGGAATAAAAACCAAACACCCCCCACCCCATCCCCGTTGCCAATCCTCCACAGAAATGCTCACAACAATGAAAACCTCGGACAGGAGGAAGAGCGCCGCTGGGCGGGCAGGCAAATGTCTTGCTCGGCTGTGGCTTGGGGGCCAGTTTTTTCATGCCATCGTAACTTCGAACAGTCACTAAGCAAACTGTTGTAAGTCGAGGACTGTACTTTATCACTTTTTTCTCTTTTGGAGGGGGGGGTCATCAAGTTTTTGACACCTTGCTAGGCGACTGGTGGTACTCGGATGTTGCCATATCCTAAAAATGATACAATGGGTGAAAAGGTTGAAAAGCCCTGTTTTAGGAAAGAGATGAAAATCTCAACCCAAAACTCAGCCATCTGTTTTATTCCGAGTTAACCATCGATGTGTAATTAACAAGATTAGCAGGGCTGGATAATCGGAAGCATCTGGCTTTGGGTATTTTGAAATATGTATTTCTTTCTTGCATATTCCTCCCCAAAGTCCTCTGAAGAGAAGCTATTTTTTGCTCCTGCCTATTTTTCTCCTCTCAAGAATAGATTAGGTTACTAAGGCTGAGAAAAGAAAGCCGGCTCAGGCTTGGCCTTGTAAGCAGGTTATTTATTTTTCCAGGTGCCTGCAGGAATCAATACTATTTATTCGGTCAATGACCAGGAAAAATTAAAAAGAAAAAAAAAGCAAAAACCCAGAACAAAAAACAGTGAAGTAAATAAATACAATAACACACTGACAGCTGGCAAAATGAATCAGAGATGATAGAATAGATTAGGGGACTGGAGGCTAAAACATATAAGGAACGGTTGCTAGAATTGGGTATGTCTAGTTTAACAAAGAGAAGGACGAGGGGGGACAGGATAGCAGTGTTCCGATATCTCAGGGGCTGCCATAAAGAAGAGGGAGTCAAGCTATTCTCCAAAGCCCCTGAAGGCAGGACGAGAAGCAACGGGTGGAAACTAATCAAGGAGAGAAGCAACCTGGAACTAAGGAGAAACTTCCTGACAGTGAGAACGATTAATCAGTGGAACAACCTGCCTCCAAAAGCAGTAAATGCTCCAACACTGGAAGTTTTTAAGAAGAGACTGGACAGCCATTTGTCTGAAATGGTGTAGGGCAGTGGTTCTTAACCTTTTTAATGCCGCGACCCTGAACCGGTCGTAAGTCGAGGACTACTCAACCGGTCGTAAGTCGAGGACTACTCAACTGGTGCAGCACCGTTTGCAGAATGGGACTTTTGGCGGGCTCAGCAGGACAGAGACAGCCTGGACAATTCCTATTGGCTTTTGAAAGCCAATAGAATTAGACTCTATTCAAGAGAGTCTATTCTATTGGCTTTCAAAAGCCAATAGAATAAAAGGGAGTAGCACAGCTAAGGAAAAGGGGGAAAAAATGGCGGACTGCATTGTTTGGCGACCCCCGTGAAATGGTCGTTCGACCCCAAATGGGGTCCCGACCCACAGGTTGAGAACCACTGGTGTAGTCCAGTGAGCAGGGGGTTGGACGAGATGACCTCCAAGGTCCCTTCCAACTTTATTATTATTATCGATCATCGCACAGTCAGCCAGATGTTCAGACTGGATTTGGCATTTTGTCTACCTATCGAGTCCTTACCCAGGACCTGGGATAGGCAGATGTGGATGTCAAACACAAGGCCCAGGGGGCCAGAGGTGGCCCGCAAAGTGGTTTCATGTGGCCTGCGAAGCCGTCCTGGAGACAGTGAGGGAACGGCCCCCGCTGCCTTGGCCCTGGCCCAGGCCAGCCGGGAGCCTGCCATGTCAGCCCCACCCCCTGGGTGCATGCTGGGGAGGTGTCACCCCCGCCACCACTTTTCTAGGATGGTCGCGTACCACCTGCCAGGTGCCAATGGACCACAGGTGGTACCCGTGCCACTGGTCGAAAAGCCCTGTGACTTTAAACCCTCACCTTGACAATCTGCCTGGAAGAAATGCAGATGGCAGAAGGTTAAATCCCCCGTTAAAGAATGGCGACTGGCAGCTTAGAGAAGGCTAGATTTAGTAAGTAATTTGCTTGTGTCCTCTGGGCGAAGTCACAACTGTTCACACCCAGTCCAAGCTTGGCTGCAGCAAGTGAAAGACCCTTACGCACTTTGCTTGGCCTTCAAACCTTTGCTCGCCCACCCCACCCCAATCCCCGAATAGGAGCAACTTACCGGTGTCAAGGCGAGTTTTTACGTGCTGGTATTTAGGATTCTGTGGGATTCTCTTGGTCAGAAACTGCTCGTAGGGAGGGAGAGAAAATGGAAAAGAGAACAGTCAGAAAATGACCCAGGAGGAAGAGAAAAGCAGCATTGGTTGTGATTCTGCACACAACAACTGAAGACAAAGAGAGCAAGATGCTGAAGCCCCCCCAAAGTCCATACAGGCGGTCCTCAACTGACAATCATTCGTTTAGCGACTCTTCAAAGCTACAAAAGCAATGGAAAAAGGAACTTAATGACCGCTTTTCACACTTAAGACCGTTGCAGCATCCCACGTGGTCAAAATTCAGAGGCTTGGCAACTGGCATGTACTTATGACGGTTTGCAGCGTCCCGGGGTCACGCGATCCCCTTTTGCGAGCGTCCGACAAGCAAAGTCAACCTAACAGCTGCGGTGATTCACTTAACAACGGGGGCAAGGAAGGTGGGAAGATGGGGAAAAACTCACTTAGCAGCTGTCTCATTTAGCAACGGAAATCTTGGCCTCATTTGTGGTTGTAAGTCCAGGATTATATATACATATATTATACAAACTAAAAAAACACTCACCCCACCCTCCCAATTCTGGGGCAACCGAAAACGAAAGGAAAATGGCTTCAACCACATTCATTTGTAGAGTTGACAGTGTGTGTATACTATTACATATATATATATATAACACACACAGAAACACAGAAACATATAAATTCTATAATATAATAATAATAATAGTAGTAAAGTTGGAAGGGACCTTGGAGGTCATCTAGTCCAACCCCCTGCTCGGGCAGGAAACCCTACACCATTTCGGACAAATGGCTGTCCAGTCTCTTCTTAAAAACTTCCAGTGTTGGAGCATTTACTGCTTCTGGAGGCAGGCTGTTCCACTGATTAATTGTTCTCACTGTCAGGAAGTTTCTCCTTAGTTCTAGGTTGCTTCTCTCCTTGATTAGTTTCCACCCGTTGCTTCTTGTCCTGCCTTCAGGTGCTTTGGAAAATAGCTTAATTCCCTCTTCTTTATGGCAGCCCCTGAGATATTGGAATACTGCTATCATGTCCCCCCTTGTCCTTCTCTTCGTTAAACTAGACATACCAATTCTAGCAACCGTTCCTTATATGTTTTAGTCTCCAGTCCCCTAATCATCTTTGTTGCTCTTCTCTGTACTCTTTCTAGAGTCTCAACATCTTTTTTACATCGTGGTGACCAAAACTGGATGCAGTATTCCAAGTGTGGCCTTACCAAGGCATTGAAGAGTGGTATTAATACTTCACGTGATCGTGATTCTATCCCTCTGTTAATGCAGCCTAGCACTGTGTTGGCCTTTTTGGTAGCTGCAGCACACTGCTG